AAAATCAAAAATTTTGGGAGTTTAGCGCTTCAAACGCACGAAATTCAATCCCAAAACGACAGCAAAACGTGGAGAATTTTCGAAATTTGAAGAATGCAAATCCAAGCACGAAGCTGAATTTCAGCGGAAGGGCTTAAAGTCCAAAAGTTTTGGGATCTTAGCGCTTGACTTCAAACGCACGAGATCCAATCCGCAAACGATGGCAAAACGTGGAAAATTTTCGAAATTTGGCGACGCATATCGCTTACATCTTTGCCTTGCTTATTTTCTTATTTTGGGGAGGAGGAGGATCCTAGTGGGAGGGATGTTATCGGACGCTCCAAGCTAGTATTATTAAGGATATTACCTGCGACTCGCGACATCAGGGAAAGGTGGTCCCTAACAAATTTTGAGAACGCGATCCGCAATCCTCGTCCTCGAACGTCCAGGACCGCCGTGTTTTGGTATACTGGTTTCCCCGTCTTGAGACTGACGGCCAGATATTTTAGTCGCCGCGTGTGCTCCTGCTGCATGCACAGCATCTCCTCTAAATCGCTGTCTTTGTAGTTCAGAGCCTGCACTTTCTCGACGTCGATTGCGGCCAAATGGTCGATGTAGACTGGACGCCCATTGCGACAAATCCCGGCATACCCCTGGCGACACACCTGCCTATAGCTCTTCTCGAGCCACGCTTCTCGAAAATCGTTAGCGCCGATGTGATCCCTCCACTGCAGGTGGTTCTCAAGCATTTGGATCGTCGCTCCCCAATCGCCCTTGCGAGCACGAAGAAACCTAATTGTATCATCATGAGCATGCCTCTATGTAAATGCCGCTTAAAGTACTGGTAGCATCACAGCTCTCCCTCTCGAGAGAATCAATAACACGCAACCGCGATCTGTTCCTGTGGTGCATCCTTGTGTCTACGTAATCAGACAGATATTATGTTGACCCACAACCTAGTAGAAGACGCTTGACGTTACATCTTCATCTTCGGTATGTATCTTTTACGGTAACAATTTGGTAAGTACCTGAAAATATCGTGCTCAGCCCATTCATCTGGTAGGGTGTAGCCTTTATTGACCAAGCAATCTCTGACCTGATCGATCTCATCACCGTACTTCCGCGTGGCCTGTCCGAGATTCAGCGTGAAATCATCCTCAAAAAATTTCTCTGCCTCCGTAGTTGAGGCTTTGCTTTGCCGCCCAAAGAGCATCATCTTTCTTCGGTCATTCGCGGCTGGAACGTCCACGTCTAGACTATGTATAAGAACAGGCTTGATATTGAGGTCGTCAGGAACCCGCTTCCGATGTTCGTTTTCGTCTTAGCCGTTGCGCTTTCGGTTAAATAAAGAGAGGACGGACGGGGACGCGGCACTGAGTGGGGTTCTTGTTCTCATCGAGATATATTCAAAATATCCAATTCAAAGCTGAGTTGTTACTTCTTAGCTGAAAATTTTAATACGCAGAGTAGTAATGACGCTTAAGCTTGCGAAAATTTGAAGGTGCGAAGATTTCACATAGATACTAAGATAGACATACTGCACTAATAGTTAACAGAAACTACGATCCGCCTACTAAATGTTCATTGATTCGCATGATATATACCTTTTTAGATTTACAGTGGAAAATGGATTAAAGAATGAAATCTTGAGAGCATGCCTAAAGAAAACTATCTACGAGAAGAAGAGGCGCACCTTGCATAATTCTCGGAGGGAAAATATAAACGAGAAGGAATCAATGCTAAAAATTAAAGACAAGTGCTAAATAAAATCAAATTGAGTTGGAGTTGGTGGAGCAGACCTAACTAGAAAAAACAAAAAGCCAAAAAAAGAAAAGAGTAAGCACTTAGCTACTACTAAGTAAGCGCCGGCGCTGTCGTGGTCCTGTCAGCCCCAGAGGTCTCACCTTCGACGGCAGGCTGGAGCCCTGTGCAACGCCTCCCTGTGCTAAATAAAATCAAATAAAGATTGTTAAAGGACTGACAGAAGACGAGTTTCTTGTAGTTGTAGTCTTTGCAGAAGCTTGCACACAGTCGAGAAACAGAATACTAACACGCAAGTGGCGGTCATGGCGAAGACATCACCATGATCAGGTATTGCTCACATAAACTTTAATACTTCTCAGCAAAATAACAACGGTCAATATCTTGAACAACTTTAGACGCTAAGTAGTCACTCATGGTCATCTACTACTACAACTGACTCCGTGTCCGTAATTTTCGAATTCCCATAATAAAATGAGGACACAAGCTGCTCAAGCAAAACGGGAAATAAGGTCTCCAGGGGATTCATTGCGGGTGATGAAGAGTGAGACAGGTCAAAGCACGAAGAACTGACAGAAAAATGAATCAGATATCTTGCTCCATTTTGGAATAATTATCCACCGTGTGACAGGTTATACGAATATCTCAAACAATTTATGTGTGTAAGTAAGTGGGTACTGTCACATTATTCTTTGATCTGGTGATCTATCATGGCTGCCTACTTCATACTGCATGAAAGAAATCTCAAACTCATTTTTTTGATAGGTCCTACTCATCTCATGGTTGGTCCTCTCTCGTTAAAGTTAAACACACTTTGCGTTCACACAATACTTTTGCACTTTACGAACACGTTCAGCGCGCTCCACATGCTCCTAATCGTTTTTCTTCGCACTTTTTCAACGAACAGATAGATATCTATTCTATTTGTCCTAGCACGCACATCTATGTATTGGTACTGCTGGTATCGGCTACTTAAGTAAAGTAAAAGAAAGAATCAGACTCACATAGACATTAAAGACAAGACCAAGAATACCGTCAGAAACATTATAAATATTTATGTCGAGTTATTTGCGTGGTGTCGAGGAAAGGAGGAGCCTGGGACCTGGGCAACATATTTCATCGACCTCGGGTGCAACGGATTCCCTCGTATAACTTCACTGCATTTTTAGCCAAAATGCCAATCACATCTACAACGAGGACTACATACTATTTGTATGTTTCTTGTGATTTTTTAGATATCCGATATCAACTTGCCAACAGATTCATGTTGCGCCACAACTACTCAGCGACTTCATGAAGAACAGAGGTTTCTAGTCACAGACACAGATGCAATAAACCGATAGGGACTTGAAACTCATGGGCTTCTGCGATAAGATCAAGAAGAATTGGAAGACTGAAACGCGCGGACTGGTGGGCTCACGGTCGCATTCGTGCCGGCATGGCCTTCCGGTGACGTCAAATAAAGTACTTAGTTTTTGTTCGCACCGACGCTGGCGTAGAACATCAAGAACAATGGGTCTAATTTCTTCGTGGAAAAATATCTTCAACTTCGTCCTTATTTCTGAGAAGTACAAGTAGTGCGAATTGCGTTTAGAGTGCTATGCTTCACGACGTGTTTAGTCGACGACGAATAATGTCTTTTTTTCATTGTCGATCGACTGCATCCGCTGTTTGTGCACTTCCCTTTGATCAGAGGTCGCCCGTCGCCAGTTGCCGTAGTTGAAGTCATGGCGTACGTGAACTGTTTTGACGTCCGCGTCAAAGTTTGAGACTTTAATGGAGAGCCAGTCCGGGACTTCAGCGGAGTAGCGCTCTAGCACCGTCGCGAGCGTGTCCGTACTCAAATTGTTCTTGTTATTCCGCGTCAGTTCCTGCAACAAGTCGGTGTAGCTCATGAACCCCGGCCGACCGCGCTGGTCGAAGCTCACCTGAATTAAAGGCATCACCTCCAAAAGCCGGCTCAGCTCGTCCACTTTCTCCTCAAGCTTACTCCGCTCCGCATCTAATTTCTTTATGCAGCCCGCGATCTGAAGACAATTTGTCAAAGATGAATGTAAGTATGCATGTAGACCTTAGATAGTTGAAAAAAATTAAAATACTTCACGAGAGGTGAAAAAAATCCTGATCACAGGTGTGAGTTCTGCTCTGTTGCAACGTGGAGGTCATGTTTTGTATGTGCGTTTTCCTAATTGATGTGTTGGAAAGCTGGGAAGATGGAGAGAGTGGATTTATAAATAGACTCTTTTGATGTGATAGAAGTACTTGCATAAGAAAGAGAAGCACGTAGAGAGTTAGGCTTGATGTAAGATAGCTTTTAAAGAATGAATGTAAGGATGAGGAAAGTAAATCTAGATGAATAGTAAGTATATGCACTTCGTATGAGCAGCAAAGAAGTAAAAACAAGCCTGCACGTTATGATGTCAATGTCATGAGCGGTATTACAAACTAGTAGAAGAAGACACAGAGTCAGAAAGTAGCTACTACGGAAATCAACATGAACATTGTATCGCTTGATATTTATATTAATGAGATTTACCTAGGACTTTTCAAAGTCAGTATTTCTATGGAGTAAATAAAATGTAGTGTGGACTTCCGTCAAGTCTCCGTAGCTACTGCAGCATGTTTCGTGAAGAGGTACCTTCTAAGTTTTGTGTGTGTGTGTAGTTGTGGGTAGTTGTGAAAGAATACGAAGACAACAGCGTTGGACTCAGACGAGAGGCGACTAGACTAAGACGAAACTATTGAAACGAAAGCGAGTCGACGAGTGCGATAGAGTTGCGACACACTCAAGAAGAGCTTTATTATATAAGAAAGTAAGAAAGTAAGAAAGTAAGAAAGTAAGGAAGTAAGGAAGTAAGGAAGTAAGGAAGTAAGGAAGTAAGGAAGTAAGGAAGTAAGGAAGTAAGGAAGTAAGGAAGTAAGGAAGTAAGGAAGTAAGGAAGTAAGGAAGCAAGGAAGCAAGGAAGCAAGGAAGTAAGGAAGTAAGGAAGTAAGGAAGTAAGGAAGTAGAATAGGGCAAGTAAGGAAGTAGAATAGGGCTAATAACTTAAGTAATTACTTGTGCACTTGGAAAACCACACTACTGCCGCCAGAGGTCTCATCTAGAAGAAGAAGAAGGAACGAAAGGTGAGTGCTCTCACGTTTAGATATAAGAAATACCTTTTCCTTGTGCTTCGCTTTGTCCGATATATTTAGTCGCCTTCCGCTGGCTGACGAAACGCGTATCGATCCACCTCGAGGACTTGCGCTTGGGCTTGCCTGTGGTGTGAGAAAGTTTTTCATCTCCTTTGCAGCCGCTTCTGCTACTGTCTCCGGACGTTCGGGCAAGTCTGCATGGGGCACATCCCTCTGACCGTATTGGCCCAGACGCTCTGCTACAGTCCTCCATCGCGTGGACAGATCCGCCTCCGCAAGGTGCACAACCAGCTTCCCTCCGCTGTCTGGATCAGAAGATGAACGGCGTATACGACTATTGCTCTTCTACTTACTTCAATAACAAATTCGAATTCACACAAGTAGATGATAAGGATAAGCTGTTTACTTGTTTTCTATCTTTGTCTTTAAGACTGATCACACCCTAAACCTAATGAATCAACAACATTTGTACAACTGATCAACTCGACAAGGAGAGCTTCTTGACTTTGGCAACAAGATATCCGCATAATGTTTGACTCAGTTGCACATCTTCGTCACCGTGCTCTAGCACGATCGGGTCTTCCCTTAGTGGATTCCACTGATGCTGGCTGAGTCGCTCCGCCCGCAAGAAGTCTTTTGCGACAAAGAGTATTCTTCTCAATCGCGAGGTCGTCAACTGGCGCCCAGATGATCTTTCCGCATTCTTTCGCAGATCGGCAATCGCTGTGCGTCGTGAGCGAAGTTGCCGATACATCGTTATTAACTGATCGATGGTCCTATAGAGACCGAGCAGCGCTTTTTGCTCGTCGTCCAAGATCGGCAACAGGTATTGCTTGTTCTGCTGCGTGTTCTTTGCCAGTATCAGGTCACTAGAAGAGGTCGAGGACGCAGCTTTTGCCGTGGAAGAAGAAGAAGTCCCGGCCCCTGAGGGGACACCAACCGCATCTGCTTGATTTGTTACTTTGTTCCGCTTCAATCTGAAGGGCGAATTCATGAACCTCTGCACATTTGACCGCTTCAAATCCGCAACCGCCTCTGCGTGCCTGCGTTCTTCTTCGCTAAGTGCCTTCGCTGATGAGGCATCTGACCCGCCTTCCGCATCCGCGCTGATGTTTTCTTCATTCAGCATGAGTCGTGTAATGGCTCCGTCACCACGGGAAAGGAGAGAACTCCGTTTTGGAGGCAGTTTCGCCTCGCTAGGAGACGCGTTGGCCACTCGAGACGGGTCAGACTGCTTCGGCGTCGCATACTGTTTGGGGGTCGTTCCTTGCCGGTCGGGGAACCAATCTGTGCGAACAGGACTTGCCTGCGGTTGGAACAGTGGGGAGGACACGTCTTTCTTCAACCGCTTTGGCTCCTGTCCTCTCCCTCTTAAAACCAAAGGCGATCCGTCGTTGGCCGCATCTTCGCCGTCCTGAAAGAGAAATAGGATTTCGAATCAGGTGGCGCTATTGAAAGAATACACTAAGGGATTATTAGACCTTCACAGCTAAGCGTGACCGTAAGCGATGTGTGACTCTCTTCGAGGAGTTCTTCTATTGCAGATTCTCCGTCACAAAGAACACAATATATTTTATTACAAGCGAATTTTCGAATGATACCTCATCCACTGGCGAGAGTCCTTTTTTCCTCTTCACTGCTCGCGATTTCCCCGCTGCTTCGATGTGCGTCACATCGACGTCTTCCCGAAAAGCCACACTTTTTGACGCGGAAGATGGCGTCCCGAGTTCTCTGCTGCGACCCTGCAAAACTCCTTCCTCGTCTTCATCCTCGATCTTTATCTGCAAACAAAATGTATTCTTGAGAATCTATGAATTTATATCCCTAGTAATTGTCCCACATCTTCTTCTACTCATCAACCTGGACCTCGTTCTTCTTCTTCAATCTACTGAACTTTATCATCATTCACTAGCACTCATCTATTATTTACAACATTTCAATAAATAGCTAGCATTAATAAAAGGTCAAATACGCGCTGTGGCGCGAGTGCTCCTCCAGGTGACTTTGTTTTGCTGTTTGTGTAGCCTGATCCAGCTCTCATTTGCCGACGATCACCGGGGGTAAGTGTGCGCTTTGGTGTCGCAAGAGGTTTCTCTTCCAAGCTATCGTCGGCCCAAGTTACTTTTCCCTTCTTACTAGCAGTTTTTTTGGCGGCCGCAGGTTCCTAGAATGAATGTCAAAAAATGCAATTGAGTATGAAATCTAAGACATAGAAAGGATCGATCTGGAACAAGAACTATTCAGTTGTGGTTGATTAATAAAAATAGAAGTAAGGAGTACGTAGTTCTAGTTGTAGTTGTAGTTCCCTGTTGCACTTCGTTCTGCTTCTGTTTGATATCGTAAAGGTGAACGTGAAATAACTGCAATTGTGAAGATGTAAAGCTTCGGCGTGTAGGTGGAGGTACTTTTTCCTTTTTCCCAATCTTTTTTCCGGCCGCCTTCTTTGCTTCTTTGGCAGGTGGGTCAGGATCGACTTTCTCATCAAGAGTGTCCTTCGAACCTTGAACGGATGGCGTCGCATTTTTTGTCGCCCGTTTCATTCTCGATGGCGTTCGAGTGGCGCTAGGCGTGCGAGAGGATTCCCCGACTTTCGCTATCGGCGCAGCCGCACTTGATTGTGCTGGTGGTGCCACCGTTGAAACGCTGTTTGTTGAAGCAGAGGCCGACGATGGAGCGGGAGCATCGTCTTCGCTGAAGAGTCTATCCACACCTGCATCAGCCTGTTCCTTCTTGGCAGCGGCAGCAGCCTTCTCGAGCTTCAGCTCGAGAGCAGTCTTGCGCTTTCCAACCATTATTTCTTCGGAGAATTCAGTCAGATTTCGTTCAAGATCGAAAAATTTCAATTCGGCTTTTAAATTATTATCTTCGAGATCTTGAATTTATCGTGTTTTTCAAAGACCTACAACATGAGTCTGAATCTATACTACTCGCTATTGGGCATCTAGTCGCTTTTGCGTTGTTCAAATTGAAAAGATCAAGTCCTCAAACAATGAAGTCCGAACGTTTTTCATCGAGCTTTCACCTTTCTTCGGGGAGCGTTTACAGGAGGTGGCGCCATGTGTATCTATATGCAATTATAACCACTCTGCAACGCAATCCAGCCAATCAATCAACTGTATGCGGGCGCCTAACGAGCGGCGGCGCTGGATAACAGAGGAACTTAATAGACCCAGGGGCAGCTCTGGACTGTACCGGCACGCCTGTGCTCCCGCTGACCTAGCCCACTAAAGACCATCCATAGCAAAAGACCCGAGGCTAGTCACCTAAGTAACCTAGTACAAAGAACCCCAGGCGCAAATTGGCTGCGGCTGTCTAGGGACCGACCTGCCAGCTTTGCTTACGCTGTGCCAGGCTAATGAACGGCGGACCCTTACGACTCAGCTGAGAGGGGGAACCTCACTCCAAGCAGATCGCTGGACAATGTCACGCGGGCACATGGGCAGACAATCAACTATATGCGGCCGTCTAACGAGCGGCGGCGCTGGATAACGGAGGAACAAACAGACCCAGGCCCATGTTCAGACAATCAATCAAATACTCGCAAAAAAATCTGCGTTGACTTTTTTTTTCCCTAAGACTATATATTCCTTCCCCCTGGAAAAATACTAGCTTTTTTCACACATAAACAACTATACTGGGAAGCATAAGGCCGTACATTGATTACGCCGACACTTCTACTCCACAGAGTGGGCAAAAATGTTGAAGCAGAGTTTTTACAAAGAGAAAAAGCAGAGTGCAGCTGCAACAAAAGCGAAAGAGTGAAGGTATATTAACGATGCTAGCTATAATAGAGCAGCTTATAACCTCTGCGGAGATGGCTGGGCTGGGCACGCTGGGCGCGCTGGGTCGCTGGGCGACCCGATTGTGCCAGCTGTGCCGAATTCTGCGCCAAGCGTCCACCCAGCGTGACGCCAGCGATCTCAAAACGCGGGCCGCCCTTCGGGCGCCCGCTTGAGAATCCCACGGGCAATGCTAGTCTAGCGGAGGCCAACGACGCTGGCGAATTACGCAACCGCTACGGCCGTTGGGGACAGGAGCGGCGCAGCATTGCACCGAGCAGCGCAGCACAACGCAGTGCAGGCCTGCACAATGCAAGCACAGGCCGCCACTGCGCAAACTGGCGCAGCACTGCGCTAGAGCTGCCCAGACCCTTGAGCGCGGCGCCGCGCCTTTGTTTGTGCTCAGCACTGCGTCCCCGAGCCGCAAACAAATCAGCCGCGCGGGCTCGGCGAGCCGAATGCGTGGCCCTCAAATCCGCTCAGCGTCATCCAAGGGCCTGCCCAACGTGCCCAGCGTTGCCGCCCAGCCACCCGGCGTGCCCAGCGTCTATAAACTACTCTGCTATAATAACGATGACGAAGACGAGAACGATTGATGGCATTCTGTTTGTGGATCTGGTGGCTCTGCTTTTTATCTTTTTTGTGACCGATAATTTTAGCAACAATTACAGGGATTTCAATTCTAGAGCAGCGCACTCCTTAAGTCTATTTTTGTTATTCTTAATCACTGCTGGCTTCATTAGTTTACTTCGACGGACAGTTTGTAGTATGAGAAAGTCGTCTGTCACTGTAATTCTTGTTTCACCTCAACTGCAAAACACAAAATTCGCAGTTCCACTTCCGGGATTCCCATGGTAGTACGGCGATATCAACGCCCCCTGCTTTCTGCTCTGCAGTCTTTGCTGCTTTACTCTACTTCTGCTTACTGTAAAATTTTTTGTCTGCACACGTTGTACTTTCATGTAATTAAAACCGTCATTTTCTCGTTAAGATCAAATTGTCGACGGGCCGGCAACACCATGAGTTTTTCCTTAGTGATTCAAGTCGCCAACTTGTTGTAGACGAATAGCTGAAAATGTCCTGTTGATATTGAAAAATTCTTTTAACTTGCTACTTTGGTCTAACCTTGCTGGAGCTGGACGCACGTTTTATTAGTTACTAAACGAAAGCGTTGATTGTCTCTTTCAACAAAAATACCAGACAAGCATGATCCTAGCAAGGGCACGACTTGTTGCTGAAAGATCAAGAGGGTATTACACCAAGTTCTGGTTTTGCTTGCTCATCTTCCTCATGATGTCTGGATGCTCCACGTTTACGTACTCCGCCAGCATCAAGTATACCTTATTCTCCAACATGTTTGCTGGTGCGGGAGCCTGCGCTGACAGCCACTGAAATAAGTCGGGGTTATCCAGCTCCAAAATTTGTTCGAACAATGTGCATTCGCCGTATGAAAGGAGGACTTCTAAGTGGAGTAGGTGTAGACCATGGAGTTACTAACTTAGGCAGGGCATTAATCATAGTATAAGTACATACGGTGGTGGAGTACACGTACAAGTACAACAAAGGTGTTTGAGATCACATAAGAACAGGAAAAACTAGTCATTGAATCATAATTCTTCTGAGAGATTCGCAAGGTGCTTCTGGGCAAAAGTCCCGATGAGCCAGTCGAGCTCGAGCCATCCTCGTTGCTTAGCGCGCCAGGAGAGCCCCTTGCGGAGCTTGTCATTCATATCGATTTCCTTGGGCTCCTTCAAGTACTTGTTTGAACTGCCGGCTGCGGCACCAACGCTTGACGAGAAAAGCCGAATCGTCGCGGCTGGTGCAGCAGTACCACGGTAATGTATCGAACTTGTTTTCATGCTCCTAGCAAGAGGAGTCGTAGCGGAAAAACCGACGCGTCCATGCACATCGTTAGGACGAATGCAGATTTCACAGCAGCACGTGGGACCGTGAGACGGTACGACCATCCGAGAAAGCTCAGAGCCTGGTCGAATAGTCCATTTTGAGTTCTGTTCTGCCTTGGCGGAGGTTAGAAAACACCGCGTGGTAGTTGGAAAAAACGATCGCAACGCGTGGCTTTGAGTCTGCTTCGGGACCATCATCATGTTGAGGGTATATTCTATCGTCAGAAGCAGACCTTATTTCTACGATGACGCAGCCAACAAGAAATTACTAGTGGAACCCACTTTTTCAAGTACGATTTTTGAAAATAGAAATCCGCCCCACCTTAGAAAAGTCGGGGAATGCAACTGCACGCGCAGAAAACCATTGACCTGTCCTGTAAGGGAATATAAAATCACCGGCTTCAAGCCTCAATAGAAGTAAACCATCATGTTCGAATATTCACGGCTAGAAAACTAAACCTCTTTTCACTCGGGACATTTTCCTCGTTCTTGCTACAAATTGAAAGCGGACCAAATGAACACTATATATACATCATGATTTTCTAGTGTGCGCTCACAGCCTTGGCTGCTATGTCTTTTTCTGCGTCAGAATATTGCGCACGCAATCGGGTTGATCGAATAATAGAAAAGAGCAGCAATAGAAACAACTGCTCATGTGCTATGTCGAATAAGAAGTGTGTGCAATGAAATCGGGACAAAATCAACATAATAAAGACCAGAAGTTTTGTGTTTTTGACATGATGCGTATCAAGCTGCTTCTGCAGCACTTGGAGTGGCGGCAGAAGAAGGATTCTCTCCGCCCTTCTCCACGTCCTCGGTAGACGATCCCCCTGCAGAGCCAGCAACGAACTCTTTCTCAGTGTGTCTTTGCTGGACTTGATTCCGCTCTAGTAGGTTCTGTACTTCACAACGTAATTTCTCGGCCTCATCAGGAAAGAACTGCGCAACCAAAGCATGTTCTTCTTGTAGGAAACTCCTTTGCGTCTCCAAGTTTTCAGAATTCAAAGCTTGCAAAAAGGCACAGAAGCGCACCATCACTGGATGCGGACCATACAACCGTGCTAGACATTCCAGTATTACAGAAGCGACGGCAGTGCCCTCTTGCTTCGAAACAGCGGCTTGCTCGATTAGCACCTCATGAAAATAGAACCAACAGCTCGCAAAGACCATGTAGTGGCACTGCGCCATCGGTGCCTCTGGAAGGTGCGCATCTGCAGCTGTGGCCCCCCCACGCCCCATGAAGCGTTTCTCGGCGTCTCGACACTCCTTTGCATACGGATCAGAAGCCGCAACTGAAAATAAAGAGAAGGTAGGCTTTCGCTGTAGTCGTTGGTTCCGCATGAAGAAGAAAATGTGCAGTGTCATTAAAAAGTACGCACTTATAGCAAGGTCCTTGTTGTCCCTCTTCATCTCTTTCTCTAATTACAGACAGTATAAAACGAGTTGTACCCTCGTATCCGCAGTCGTTGCATTTCAGTGAAAATCCCCAAACTTCGTCCGGATCTATGTTGCGCGTGCATAATTCCCCCTTGCCGCACTGTGGACAGACAAAACACCTCGACAACTCTAAGGCGGTGGTCCACCGCGGATTCTGTTCGCGCCCAAAGTGATCGAGATGAACCTTTTCCTGTGCACGGACTGGCGCATAGCATTCGGGAAAGCCGACGAAATCCACCGTGAGCGGCTCATCCTGCGCAAAAGGTCGCAACGCGCGCAAGGCAATCTTTGTGGTCATGAAGAAACCGGTCTGCTCGCCGTCCGGAGCCGCACAGCTTATGTAGGAATCGCGCTCGTCACAACCCGTTGCAGCATTGCTAAATTGGTACATGAGAGGACCAACGAAGCAGTTAGGATTGCTGCTGTGCCGGACATGAGCTGGAAGTGCATATGCAGCAATAGCTTCGGAACTATTCGGGTCCTCGGGGTAATGAAAGAGGGAAATAGAAGGGCAACATCGATCGAAAGGGAAAGAGTCATGAGCATCATGAGACCATCGTCACGCTCTATTCATGTTGTTCTACTTATGACAACCTACTGAGAAAAATGAACAAGTGCAACGATACCATCTGATTCTGAACTAGATGAAGAGCAGTCATGCGTTATCAACCTTTTCTTGTTTCGTGAACAAATACCAACAACATCTTCTTGTTCATAAACATAGTAAGGCTCTGCTATTGTCAGCCATTTTGCGTCGCGGTCCTCCAACACGTAGGTATTCGTGTAGATGTCGAAAAGAGCACTAAGATCCGTTTTCGAGATTGATTGCTGAAACTCCTCACGAAGTAGAGTGTCGTAAACAAGGTCTGCTAGATCCACTGATGAATACTCTTGAAATTCGAGTGCTGGAAGGGCCGCCTGTTCTAGCATTTCTGCACTTCTAGCCGCATCTGCATCGCTCGCAACGTCAAGCAGCGCCAAGGCCGCGTGGTCTTCATGGGCTACCATTTTCTGCGATGCCACAGGGTCGTGGAGCATGTCGCCAGCGCTCTCGATGTCAACTTCTGGAGCGATCTGTGTCCCTGACTTTCGCCGTAAAGGTGACTGCTTCGAAGGAGAAACTGCCCTTCTACTTGCTCCAGTAGGTTCCCCCGAAGTCGCGGGTAGATACTTGCCACTGGAACTGGACGACGCAGAAGCTCCCGTCATGCCGATTTGCTCGACCACACAGAGCTGGCCTGCAGACTCATCGCCGCTACTTTGGGATCCTCCTACGTTCATGGCGGGAAAATGAGCTGCCTCATTGAAACGGGCCATATGAACATTCCGGTCGAGCTGTTGTCGCAAACATCGTAGCTTCCGCATCCTCCTCATGGCTTCGTCTTTCTCTGGTGGCCGACCGCCGCCAGACCTAACCGCAACTTCTTGTTGCGCTTGCGGTTGCGACTGTTCATCAAGTCGTGTCATCTCCAACAGTGTTGATCCCGCCTGCTCAACGGTACGCTGGCCGCTTGACACGTCACCCTGTGCACCCGGGAACACTCCAGCTAACACGGCTCCTGTTGTAGCTACCGCAGCGCCCCCTGCTGCAATAGCATTGCTATTCGTAGCGCTGTCGCTCGAAGCTGTTCCGCTCGCTGTCGAAATGATGTCCTGATCGTGGTCGGTGATCGCATCTATCGGATTGCTCGATACAGTAGTGCTGAACGACCCGTGCCGTGGTGCTCTTGTAGAAGCCGAGTACCTGATTCAAACACAAACACAGTGGTGCTCAATAACAAATGAAGAACTCATCTTGCTCTATTGTTGTCAAAACTGTCAAAAATATTGCTACAAGTGATGCAAGGAAGAGTCAGTTTACAGAGAAAGTGAGGTGTTAGTACTCGCAAATGACTCGGCAGACGATCTCCAAAAGCGTGTCCGTGTGGATCGCCCGCAAATTTTTCAGACCGATCGTTTCTTTCAGTGGCTCGCGAAGCACTTGGCTTGTGTATTGAAACTCTGCGTATAATCGGGGATCAAATATCGCCCGCTCGGTCCAGAGGATCGAGCCCGTGTCAGCAACTGGCGCCTCTGCCACTAGGCATCCAGTATTGTCCGATGCGATCCCGGTCGCAGGCGTTCCGAGGACTTCGGTTGGAGAGCCATCGGGCACCGTTGCACTGGTAACCGTATTTGCAAACATTGTAGTCTTCCTAACTGTACTTCTTCTTGATACTACCAGAATTTATCGTCGGGTGAACAAAAACCGGATAGCCACGATAAGACTAGTTGAGATTGAAAGTCATCGTCATGCCAAATGACTAAGTGCCGCGTGTACTATTCTTTTTTTTGCAACTTTCAAACTAAAGAATCACAGTGGTACACGGTAGTGGTCACTACACGACTAGGTCATCGTACACTTCGCTTCTCGCCACTCTTGTTTCACTGTCTTGGGTTTCGCAATCTTAATACTACAGTCTGTCTCTGTTCGTACGCATTCCTTTCCTAATTTTGTTTTCTACACTTTTCGAAACTAGACGAGAACAGGGACAATACGGGAGACACTTGGGGAAAAAGAGTGAAGACCCTCTCTCTCTTTCTCTCTCTCGTCGGCCTCGACTTGTTGCGCGCAGCGTTTACCCTCAAACTCAATCATAGCGATATCTTTTTCTACTTAGTCTCGTAGTTGTTCAAAAAATCACAGTCAGAAATGAAAGGTTTCGCAATTAATCAAACCAACGCAGGTAAAAATCACCGAAATGTTGTTACACGTTTTGCGTGAGGCGCCCGTCAATATATTTACTATTTTGTTGCCTACTTGTCTGCAAGTCCACCAACATCTATTTACGTGGCTTGAATCGGGGGCGTGACCCGAACCTACAAGTAGCAAAGAGAAGCGCAGGGGCGTGGCCTGCCTTGTTGTAGAAAATCTAGCGCGAGTTCTCAGAACTTCCTACTTATCTATGCGCGAGACAACCGTGGTGGATATAGGAGATGCACACTTAATAGTTGAGTCTTATCGAAGCAGCCGCATCATACGAAAAAAGGTGAAGGAATCGGCAGAAAACTACTGCTGGTTAACACCCGTCAGATCATGTCTGGATCTTGCCGCAGAGAGACGTGGCCCCAGCAGCCTAAAGTGCAAAACAATCTATTCGTTCGCACTTGACTGGCAAATGCTGCCGCGTCAATATCAGTTGTACGGCGACAAGTATACTTGAAGAAGGAAATGGAACTCCGGAATCTAGAATGAAGATCCCGTCCTAGGGGTTGTCGTTGCGATTAAAGGAATGCGCAATAGAGAAAACGAGAAATGTCCCTGTCTGTGCCTGCTAGCCTTGATGAAATTTTGCAATCCAACAACACTTCCGTCAAAACGCTGCTTGATAATCAAAGACTAACAAAGTTATCGCTACCAGGCAATGAGGGGTTTTTGCGCTTTGATCGATCTCGTGAGCGGGATCTTCGACGATGGGAAGAGACGTCAGAGTTTTTCGATGAAGTCTGACTTGTTTTGACTGCGCTGTAATAATCGTCTTCACCCGAACGATTGGATGGCACTGTGGGTCGTGCGAAAGGGTCGTAAGCAGCTCCAGGAGCCGACGCTGCGTCGAAACCCGGCACAAATTTCGTGGGTTCTGCGTTTGGCATTTGTGCCGGATCGAAGAAAAATCCAGCCATATTCGCTGGTTCCGTGGAAGCTCCTGAGGTATCCTCTGGTGCCGCGACTTTTGAAAGGCCTGCGGTAATGCCACCTGTTGTGAGTCGATAATGAAGGAACCAACATATGTATTCATGGCGCAGTGCTGTTGGCGCAGTATGAGGCTCAACTACACAAAAATTAGTTGATACTTCCACATTGGCATTGCTGCGCTTCTCTCCGATGCAAAGGTTGCTTCAATGTTTTGAGCTAGGAAGAGAAGGATCACCACTAGTAAAGCGAATAGGTACTCTTCAAAAGTACCTGCCAGATTGCTGTACATCGAGTACACGTCTTTCTCTGGTGGTCTTGGTGGAAGATTTGCGAATGCAACCGAGCCGACACCAGGTAGATTGTCCCCAGATCCACTTCCCGCGGACACATTCCTACCACCAACTCCAAGGGTCGGGGATCCGGCGGTCTGACAGGTTGTTTTAGAGCCTGGTCTTGAGCTGGTTGCATGATTTGCTGAAAAGCGTGAACCTGTCGGCTGTGGCGCAACGTACCCAGGTGCACGTCCAACTGCGGGTGTCACAGGTGGGATGCTGTACACGTTTCCCTGAAACGGCCGAACCGGTGGCCCGACACCGCCAAAGGATCGATTGGATAAGTGTGATTCAAACACCTTTTCTCTGTTTTTGATGATTTCCGCCTCTTTTTTCATCTCCTCAACGAGCTTGCGTCGTTTCTCGTCCTCGATCAGCTTCTGTTCTTCTGCTTTCCTCCGCACGAGCTCCGCCTCGCGCTTTCTCTTCTCCTCACGCTCGCGTTCTAGTCGCTGCTCCACTTCGACGCGCCGCTGAACGCGCGTTGCCTGTAGCTTCTTCCATTTCGCTAAGACAAATTTCCGAGTCTCTTCCACACCTTCGTCAAAATCCAGCTTCTGTGCCGTTTCAAGGTCGGTGTGCGCCGCGTCCCAGCGCTGCAGTTTTCTATTGGTAGAGAAAAAGTGGAGCGCTGAATGAGAACAACAGAAAAATCACATTGTTCATCCAAAAAGACTCGTAGAGGGAGTACTACGTACTCTGGAGCCTAACGATCTAAACAAAAACAAAAATCGGGCGAAAAACTCAAAACATGAAGTACCTATTCGCCTTTCCCCTCACTCGAAATGCTTTTGCAGAATCGGGATTGAGCTCGAGCGCACGATCACAGTCTTGCACCGCTGCAACCGGTCTTCTGAGGCGAAGATAGTAGTCCGCGCGTCTCGCGAACTGCATAGCTGTTGCTCGCGGCTGCACGAGCTTCAATACTTTGGTCATGTCTGCTACTGCAGATGCGTAGTCTCCATCTTCCGCGGCCTCAGCCGCCAAACTACTCCATGCAGCTACTTGGTCGGCTTCGTACTCAGTGAGTTCCGGCGCCTCCTGATCTACCTCACCTCCCGTTTGCTCAGCGCCAGCCGCCACATGTCCCGGTGCAATCAACTCGCTATCAACAAGGGGTTCAGGCAGCAAGCGTTCTCCATCCTCCCCATCCGACGCGATCTCCGCGTCCAAAGGCTCTGTTGTCTGATATATACATTCAAAAATCTAACAATTAAGTAAAAGTGTTTAAAACTGCAATAGCAATAAAAATAAATAAAGACAAACTATAAACGATCATTGCCGCGACCGCGAGTAGAAAAGGACCTTCTAAGGGGGCTAATCTTCATCAAGAACATCGCAAGTTGTAGTCCTGAGATGAAACAGCGAAAAGTAGAAGAAAAATGGACAACGAAACAGTTACAGTCTACGACTAAGAAATAAGAAACAACGATACCTCATGCTTGACGTAAACGGTTTCCTTGTCCCATTTTCGTTTCTTTTTTCCTGCTGCATCGTATCTCACTCCTCGATCCCCTGTGCGATTCTGTAGTCCCACAGTTTCTCCCTCCATCTGCTCCTGCCGTTTTTCTTCAAAGACGTCTGTGCCCTTGCTTCTCGTACCTACATTTCTGGCCGACAAACTGGGACTAGAGGGCGAGTCACCGGCCATGTCCTTCACGTCGGTTTGATTCAAAGCTTCATCTCCTTCAACTGATGCGAGGAATGGATTTTTGAGCTGTACTGCGTTCTGAGCGACCGCCCGTGAAAGGCCTGACGGGGATGACCCGCCATGCTTCGTGCCAGCAACCCCTTGTCGTGCAATATTTCCACAATCTCCAACTCTGTGCAGGTGTGGGCTTTTGGCATCCGATGCAGGCTCGCCTGAGCCTGCTTCATAGGAGTGACCTTCCACTTCACGCTTTAACCGGTCATGCATGCTGCGGATAAACTGTCGAAAGAAGAACAGCTCGCGTGAGAACAGCAAAGGTGAATCGCTCTCCACATCTTTCGCCCAGTACTGAACCACCTCACGGGTTTTGCTGTACCAAATCGGATCCATATTTTTGCTGATGGACGGAACAATTTTTACATACTACCAGGACTACTAGCCACGAGCATCATGATTGAGATTGACATCGAGAGAAGCTATTGTTGTAGTTGTACTCAATCTAATGGAAGCCAGCAGGAGCGTATTTTTGAATAGGCAAAGTCATGATTGACAGTCGCGACATTTCGAACAAACCCCCAAAGCAACTTGGCGTAAATCATGACACTGGCGTAATGGAAGTCCACAACTAGAATGACTCTCTTATCTTCATAAGAAGCCAAAACGAAATCCAGCCCCACAGCCACTTCGCCCTGCAGTTTTTCTTGTTATGAAGATCTCATGATGATTTGGAGCAAAGCAAGTGGAAGAGGATGAAATCCTAGGAAGATCTTGTGGTCTGCGTGTAGGACTAACATCTTGATGTTCCAAGCAGGATCAAGAGCAGCGGCTACTGAAGTCGTGCAACCACGTCCTTCCTTGAAGATGCAAAGTAAGTGAGAAATTCATTGTCACAACAGGCAAGAAAAGCACAACAAGACTGAGACTGAGACTGAGACTGAGTTAGTAGAGCGTGTGCATCCCACGTTGCTTTAGCACGGTGTTCGTTACTTCAGTTTCAATTCGGTGAACAAAAAACCTAGCACACGGACAACACCAAATCTCCACGGCACTAGGGACCACAGGATATTTCTCTTTGATTCATGAGGACACAAAAGAAATCCCACTTCTCTTTCTTTGGTTCTGGTTGATTCCCTGATAGGTAAGAAGAAAAAAACGGTTTTCTAGTCCCCGCAGTACGCCTGATCTTCGCGTACGAGTTCGACATAGCACTAATTCAAAAGAATGCTGGCGGAGGCGGACATGTTGAAACAAATTTACAAACTTTTTAACGAGTTTCAATACAATCTTCATGATTAGTTGTACAACTGGTGGTTTGAGTACTAGTACAAGCACACATCATAGAAAACCAACAGGAAGAACGGTTGCTTTAAGAACATTGAATCCAGATGGAATCATACACATGATCTGGTAGGGACAGAGACACTTGCCACCAAATTATATATTTATAAGTATATTTGTTTTGAACGATTTCTATGCCATTTTGGCTCATGCGGAACTATGCTGTGATATAAATCTTACCAGGGTGACGTTATCGCCGATCATCAATATGTCGTTGTATGCTTGAAAGTTTCTACTCGTGTTGTAACATCATGTTGAAAACTTTCACTATCTTTTTTCCCTGCATATGCAGGACTTCCCTATGGGGTACTTATCATCTTTAAATGATTTAGAGTTCCATTCTTGGAAAGCAGCATCGGTTGAAGTTGAACATGCCATCCCAGCACTGTGTGTTTCCGTTGGGACCAAACTTCGGATCGCAGCATGTGTCGTAATCGAAGCCGTCCATCCAGCATTCAGTGTTGCCCAAGATCAGCTTTTCCGTGTCCGGGGGCTGGCAGTCCTTGCTCCCGGAGGTCCAGCCTTCGGCCTGTTCCCTGCCATCGTCAGCGACTCGAAGCCAGCACTTCTGCATACCCTCTTCTTCTCCAAAAACCCAATGGTTGCATTCCGGAACGCTGTTGCACACAGAAATGCAGTTCTCAAGTGTCGAGACCGCGAACTTGTCAGTATTGATGCAATCATCGATAAAGCAACCGGCCGCAGCACCGTAGCCTAGGAAGTGTACAACAAACAATGACATTCCGACGTGCTTCAAATATTCATGTCGTGATCTCTTGAGATTCAATGAAATTGAAAATGAAATAGAAATCATTTTTTTTTTAAGCGCGAAGTTAATTCTTGAAGAAGGATCGTTGTGATGGTAATTTCCGTACCTGCAACATTTGTGAAGAGCGCTCTTCCGGCGTTGCGGATCACCGTATTCTGCTCCATGCAGGCTGGCCATGTCGTTTGTGCACCAGCAAATGACGCAAGCAGAGCAGACGCGACGACGCGCAGAGAGGAACGTCCTTGTGCCGACATTTTCGTTGTTTTCAGGGTGTGCTCTCACGAAGTGAAAAATGAGTTGTCTTCTTTGAATTGACGGGAGTCTTGACACGGAATCTTCGTTCTGCCTGTACTGGCTTGGTGTCCAAGAAAAATCCAAAATAGGGGCGAAGAGCGTTTACTTGTTTCATGTAAGTCTATTAAGCACTTACCTCTTTGACCCCTTCGTTAATAAACCTGAACTTGACCCACCAAAAAGACAGAGAGCGCCGATAATCGATGTAGCGTCTCTCTTATGATCGCCATGCGCATATCCTGCGCCCAGGTGGAGGACCGGTACCGGTTACGGCCCACGACAGGAGAACACAAATAACTGGTGACTTCGTACGCTCGGCAAGCTACTAGTTGCAGCTGATAGCTGAACACACACTCGCACTTTCTCGCCAGCCTTGTGTATTTCTTTCCAGTCTTGATAATCTTGAAGACGTCTGTCAACAGTATAATCGTCTCGCGCATTCACAAGCCAAATTGACAAAAGTCAGCTACAGAAATCGGACTCAGCTTAATGCGATGTAACTTTTAACCACACGGGATGCTGGCGTTTTCAATAACGTCGAATGATCATGTAGTGGTTTTGTGTGATCGTGATGTCTTTGAAAAATTCAAACTGATGCCTTGCTTAGAGCGGGTTGTCGCGGGTTCTTCCCTGGCCGAGCGTGCCAGGCTCCGCTCATCGCGTTGGCCTACGCAAGAAAACCGCGAGACTCGGCAGCCGTCGACACAGCAGTTAGGGGAACTGCTTTTTTGAGACACCCAACAAAAAGGAAAGGGTAGATCAGAAGGAGGGAGTACTAGGTAGAGCGAAACGACGAATGAACGACAATCGGAAGGAGCTATCATTATGCGTAGTAATTGAGGGTCGATTTCTTTTTCGCCATGACTGTGTTAATCCCCGCGACGTAATCCTCATGCATCATCTCGGTCGCGCCACGTCGCAAGGCCTCCATACCCGCTTCAACACACACTGCTTTGCACTGGGCGCCTGTAGTTGAAACATGGAAGAGCGAAATTTTTCCTAAACTCATTACATGATACTCAAATTTCTATAAGTAGATATCTACAGGGGCGGGCCTCCCTCCCTGGTACATATATAACAACTTCAACTTCAGTAAAACTATGGTCTTGAAAGTACTCCAGCTACAAAAACTGCATACGTTCTTATCTAAAATGGAAAAGTGTTCTAACTCCTGGTGCAAAGAAGATCTGTCTACCGTTGAAGTCCTCCGTCATTCGCGCTATCTCCTGGAAATTGACATCGTCTTTGTTGTAATTCATCCTTCTTGAGTGAATCTGCATAATTCTAGCTCTGCCATCTTCGGTTGGATGTGGCAGCTCGATTTTTCGATCCAAACGGCCCGAACGCAGAAGCGCAGGGTCCAACACGTCAGGTCGATTCGTCGCTGCTATTATTTTCACCTGTGTGTAGACCACGAGTGTGAGAAGTGTGCACTGATGTGTAGATAAAAAGTATCTGTGTCTATGTATCCTTTAACTTTCTTCATTTCGTTCGTCGCCCATAATTATAGGCCCCTCTACTTACAATTGAGCACATCAACCAATGGAGGCAAGCCCTCTCTAGGTAGGCCTAGTACAAGAACAAGAAAGACAAAAATGAACAATAAGTAAAAGTAGAAGTAGAGTGAGTTGTAACCTTATCTAAAAAGCTTACGTCATTGTTGCCGCTAAAACCATCCAACTGATTCAACAGCTCCAACATTGTACGCTGGACCTCACGAACGCCGCTCAACTCTCCGCCTCCACTACGCTTCATACCTTTTATTGATGAGTAGACCACTTCATTCTGACTTCAGACAGTGACAGCCTAAATGTATGAAATGTTGTTGACATTATAACGAAGTAGAAGATCCCATTCTTTGATTACCTTTCAGTTTTTCGTATGCCTGAATACGCGGTGAACTCTAAAACATTTTGTCGTGTAGTGAGCTACGTCTAGTCTCTAGTACCAATAGCGTCTAACTCGTCGATGAAAATTATTGTCGGCGCCTTCTCGCGAGCAAGCTCAAAGGCGTCACGGATAATCTTTGCTCCGTCTCCTATAAACATCTGCACAAGCTGTGGCCCGGCAAGCTTGAGAAAAGTCGCATTTGTGTTTGCGGCACAAGCCTGTATTTTTTTTGATGGCGTGGGGACACGTCGAAATGCAGGATTACATACTCTGCCTGAGAAGTAGATCTAGATGACGCCGCCGGATAAGAACAACAAGGTCCTTAGGAGTTGGAGTAGTGCAAACAAAAAAAAAATTTCACGACGTTTTCTTCGTTCTTGCAAACACTTGAAACTATAAATATGTAAGTATTGAAAGAGGTGCGTAGTACCCTAGCCATCATCGTCTTTCCGGTCCCTGGTGGGCCGTGCATGAGCACGCCCTTTGGTGGCTGGATTCCGATAGCCTCAAACTTGTCTTTATGCTTCATTGGTAACACGATAGCCTCAATCAGCTCCTCGATTTGCTTTTCTAGACCTCCAATATCGGAGTAGTTGTCTGTTGGCTTTTCGTCGACCTAATTTTTTTGAGCTGACGATAAAATTTTACTTTGAGCTCGTATAAAACATCACTGCTGGAGGCTCATCGGAATAGCTACAACAACAAACATCTTTTTGTATATGAAGCAGAGGATTTGGGGAATCAGACGACCATCAACTTGCTTCTAGAAAGCAAACAAATAACATAAAGACGTGTACCTCCATGGCCTTGACGCGGCTGTCATATTCCGGCGGGAGTTTATCGAGCACAAGGTAACTATCCTTGTTGACTCCTACTAGGTCCTGCGGTTTCAAATCCTCCGCTTCAACAAGGCCAATAACGGGTAAGAATATCGTTTGTCTTGTCGTTGTTTTCACGACTAATGACTTGCCGTTTTTGGCGCTATCAGTCTGATGTGGAAGGTATAATTGAAGGATAGAAGCAAGTCGTTTGTAAGTAGGTTGAAGAAAGTGCTAGAGCCCATGCTTATCGATAAATATCGTTATCCCAAACACGTGGTCGTTTTCTAATAACACTTCAGTACTGGAAACATGGTGTTCCGTCAAAATGAAAAGTCCATCCATGATCGAGCAAATTTCACGAGAGTGAAGTTTCTTCCTGCCCATTAGAGACGTGAGTAGTTGTACCTCTTGTGCTGCTCCTTCATCTTCTTCCTCCTCCACGGCCTCTGGGTCTAATATTTCTGCGATATTCGCTACCAAATGTGGAAGCTGCCTATTCAACTTAATCTTCTCTTTATTGTCTTTTGTCTTTTCTGTTATTGTCGCAAGCTGTTGTTTTGCGGTGTGAAGAATAGTTGGCCATGAATCATCGAGAGAAGGAGCGAGAGGCACCATAGAAAACCTTTTAAACAAGCGAGAAGGAAAAATCGTATCGACAACACAAGGATTCCATTTTCATGATTGTCCCCTTCTCAGGAATTCGTCCTTCAAAAATTTCATCTAAGTTGTTCTACCTCGTGGTTTAGCCTCTGGGATTCGCTCTTCATAACCCGAATGTCGTTATCGAGCAATCTCATGCGCTGTTTTATCTCATCTGGTGAGCATTTCTTGATATCGTCATCCACGATCTCGCTACTGCCTTCACCCCAGATGTCCGCACTTTCAAGATCACCCTCACCCGCCATTTTGTCGCCTTGTTCTATCAGTTTTTCTAAAACTACTTATTTGATACTCATGGAAGAACAAGATTTTACAAGGACCAAATCTACCAGGATATGAATAGAGAGAACGGAGAAGATTCAGTCATACCTACCTTCTAATTACACGAACGTGACAACAACATGAAAAAAATTTCATCAAGGTCATAATACATCCGTAAGTTGAATCACTTAGCCTGCTGCAGCACATTACGATGAAGAAAAGTAGAAGTATTTTTTTTCGTACTCCTACTCCATTGTTTTTATGAATTTGTATTCTGCTTCAACTACAGCCTCTGTAGCATAGGGGGCATAAGCTAAGCCAGTTTTTTCCGACTAACGCAGCTGTTGAAATGAATCTTTATCTTGTTCAACAGTTGTGACAGATTCCGTTTCAGATCCTGAAGTTCGTCTTGGTACAGCAACAACAACATTGCATCATCTTCTATTTCGTTCTCAACGTAAGCATCCACGTCACATCCATGACAGTAACCTCGTCAGTATCAGCTCGCGGTTTTTAGTGGTTCTTATTCCTGCTACTTAAATTGTTCATGTGATGAACGTGGATTCTTTTTTAGAAATACCGATTTGCAATTGCAGTGAGAACGCAACTTCTGCATCTTCATTCTTATGTAGTGGTCACAGACACAGCATGTTGTCATGACTCAGGAATTTTATCTTCTCATTTGGATTCGGAGCTAATATGTTGTAGTGGTTACGCGAATGGCGAAGATGATAACCGGACATCTATTGGAAAAGGATGTTGAAGATAGCGTCAGGAGGAAAGTGAAAAGTGTGATATTGAATTTCATTTTCCCCTCAACAGTACTACCCAAACAGTCGGATTTTTTGGGGCTTCTTTTTCTTTCTAGAATTAGAGGATTCGGTAGGCGTGGGAGCGGTGGAAGCTGTTGCTGTCGGCTGTGCCGTTTCGGACGCAGCCGCTGACGACGTAGGGTGCGAAGAAAAGTCCCCAGCTATATTCATCTCTGAAGAACCCGCGTGTGGTAGAGGTGTGGGTGTGGCAAGGGAAGCACTTCCCGCTTCCGTCTCGTCCGCATTTATGTTTGGGTTTTCACCAAGTAGACGAATTGGAGAACAAAAAGCAGGAGTATCTTTGGTGGAGTTGACGTCTTCAGTTGTACCCGCTCCTATTGGTAATGAATTCGTTGCTTCCATTGTTGGGGAGGAACTCGAAGCCGAGGCGTCTGCATTCTGCACCTGCTCCCGGACCAGAGCTGATGACGCAACCACTGGAGAGCTACCACCAGTGCTGCTATTTGCTGATGCTGTGGTCGGCCTCTGTGGGAGATTCTTTTTGCAAGCCAGCGACGACAAGGACGAGGACGTGCCTTTTCCTGGCGTTGTTGAAGTACTGGTCCCGCTAGTTGTACTAGTCTTGTTAATATGTCCATCATCTACGCCACTGCTACTTTTGTCTTTTGTTGAGCTATCGTCACCGGAACCGAAAATTGCCATGCGAGAAACTGGTTTTTTGGCCGATCAGGATTAGAGGACAGTAAGGCAAAAGATACTAGTTCTACTTCTACCTTTCGTGTCGACAAATCATAATCACTGGTGCTTTTCAAAAACAAAATATAAACAGAAGATAACGATCATAAGTACTCATCAATCTTCAATTTCGGTTATTTCAGAAAATAAGGAAGGGTGCTTCCGAGACATAATTGCTTTTTGCACCCCGACCGACTGCGACCATGCCACCCAGTGATTCTGCCAAACTAGGAAAATACTGCTGCTTCTGTTCGTCCTCCCGCTTTTTCTGCAATTCCGCTTGCTTTTTTTGTTGTATTTTTTGGGCAAAAGTTAGAGTTGAGGTCGCAGCGTCCCCTGTATCAGAAGATCCAGTTCTACTCTTGCCTGCGGCTTTGGCGTTACCGCTGTTTGTACCACCCCCAGCCCATTTGTTTACTGGTGGACCAGTGTTTTTAGATGAGCTAGTGCACAAAGCAGCGCTGAGTCGATCGTATCCGTTCTTCAAAGCTGTGCCTCCACGGGCGGGAGGGCTCCCACCTCGTGACGTCGATAAATATCCATGATCTTCGTCATCGCTTCCCCAGGCGTCTTTGACAATAGCCTTCTTGGCCCGTTCCTCTCGTTCTCGTTGAGCCGCTTGCTCGCTCGCTAGTCGCTGACTCCTCTCCTCCGCTGCTGCGATGCGCTCCTCTTCCTCGTGTGCGGAGACCAACAAAGCGAGCTCTTCATCGGTAATCTTTTTCTTAGTGCGAGCCTCGTGCGCAGCGACCTTTTTGCTCAGTGCCAGACTGAGACCGAAATCCTCAGCAGTCGGCAAAGAGTAGTTTAGGTGCGAATTGCCGCCACTGCCCGCGCCGGCGCCGAGCCAACTCTGTTTTTTCAGCTCCTCCATCAGTTTTTCGTCGGCATGCTTCGCTCTATTGGCAACCCATTTTTCGTCCGCGCGCTGGCGCTTTTTCTTGTTCTGCTTCTCCGCTTGTCGTCGCCACAGCTCGTCGCGGAAGTGATCAAGCGTGGAAAACTGCACGAAAGGCGCTATATCAAATTCAACTACTGAAACCTCGAGTCGCAGTGGAAGGCGCTTAAAAAGCGCATTGGTCTTGCGGCTGTCGGGTGAAATCGCGTCCATCTCACGCCCAAACAAGCGACCCTGGACACCGTGGAACCCGTGGTGCCCGTCACTGCTGCTACTGCGCCCGCTCCCGAGCGGGGGAAGGCACTTGCTAGGATCGCGAACGTCAAGCACAAAAGGTAGCTGCCTGTCGTGCCTCAGGACATTCAACAAAAACGGGTTAATGAAAATTGCTTGAGAGTCCCAGGATTGGTAGAAGACAAAGAAATTGTCGCGGTCAATATTCGACCCATTTGGGTGTGCGAGAGCGTCTTCCAGCACAGACATCTTATCGACAGCTACCTTCACTGGGGACCCCGAACTGCTCGAAGCACCTGACGAGCTACTGTTCGACGCTTCGGGCTCCGTTCGCGCGACGAACCATTCATCCTCTTCGGTACTAGATTTACGTGTATTAAGCGCCGTTTTCCCAGCCGTAGTGCTACTTGCATAAGCTATCGCTGTATCTTCCGCGTCCACATCAGCTCGTCCTAGTTGTAATGAAGTGTGTGCCCTCTCCGCCTGCGTCGCTGCCACCTCTTCAGCTACGGAAGAGGTAGCGCTATAGATCTCTCTATATCCCTTGTAGAGCGCGACGATGTTGCTTTCGAAGTCTACCCGTACTTCATGCAGTTTTTTATCATACACAATGTCTTCATACAGCTGCTGCATCCGGCGAGGCGGTTCATTTTTTGCTAAAGTGGAGTTAGTGCCAGTCGCAGAATGTTCGTTACCGAGACCTACAGTACTACATGGTCTAGTATTTTGCCTCAGAAACTCTTCTTTTGTGGGACAGTAAAGACCACGCAACTCCTGCTGAATCAAGAAGTCAAGAAACGGAAGCATCTCCGTGTCAGCGTCAGCGCTAAATCGCTCAGGACGCTTTGTTTCGTGCGCAAGCTTTAGAAGGCCCAGCAAGTCGTTCTTCCGATCCCTTAACAGGTTCGCTTCTGAAGCGACAACTACTCTGCTCATGTGCCATCCTGGTGTCAAGCCTTCCCGCGGTAAATTGAATGGCAAATGGCCCAAATTTGAGGCGAAGGTATTTGTTTTGCTTGTGTATGATGGCGAGGCGCTCTTACTTGAAGATGTCCCCGATGTAGACGCCGATCCTGAGCTGCTGCCCGTGGCTACGGACCCTTCTTGCATTGTACTATTATTTCTCCCATGCTTTTCTTGTAGCATTCTCATCGTTTTTTCGTCTTCCAGGCGCTCCAGGTCCAAGCAAACGACGCCTGGCCGCTCTGGATCTTTACAAACGCGAACGAAAGTTCGGATCTTGCTAGCATCTGTCACATACTGAAATCGCGCTGGGCGTAGATCACCGAAGCAGACCAATTCCTTACAGACTGGACACTTACGTCCCGAATGCTTCATGCGATTCTGTTGTTGCGGAACACGATGGAGTTCATTGGCTGCAGGTGCAGAAGATGACGCAGTAGCACCTACTCCTGTCCAAGAAGTAGAGTTGGTTCCTCCAGCCGTGCCAGCTGTTCTTGTTGACGCACTGCCGCCTCCAGTCATCACCAAGGAAACAGAGGACACCGCGTCGTACGCCAAGCTCTCCTGCAAGGCGCCGGTCGTGTCATCGCGCAGTAGAAACCTTGTTATACAAGCATAGCAAAAGCAATGGCCGCATTTCGTAATACGTGGGACCTGAAAGTCGCTCTCCAGGCAGATAGAACACACTAGGGGTTTTGCTGCCTCCACCAGCACATCGACGCGGCGAACGTGTTGCCAGTCAACAAGGGAGTCCACCTCCAACAATGACCCAATTACGTGTTCATAGTGCGCCGTCTCGGACACAAAACACCGGAAGCGGGACTGAACAAACCGACCCTGTCTACTGCTTAACAACGCGCTATTACTCTGTTGATAACTTCGCTCTGCTTGGTTGGAGTTGGCGGTCTGCGTCCAGAAGCCCCCAGTTTCAGGGGTCTTGAAATGCCGCTGCTTGCCCATCCTCACAAGTCCTCGGACGAGTGATCACGAAGCGTTTGCGCCCAGGCTCGCTCTTTCTACTTGATAAAGTTCGGGCGGGAGCCACGTTGTAAAAAAATTAAATACGTGTTACAAGCGTATTCTCCGCCATTTACAATTTCATCTTGAATCTCGTTCGAGGCTTTAACATATTGAAGAGGCATAAAAGCCTGCCTCAAACTCTCCCTGGCTCCCATCCGAGCGTCGGTCCCCTAGAGAATTCCTGCCATGGCTCCTCGTCGACTAAGAATATGTTGAGCTCGACAATAGGTGCGTCATTGTTTCTCAGAACGAGAATTATCAAGAACAGTAAGAAGTACTCCTCGTCAGATGATAATCTTAGTGAAAGTGATAGAGCCGATATCGATTTTTGTACACAGACGATAATAATCGAGAAAAGGAATAGTCAATCTTCAACGTACGAAACAAAATTATAATACGACTAGCAATATCTTAAGAATCGTCCCTCAATAAGCGCCAACATTCATACACCACGAACGCCTGTAGTACATTTGAAGAACAAGCTGCTCGTACATGCAGTGGTCAAGCTCAAGCATCATGATATATATCGTCGAACTAATATTTCTCAGTAGTAGTAGCTCTGACCGTCGACGTCATTCAAGATCCGGCAGCGGCATTTCCTCTGTGTAAGTCCATTGTCACTGATGATCATTGCATGGGAACGAACTGGGGCAAGGCATACCTTTTCTCAAACGAAGAAGACCAAAAGTATATTGACCATGACTCAAAGTTGTGATTCGTGTTGGTTATCATATTATAAATTATGCTGCTATCGTGCCTCTCTGTATTGGACGATGTAGATACCGATCAAGTAAAATGCAGTAACAACATTTACTTACAGTTTTGAAATCAATGAACGGAACACTTCGTGACTTCAATAGCATTCAATTTGTGTTTCGAAAAATTGAGAGCAGCCCCAGGGAATGGTAACATTGCTCAGCGTGCCGCATATGGGGGCAGGGAGCTGCGCAATCTTTAATCGATGAGGGAGAAATGTAATCGCAAGATTTGAAAACGTCTCTGAGAACAAGCAAGGCTCATTGGGGTTGGGTTCCGGCAATTGCAGAGAGGGGTCCTTCTGCAAGCCGGGCTTGCTGATTACAGTTGACTAGGAGGATTCTGCTGGGGTGCCTAGCTATGTAAGTACATGTTGTAAAGGTAAACGATGAAAAAAAATAGATGAATATCTACAACTTTTCGACCGGGCCGGCGCCTCTTTAAATGGTAACAGCTACACTTGATATTGATATTGTACGGGTAACATCCATATTTTGTGAGGACAATTCCAATGACAATTCCATGATATTTTCTGCAGATATGTACATTCATACATAAATCCAACATCGGAAGTTCTATTGTTTCGTTGGAAACACTAACGGGGATGAGGTGCTATGTGTTAGAGTTCGTCGTGACGATTCTGTAATGCGACTCCCGAATCCATCGCCTCCCGCACCCAGGTGACGATTCCCTCTTTGGCCTTGTCCTTTTGGTACAGTTCGACGAAGTTTTGATCGAACTGCTTCCACCTCTGTCTCTTCGGTCGCCACAACAGCACAACAACTTCCTCCGCTGGCAACTTTGACACAATTGGCGTCAGTTTCGTCTTCATTTCGATGTTCGTCTTTGGATTCACGCTGACTACCCGCACCGGGTCTTTCATCAGCGTCTTTGCGACGTCTAGGAATATGCTTTTCAACAGCTCTGTGTGCTCTGTATAGACGAGAATGCAGTAGTTGCTGTCAGTTGGGCCACACTTGTTCGATGGGGGATTGTACTCGTCGAAAGTGAGCTCCAAAAATTTCGGTGTCAACATCTCCTCACGGTATTGTTTCTGCACCTCACCAAAAAAGCCTGGAATCTCGTCAATCGACTTCTTCGTCCAGGTTCCGTCATGAACATTCAGGAACGCCTGATTTGGAAAAATCATGATTCAAATACGATTTGATCGGGCCAAAGGTAGTAGTTGGAGCGTCGTACTAGCTGGTATAAAATTACAAGAACAGTGTCGTGGAACAAGTCTTCGTCAAGAAAATCATGATCCATCTACTTACTTAAATACATATCTATAATTGTGGTCTGACGAGAGAGTGCCTAGTAAAAATATTATGAACAAGCGTGAATAAGAAAGATGTACCGGTAGTTTCTGCTTCCTTGGCACCAAAAACTCCTTGAATAGTTTCGGAGAGTCCTTTTTCGAGAGCACGCCTATCTGTACTTTGCCAAACTGCACTGATAAAAGAGTGAGCCTTGGTGGCGTGTTCGGCTTTTCGACGAAGAGGATAACCTTGGCACCATCGACAGACATAAACTTGTCTTTGTCGTGCTTTGTTTTCAGCGTCACTGTCTTGTCAGGCAGCGTCTTCTTCACCCACTTCACTGTTGTGTGTTTTGAAGAGAACAATTGAGGGTTACATAATGGGAACATCAAATTATTGACTCTTACAGTAGTACATGACAGAGGATCCATGACACATAATGGTTGATGTGTTTGCAAAAGTAGAACCAACTTTTTTTCGGACCTTCTAGCAGTCGCATCTGTGTTTACTGCACAAAGTACAAAGAAGAACAAGGAATAGGAGTAGTACAGAGCCCGTCATAGGTCTTTGCTCCAGAGAAGGTTTCTGTTTTTTCTCCTGCGCCGTAGAATTTTATCGACGGATAGCTTGAGACTCCCGCTTTATCGCATACCTTCTTGTGTCTATTACAGCCGACTGCAAAGAAGTTTGCAGCCCCATCGTACCCCTTCGCAAGCTTGCTAAATGGTTTCGAGAACTGTTTAGATGGTGTATGACCATCTTGGTAAAACTTTATCACGAACTGCTCAGCATAGTGATCGCGTGCACTGTTCACGTTATTCTGATAATCTTCGAAACCCTGAATCTCCGAAACGTGCTCGTCATCGTCGTACCTAATATATAAATTTTTTGTCGCATCATGTGAGGAGCAAGAAAAGAATTTCCTTTCATTATTGATTCCGATATGCATCGTCTAACGCCGGACTCCCTTAGACTACCGCACTGCAAAAACATGAAAATCAGGTTCAGGACGTGGTGAATAACAGTAACAACTAAGATGTATGATAAAGTACAATGGCGACTCTTGTTTTGCCTGCTGCTTGCCACGCTGTTGCCCGCCACCCGAATTGAACTGAAAACTCGCACCTCCGCCGCCAGGTCTTCCACCTCCAAAAAACTGAGCGAAAATGTCGGCCATATTATCTGTAATTGTGGTAAGTTTGGAATTTCTTCAGCACCTTGCAAGTACGAAGAGTACCTGTCGTCCATGATATTGGTAGAGCCGGAAAGGGAATGTGAATGAATGAATTACTTCACTAGAATTCAGTCAGATGTTGAGTGGTCATGAGTAGGTACCGCCGAATCCCTGCTGACCTCCGGTTTGGCCCTCTGCAGCTTGTCCTGGCCGTGTTGGATCCTCCCCAAACTCATCGTAGTTTTTTCTCTTTTTCGGATCCGACAAAGTTGCGTAGGCGTTATTGATTTCTTGGAATTTTTTCAGCCTTTCTGCTTTTTTCGTCTCGCTTTCATTCGCGTCCCCTTTATCAGGATGCCACTTCAATGCGAGCTTTCGGTACAGCTTCTTAATTCTTGAGAGGGGATCTGTCTTCTTCGCACCAAGTGTGGCATAGAAGTCTTTCGCCACCACACCCCAACACATCAAGAGCAAACCGCAGATCACTCGTACCGGAGCGGCAAATCGCGAAGGCAAGCGGAACATCGGCGGCGTTGATGAATGAAGTTCATCTTGAACCCGTTTGCTAGAAAATCGTCTCCCGTTGTAGGTTCCCGCCATCTTTGGCAGTGAGTCGCCACAACTAGTATCAGGTGAAACAGGGGACTGTCTCTCTTTGCTACTTGCGTTCGTGTTTTCGAAAACTGCCCTCAAGACTCGCCCGGCATGCGGTTGGAGCCGCGATGCTCCTCTTGAAGACCTCCTAGAAGAAGTAGACCTTCGGAAGCGTCCTTTTTCTCGTCTTCTTTGCGCCGAACAAGAGCTGCTACTGGAGGAGGTGGAAGACGAGAGCAACCATGAATCAACAAACGTCATTCTTGAAGAGTCAGCGGCATTGGTTGACCTTGACAAAATTAACACCTCATGGGAAGATAAAGACGATGTTATTCACTATCCAGTTTCACAGGGGTGACCGGTGTCAAATAACCAAAGGAACAAACTTGGGGCAACGCGATCACCTTCGGGGCGAACTCGCTTGTTCGGGCACAACTATGGGGACTACCATTCCTGAAAAGATTTAGAAAAGTTAGATGTAAGAACTACATCATGTGCTTCCTGGTCTCCTCTGCTTCAAAAATCTTACCGAATGCTCCATGACTTTCATCTCGCTCACACAAAGAAAGATCTGGATCTTCATTATGCTCCATTTTGAGCTTACCGGTACACAAAGTCAAAGTCTAGAGTAGAGGACAGGATCATCTGTCCTGACGAAATTTTTCGTTGATCTTTACTCTGTTTCTGCTGTTCGAGCTTCTTTTGATCATAGAATAATTACATTATTTTTCAACAATTTCGTTCTTGTTCGTGATGACTGATGAATCGATATCCTGGTGGAGTAAGCTTTTCCATGATTATGTCCCAGACCCGGTGCTGTGGTAACAATTTTCTTTCTAATGTAAGTTCTGAGGCGTTAAGGCCAAAAAAGTTATCGGGCAAGAAGGGAGTGATCTAGACGCGGAAAAAAAGAGAAGATTATGTGCGCTCCTTATTTTTTTCATGAGTTGGAATCGCGCGAGTAGTGTTCGTTGTATGTATGTTGGTGAAATTATTCTCATTTCAATTCTGTATCTCTATCTTGTTTTGGATTTTTCCGCTATCAAATGCTCTTGTGCTGATCGCGCTTACCCTCAGGACGGTGGAAATAAGTACTGAAGAGCGTGGATGTACCAGATACTTAGCTTTTAACGGGGATTCCTATTTCATCAAATCGGCTGTGTCTGTATGATGCGCTCAGTGGTGCCGTCGCGCTTTTTTCGCACGGTAATCACCTTCAATTGCGGACTCCCATTTGGTCCTTGGACCACTTGCGTATACGTCTCTTCAGAGATGACGTCTGCGGCTCCACCTACGCCACCTCCTCCGCCAAAGCCGCCTCCTCCAAATATGTTCCCGCCAGCCGCAGCGGAACCTAAGCTTTGGCCGAAATGAAAGCCATTGAATCGTTGCGCGTCGCGGAACGGATCGGCCCCTTGCTTATCGACCTGCTTCACGAGAGCCTCAGCCGGGAACCAAGCGTCTACCGAGACAGAACTTTTTTTGCTCGCGAGATCATCAAAGCGCAGCTTCACTGTGTTGTCGCCCGCATCCATTTTCACCACTTGCCCCGTCTTGCCCATGCAGCGCGCCCGCAAGTCGTCGTTAACGCTATCGATGCCACGTGCGCGACAGTATTGCTCGATCGCTCTTCTGTTCTCTATCACAGACAAACGATCACCCATCCGTACAACATTTGACGGAGCATCGTCCAAGCCCTGAAACATGCGTGAAAAGACGTCGTGGAAACCACCCCCAAACATCTGCTGAAACATCCTTTCAGCTTCCTCCGGTGTCATCTGCCGCGCACCCGGCATCCCTCCACCGCGTGCGGCCCCGGAGTGAACTGGGTGAGAAATATTAAATTGCCTGCTGGGTAACCAAACCAAAACTGAATTTTTCTATAATAAAAATAAATTGGTAGCGTTTTTTTGATCAGGCCCTATCATTTCTTTATTTGAATGAGTACACCTCAACGGAACAACGCATGAATGAATATCTACTGCGAATCAGAGTAGTGCACTCATCAAGCAGGAGTACATCCAGTTCCATTGGAAGCCGCTCCGCCGAAGCCGCCTCTAGCGCTGGGGTTAGTCATCGCGTCGTACGCTTCCGATATTTCCTTGAATTTCTTTTCGGCTGCTTCCCTGTCGTCCGGGTTTCGATCGGGATGGTATTGGAGTGCCTTTTTCTTGTAAGCTTTTTTGCATTCCTCTGGGCTTGCATCGGGCTTCACACCGAGTATTTCATGCGGTGCCCTTCTCGCTGCGGCGAAGTAGCGACGGGCCGTCGCTAAACCACCAGAACCAGAACAAGATATAGCTGTCGAAGATGAGGAGGAGACGGTGGGGCCACCCCTTTTGAAGCCTGTTGGACTCGTAAGGTTGAAACTAGATGTTGAAGAGCGACTTCCTCGCGTCGAAGATGTTCCCTTACAAGAACTTGTTCGAGTGCTATTATACGGCGTCGAAACAAGACCATTAGCGATCGAAGAGGAACATATTCCTCTGCTAAATTCACCCGAGAAAGCCGCAAGAGGACGCGACATAGATGAGCACGCACCGAGTCCACCGCCCGCAGCGCGCCGCATTGCCAACGACGGGCCAAGAGTACCAGCACCAGACAACTGCATCTTCATTTTTAATCCTTGACAACCATAACCAATGACCGCCAGAACCAACAAAAGAAATGGATTTGCCTCCGCTCTCAACAAAATCTCTAACGCTACCACAGCCCATATCTAAATCCCTCTGCCTTCATCTTCAACCAAACTTGGATGCTCGTCATGATCCCACGTATCTAAGAGAGACCCATGGAAACAGGCTAGTCGAAGACACATCATGATTGGGTTTCCTGAGAGACCGCATCGGGTGTGAAGATCACTATTACATCATCTTCCGGTAGAAATCTGCTGTTTGTAGTTACATGTACTTAGTACAGAACAAGACTACTTGATGTAGAAGAGCAACAAGGTTTCACAGACCACGGCCTAAAATCTGGATCATTTTAGCTGTACTACACGATCGGACGATGGACTCTGAAGTGAAGAACACAAAAACAATCCCGGTGGGGATGAGCTTGTTTCGAGGTTTGGTACCGTCAAGAGCTAGAGCACTGTTCATCATGTTGTTCTAAGTACTTTGCTGATACTGAAAGTTTCCCCGTGGCACAGCACCAAACAAGAATTTGTTGATTCAAAACTATGCAAGAGGATGGAAAGGCTACGTTGCACCTTCAAACTATCCAGTTCAAAACATGTCTGCGCAATTGCTTTATACCCTGACATTAGCATGCGAACAATCAAAATGGTCTTCTCGTTCTCAGTTCTTCTCCAAGACCAAGAACTAGATCCATATCTAAAAACTATCAAATTTACAACTTCTTGCGAAAATGATGGAACCTGCGACATGTTGAATATGCGACATGGAAATACTTACGTTGCAAAGTTGATGATGAGTGTTGCTTCTCGAACCTGATAGAATACCATTTCTACGGCGCGCCCCCCTGCTGTGCACCTCCTGGTTGCTTTACAGGAACAGAGCAGAGTTTTTGAATGTACTTCTTCACACGGCTCTCGCTCACCTGCAGCCTGAACTTTCGAACCTTGGAAAAAAGGAAAAAGACGAATGCGTTTAGCTTCTTCACAGTCGGAAAATGCCTCCACCCGATCTCGGAATACCACATTATGAAGGGGAAAAAGTGTGACTACGTCCGTGTAAGTAATGGACGGGCACGGAGTGATTTTCATGTTATGTAGTGGCGTAGAACTTACTCACTCCTTCTCATAAAATCTTTCAACCGAATAGTGCGATCCGCATTGAAGACATGCGCAAGAAAGGCGAGGTAACATATCACGTTAAATGCGTCTCCGTCCTGAAAATTTTCGAGTAGCTCTGTTGCCGTGAGATCCTCCAGATAGCAAAGGGTCAGCGCTAAGTCCAAGGCCATGTCGCAGTGGTGTATCTGGTACCTGCATATTTGAAGGATGCACTCAACGGATACTTGCAACTGGAGCGGCTTCACATTCACGACTCATCTTCACATCTATGTCAATGAATCACTGCTTTATTCAAAAAAACTTCCACTGCAAGAGTAGATGCATGTACAATTCATCCTCACTGCTTCCTATGATCTGTAGTGATGAAGTGAAGAAAAGGTACTTGTAGAAGAGGTAAGCTAGCGTAACCGAGACGAGCCGGTGGTCGTGCTTGTAGCTGAAAAAGTCGAATATTCCAAGTTGGTTGACGATTTCGTGAAAGTTGTACGCCAACAAAGCGCACTCTGTCGTGTACGTATACTTCGCGAAAAAAGCGTAGGATGTGAGCTCCCCTTTTATTGGCTTAGGTCCCCCAGGGTGCTTCCCGCTACTTGAGGACGAGCTTCCTCCTACCTGCGTCCTGGAAGACGTCGACGATGACGGATTGTGGCTGGTACTACTCTGTGAAGCATAGCTGGTCGATGCTGTGCTCAAATGCACGGGCGCGCCGCCAGCCTGTTGTTGTGCTGCCCCGCTCTGTTGCCGCTGGAAGTCTTGCTGAGCTGGTACGCTTTTATCCCCGGTATGGGTAACTGCGTTATTCGCATTATCGTCGTCCCCGAGATTTTCCTCCGATCGTCGTTCACACACCGGGCCTAATACCGAGGCGATAAGTCCATGTCCGTGATGCATTTTGGATTTTCGACCTCGAATTTTTCAGAGAAAAATCGATACAATGTTGTCAAAAATGCAGTGTCTTTTAATTACCAAAATTCTCTGACTTTTTGCATGATCTGCTTGACGTTAATCTACTCCTTGCTTTCAATTTTCTCCGTTACTTATCTTATGGTCAACTAATTTGCTGGCTTGAGCAGTTGCCGTGGGTGAGACGCTTGCGAAAGAGTCAACGTAGTCGTATAATGGTCTTTCATTTCCGCATTGAAAAAATCTTGGATATCTCTAACTGTAACATGGCATATTAGAGGCTGGCGGGGGAGGGGATAACAGCTTCCAATGTGAGCATCCTAAAGGTCGCCAGCTACTTGCGGATTGCAACAGGAACGGTCGAAACTCAATTCTCTCATATTAGCTCTGGTCCAACACGTCTAATCACACTCTACAGAATCAGTTGAATGACATAGTGACTCACTCATGGAATGCTTTTTGATCCACGGGCTATGGAGATGGCTTCTACGCGCGAGACTCGTTTTTTTCGTGAGGTAAAGAAAGGCGCCAGTCACACCTTCCGGACAAAAAGAAAACCACTACGTAGTTCGGTGGTTTTTAGTCAGAGAAGCAGTCGGGGATTATATATTTCGTCTGACACGCATGGTTGTATATGAGTTTCACATGGTATTGCTCTTCATTATATTTTGTGAAAGCGTTTTTCTACATACCAAACATTGTAAGTAATTAGTGTCGCGATCTCTACCTTATGGTAAAAGAATTTCTACGCGCTTTTGTAAATACCGAGCAAGTTAAAAATAACTCGAAAAACTCACGAAGTATGGGGTATTCATCAGTATTTGTACCTCAATGCGTACACGCGATGAATTTCACTTTGTTGCCATTTCAGTGTCTGGTATGAATTAGGTGCCTTGCTTATGCGGAGGGTATAAAAAAATCGGGATCTCCTCATCCTGGTGCTGGTCATGATGAAGAGCACGTGAAACAGTGAAGTAATTTCTACTTCACAGGAAGACTAAATCGCCCTTTCTGCGATGCGGCGTCCCTTAAACAATGTCGCGCACAAGAACGGACCCCGACAACTGGCACCGAGAAACAGGATTTTACTGCTCCTCGCTGCTCAGCTGTGATTAGAAAATCAGAGACGGAAATTTTTGAGGAGATTGATTCTGCAATTACAAAGGCATTCCCTGCCTCCGCAACTGCATATGCACAAAAGAGGACGAGTCCCGACGAAAGACAAAGACGAAGTACTTTTAATATTTTGAGTCGGCAACAGCTTCTACTTCATCTTAGGCTTAGCAAGGACCCATATTTAAGCAGTTGCCTCTGCAGCTGCGAGAGGTGCTTCCTCAACTGCTTGCTCTCCTTCAGTTTTTCGTTTTTTCGGTTCCGGACGAGGGGACGACGCGGCTTCCTCGACATTTGGATGTCTTTGCTTGGCATTTCCTTGCTCAGCAGCGTTTTCCTGCTCAGCACCCTCAGTTGTACTTCTGTCTGACACTTCGTTTTTCTCTGCGACAAGCAGCGGTGCGCCGGGAACTGCGCGCACGATCATCATACCTTTGGTGTTCTTGTGAATTATAGCGTTGAAGAGATTGTAGCAGCTGAAATCCACTCTATTTTATCTCGAAAGCTCGATTTCAGTGATTATGAAATTAGAGATTATACATAGAACAATAGGACACGTGGTTGGAGCGTGGATGACAGAAAAAAGTGATGGTTATTAAGTAATACTCATATTATCGCAGCCTGCTCCATTTTCTGACATTCCTGGTGACGGCGCCAGATTGAAGTCGAGAAATTCGCCGGAAACAGCGCTCAAATTCAAGTTTTCGGCACTCTCGACTTCTTTCGCGGCAACGTGGTCATGCATTCTCTGGTTTAGCCATGCTACGAGCTCTTCATTTGAGTTCTTCTCGAAGATGCCATCGCATCCCATGACAATATAATTGTCAGTGTCTTGGAGGTCCGTTATCTGAAATAGGTACGACATGAACGTGCAAGAAGACCAAAAAATCAAGTGCAAGTTCATGCTGGATCAATGTAACAAAGATAATAAATCAGAGAAATTGACCATAAGATTAGACTAGTACTAACGCATCAATAGCGCGATGACCACTAACACGAAGGTGAGGCAAAAATGAGTACCGAAATATCCGGCACAACGCATATTTTCTGGCATTCTGGAGAATTTTTCATGTCCTTGTAGCTGAGATCGCCCATGGCTCTACTCAAGTTCAGGTTTCCGTCGACGCGGCCCGGGTACTCTCCGAGGACTTGTCCGCCAGCTGCAACAATGCGCTCATATTCTTCGCGGTTGTAGGGCTTATGGTCCTCGCAGAGCCCCATACCGACTCCCTGACGACACAACACGGACCGAGAGTCACCGCAGTTAGCGCAGAAGACACGGTACTTGCCAGTAGAAGGTATGTATTGTAAGAGAATTACGTTCGCCGTGCACCCCTGGCTTTCAGGATTCACGCGGTGCCGAAACATTCGCTCCTCGAGATCCTCGATATCATCTGATTATGACGAAACAAAACAATCAAACGATCTCAATTTGTCATTACAGCGTGATCACAATTTTTGAAAGAACGAGCGTAAAGACCTTTCATCTTTTCTTCAACGAGCATAAGAATATTAGCATAACGGGACCACGAGCGATTCTAAAAATGAGTACTTACCCATGCCATCTCCGCTGCTACTGCTCCCGCTTTCCTTGTCATCTTCGCGATCGTACTCAGCAGCCTGCTCATCAAGGGGAATATTGCTAAAAGGCACTCCGCCACTGAGATCTGGGACGGCTTTAAAGAGCTCATCGAGCTCGTCAGCCTCACTCTTCGGTAAGTCTGCGACGGACCCTGGCAGGTCGTCGATCGTCTTTGCTGGCCCCACTGCCGGGCCGATCAGCGCAGCTGGTGCAGCTGGGAGAGCCGGACCTAACACGGAGCCACCGTCAGCAGCTGCTTCTATACCTCGTGCTATGCTGCTGGAAGGCGCTCCTGATGCTGGCTCTTCTCCTTTTCTTGCGCCATCCTCGGCTTTATCTCCTCCGTTTGGTAATGCTTCCTTACTCTGTATGCCGCCATTCGGAGGAGCTCCTACGGCTGGTGATTGTGAAGCATCTAGCACTGCAGTCGATGCTGTAGCCTCTCCATTCTTGGCCTCCTCTGAGCTTGATGCCGCTTTTTTCTGTGCTACTTCGTAGTCTTTCTCTGCTCCAACATTTGCAGCAGCATTGCTCGTCGACGATGAACTACCTCCAACTTGCACACTGCCTGCTGGCGCTGCGACAGCCGGGGATGGTTGCGCAGTCAGAACATCTGGCTGCGCCGTCAGAACATCATATTCTTCCTCTGACGTCGACAATGTGTGCTCTTTTGCTGCGGTGTCTCCTTTCGCGTCTTTTGCGGGTTCAGGTTCAGCACCGTCTCCGGATAATTTTTCATCACCTTCCTTAGTTTCTTTCTTATCACCCTCATCATCTCCATCGAAGGAAAGATAGTTTGCGCTTTGCAGTAGCTCCGATGCATCTATTTCTTCACCGTCCTCTCCTATTAATGTTGTCGTTCGCTGTTGATGGTATATTTATATAAACATATCGTCTTTGGAGGAAAAGAAAAATGGCAAAAATCACTCACTCGATGTCATAATAGGGGAATGTAACTGCCTCTACATCCTAAAAAAAACTGTAGCAGCTGATAGCCAGAAAACCTAAGCCGCGAAGTTTTCATCGCATACTCAAATCAATACCAGGAATTCTTGTAGAGAGGTTGCTTGTCCGTTGCCTTTCGGTGGAGGAGGCTCATCATCTTCGTGGCCGATTTTCAATAGTTCGGTGCGTCCTTCGTCTGAGTCCAAGTATATATCCATTTCTATAAACGCAGCCTTGAGCGCTGTAGTTGTTGTTTCTCATAATACATCGGATTGCTTTCTCGTATTACTGATGTTGCCCCGAAAGTGCCTTATTCTCAACATCAACTACCCATATTTTTCAGTAGACGATACGCTACACGCTGCATTTCTGCCTATTTGGTAACCACAACAAGGCAAATAGAAGTAGTACCTTCGGCGTAGTTTTCTTCGACAAAAGCTGCCTGCTTTTTCAGGATTGCTGGAAATTTCTGCGCCACAAGTTTGGAGACAGCAGATCCCCCATGGCCATCAAAGACTCCAAAAAGTCCCAAATCCTCAGCAAAATCAGGGATATGCAGATGCGCATCTTCCATCGTGCGTCTCCATCCTGAGAAAAGGGGAGACCAAGGTGACGGTTGCAAAAGCAAACAGTTTAGGTTTACCAATCGAAATTTCTTTATTAAAATATTTTCATCTATTTTCTTTCGCATCTCGTGATTCCAAAACTGCTCGATCGCCATCTATTCCCACATGATCTGAAAACGGTGATGGAGCCTTACATGGTAATACCTTGCATAGCACACACACCGTAGCCCCATCTTCCGCCCTTTCCACAGCCGTGTGCTGTTTCTTTGTGTGTGTTTGCCACTGGCAAATACGCTGCTGCACCCATTTTTTCGTCTGCGGTTTCTATCTGCTCTGTAGACCTAACCAGATCATGTAGCTATTTGATTTTCGTTCGTTCGCTTCACAAAATCGTGTGATGTCTCGTCGACGAGCTCCGATGCTGATGTATTTTTTACATCCGCTGCTGCGTGCCGTGTCCAGACAACCCTCATCAACAACACCAATCCACACGAGCAAAGTCGTACTCGTTGGCAAAAATGTACCAGGACAATAACCAGATGAGGAAAAAGAGCTGCTTCCTAGAATCTATCGTCGAGCATTTCTTGTTCTTCCAGTTCTTCTATTTTAGTTTTCGAGAATCACTTTCTAGAACATCAATAGTAGCAGAGCATTATAAGCTGCTAGCTGCAGCTCTAAGAAACATAATTTTTACGATTAAAGAAACTACAAACTGAAACTCGTCAGAATGACGACACAACTAAGACATCGAATAGGAGGACTGAACTTGTTTCATTACATAGACAAAAGAAATGATAGCTAAAGACAAATAACCTCCAGAACCACTGCAGTTTTTGATTTTGAATCATAGAAAGCAAGGAACAAATGAAACAGTCTTTGCTGACTGACCCCCATGAGAGAAAATCGATCTCTGCTGAAATAAAAACGTAAAACAGAAGTAGTGATCATGTGGCAACAGCGGTTCAAGGAAAAGCAATAGTGGAAGTGGATAATTTGAAGATAACCAACAAGACTAGCGCGTTTTCGGTCTTCGCAATTATTTTTTGGGGACTAAAAGTAAAACGGGAAGGCCTAACAAGTGAAGAGGAGCGGTGATGTGTAGGCCCTTGGGGTTCAGACGTATATATAAGAACCAAGACTACTTCTCGTGAGTGACCACCATAACCAGCAATGGCTCAAGAATAGTCATTTCTGCTCTTCAAGCGCTTCTACTAGATACTGACATCACGGGATCAATCAAATCTAAACGACGGTTTAAGTACTCAAATGCTTCTTGATGATCTTTCCTCATTAACATCGTGCGGCTACTTGCTGCTCACAATTTCATTCGTCCCCGCTGCCCACAGACCAGTTGAACGAGGCTTCAGGGGAGACTACGGCTATAAGATTCCTCAATTCTGGAGAACTTTGATAATGGACCGACAAATTTTCAGCATGATCTCCAATTCTTCACATACTCAAGAAGTTAATACTCGATGAGGACTAGAAGTTAGAGGACTGAAGACTGCTCTGGTGTCTTACCACAGGAACGAGAGAACATAAAAACATGCCAGGAATCTTTGCTCCTGGAAGCCTCCAGCAGGAACTCCTACGATACGGTTCATAATTGACGTGATCCCTATATGTATCGACGGTGTCGGCATTATTAATACAACCAGCGATACAGCACATACAACCCAAACTACCACATTCATATTGTTCATATGAAGATCTCCTTGCTGTTATTACACAAGTTCAAAGGAATACATTTAACTTTGAAGCCAACGGTGTGGAGGAGCGCGGCTCCGTCGCCACAATGCCTCGGGGAGGAACATTCTTCTGGCTGGATCGGAAACTTCTTTTTGTTGAAACGCCCGACAACATGTTGTAATGACAGACCCCTCGTCACTATAAGCACGAACTATCGCACGACACAGATACAACATATACCATTATCGTTTCCCCTCACCCATACCATCAAATCTAATGTTCATGCTAGCTTATGCATATTTCAGAGGTAGCAGTGGGTAACAACTATTAGCAGCCTTCAGCCAGCCTCAGGTACATTTTTTAGGAAGTTGTCGTATAATAATCACGCACGAACTTTCTTAGTCTCAAAAATAATTTTGCAGGGGCGATTCTTCTTGTAGTTGCAACGAATTCGATTGCAGGTTTCGCCGCTTACAATTTCTTGTTTTTATTTAACACAATCGATACAACCAGTACACATTGCTTCCTGTTCTTTTCCGAACTGCAACATACCAAAAAACATCAAAACTAGAATGATTGATTATTCCACTGTTGCGTCCTCACCGGCTCCCTAATTTATTTTAGAACGTTCACGATATAACAAGTTCAAAGAAAAATTGCGGTTCGGTTATTACAACGGAGCCCTTTCATGCAGGGACATAACCGTTCGAATCTGCACCGCATGAATTAGCCTCCGACGTTAGCGTTATGTCAAGGGCCGTGGGCGAAGCAGTAATTTACTTGGTAAGGGCAACGGCAAGGTCAAGGAAGTGAAAATAACATCGCACGACTGAATGTCGAGAATTAAGAAGCGTCGGCACAAGAAAAGAAATCATGCTAATACATGGACTTTTGTCCGAAGAAGTAGATACATGAACAAGAAGTACTTATTCAAGGGTGGGTATGCGTAGCGATGAGAGTGGGACTTCGCTCTTTGATGGTGAGCGGCGAAGTCGATTTATGGAATCTATCATAGGCATTATTCGCAAGGACAACTTCTCACAAGATTATAATATATTTCGATTCTTTATTTATTACCTCTTAGAAGTAGTAGATACTGATTCTTCCTCGTCTATAAAAATCGTGGAAAGGATCAGTCATGTAGTATGTGTGTCGTAAAAGCTGTAGCAGCAATATCTCAACTTCCAGTGTCCGCCCCAAAAATTGCAACCAATGAAAAAAATCGATACTCAACCAATCGATGGAGTGAACATTAATAGTCGTGGAGGACGACCCTGCAAGTGTTGAGAACCGAGCGGAGTCGTGGTTGGAGCAAAAAGTAACGTGGTCGTAACAAAGTTGGTACGCGCGATGACTCAGAACAAGTACTTAAGTTGAAAAGCATGGATCGATTATCGAAAATATCGGGTCCTCACAACAAACTACATTTGAATTCTACTTCTAGAGGCCGTCTTTATAATTTTTTTCTGATTCACATAACTTGACCAGCCTCTCTATGCACTTGAAAAAGCTTCAATTGGACATCATGACCGAAACTGTTGCGATCTTCTAAGTAATCATGATAACTGATACATAGAGGGAAAGAATTTAGGCGAATACACTGGCTAGCTTTAGGCGAAGGCGTTCATTCTTAGCGTGTAAGATCCGGGAACTCCTGAATCTTCATCGATCCGCATGCGGATTGTAAGTAAACAGCAAAACTTTACGAGGACGGGCGAGGTGATGAATCTAAAAGTTTTTTTCGTTTGATCGCTGTCGCTACTTATAAGCAACGAAGGCTGTGGATATTTGAGATTTAATACAACGAGAGCCGGCTGATTCAAAATAAATAGCAACGGCAATAATGCTGATTGTCGATGTAATGATCAATCGACTCATCGAACTACAAGCTTCAACAACAGCATGTCGGATATCTGTTGTTGTACCTTGTGTGTTCATTACAGATATGGTTTTTACATCCGTTTTCCTGGCGAGAACTGCGAGATCGAGTCTCCGCGAAAGACATCGGGACTCGCGGATGTCTCGCGCGATTGCGGATCGCGGAGCGTCGGTCGGCACAGCATCTGTGGTAGTGATCCCCGCAGTGTGACTCGGTGGTTTACTCGGTATTCGCGAAGCGCTTTCGCTGTAACTTTATTCACCAGTGATCGCAGCTTATTATCTCCACCACCGACACCGACCGATTTTGATGTGCCTTCTCCATCTGCTTCTACCGCATCATCGAGACCGGCGGCAGTCCCTGCGTCAGTCGCTCCTGCGCCTTCGCCACCGTCTTCGTCGGGGTGTTCGGTAACTTGCGCCAGCGAAGGCTTGCCTGTCGGCAGAGGAAACTCAGCATCACCAGCGCGGTGCTCATCGATTTTTGCTAGTGAAATCTGGGTCGTCGAGCGCGAAGACTTCTGGCGACTTAAGGCGTCACGCACTGCACTTTCTACCATCTGCGCAGTAACGTCTGACACTGAGCGAACTAAATGAGAAATATCCTGCTCGCCTAGGCTTGGGGAGCTATTCGCAACATCTTGGACCGAAACTGCTTCTCCTGCCGAACTGTCCGCCGCAGGAGGCGAGGAGGGACGCGGCCTAGAATGAGAGACGTTCGATGAAGAAACAGAAAGATAACAGGATTTTCCATCTTGAACGACAACGGCTTACACTTCTCGACATGAACATTGGTAACGCTGACACCTTTGAAACAAAATACCAGCGAACGAGAACGGCTAAACCTGATTTTGCTAGGCGGACTACACAAGCCAGAACAAGAAGCAAGAGGTACTGCTCCTTTTTCTCATCTCCGTCGACAGGGCAGATCGAAAAATCGAATGGGTAATTCAACAGAGAGCGCTTCTTGGCAGGAAGAACTGGCGGCGCGGTTTTAGCCGGTTGCGCTCGCGGCTGCTCAACACAACCGCTTCGACTAACGGCAGAAGAAATACCTATTGAGTTTCAGTAGTAAGGAATAAACAACGGCTATAATACATCAAGTTTCGCCTGATCGTGCATCAAACCTAGCACCCGAATGAAACCGTTTTGTCTATTTGTATTTCCTCAATCAACTCCATCTTCTAGCATCATGTCAAAATCGATTACTGGCAGAAGATGCCCCAGATGCACGCGGAGCCGGAGAAGAGGAGCCCGGAGGCAAAACTCTAGTTGGAAGGTTCGTGCTACTGACGACACGCTCGCTGAGCACACGACGAGCCTCCGGAACCGGCGAACGTGAAGCAACACGCTCGGAGATTACCCTGGAGGACTTCCATACGCCTTGCAGCTGTGTTGAAGTAAATATGTTAATGTTTGTGGCAACAGTAGCTAACAAAACGTAGCAAGGGAGGGCTGACAGGTCAAGATGAAGATGTTCTTGCAAAACATGAAAGACAGTAGAGACGGATCCTCAAAGACGAGTAGAAAAAGAGAAAGGGGTTCTAGGCCGTAATAGAAGTGTAGTACGGGTTGCTTCTCTTCGAGGCGAGGACTGGCCACAACAGTGGTTTTTGAAGGAGGGTGCAGCGACTGCTCACTCGGTCGCGGGCTAGCTTGTCTTGATACTTGCGAAACTTGCGGAATACAACGAGGGCTCACAACTACCGCACTGTACGTGGTCGTACCTTGTTCGTTGTGGTATGGTTGCTAGAGGCTTCCAATTTGAAACAAGTACAACACCAGCCATGCAGAAGATAACTACTTCAAGCAAACGCTATTCCGACGACGCTATGAACCACACACAGAGTCGGTGAGCTTGTCCAAAGTCCCGTCGGGGAAAGCTATTTTAGAAGTACTCGCTAGCGGCCTAGCTGCGACTGTGTTTCTTGGTAAGAGCAAGGTCGCTCTCGGAGGAGCTGCGCTTGGGGTCGGGTCTTCCAACCCTTGTGCGATCACCTGTGACGGTGGCGGCATCAACAGTGGCGCTGTGGTTCTTTGCTTCACAAGCGGGGCGGCTGAGACAGTTTGAATTTGAATGATATTCTTATAAATACATGTTCCAAAAAAACGCCAGGCGTCAGTTATGAATAGATAGTAAGTATTTATCAAGTGAAATATCAAGCTGAAAACAAAATCACAGCAGAGGACAACAGATGAAGTATATTGGTATTTGATTGTACTTTTTGTCCCGTTGCTTAGCCCTGGGTATGTATGCCAAGGACGGCATTTGTGCCACTCTTCATATTCGGACTTTGTCATCATTACTGGCAAGACCGTGCTGTCTTCTGCTGACGACGCGGACGCACGGCGGTTCTCCGTTGTTCGCGGCGTCGGCGAGTGCACGGCAGCGCGTGACGGTGCTTGTTGCGCGAGTTGAGGTGCAGTTGTCGAAGGCGATCGCGATACAACGTCGACACTATTGGATGGCGCACTACCAACCGAGTAGTAGGTTGTTGTACCAGAAGGCGCTGCTGTATCTCGTGGTGCTGAAGCGGTCACGCGGGGCTGCGCATTGGGAGAATGGACAACCGAAACAGGCGCTGAGGGTCGTGCGGAAGATGTAGTGCTAACGACACGAGTCGTGTGCGTGACTACGGGAGGCCGTGCCGGTGCCGGATCCGTCACAAGCTGCATCGTCTGTCGACCAGCAGAGGACGCACGAGTCTGGTGCGGTGTCACCCGCCCAATCATGTTGGCTGGAGCGATCGTCTGTCGGTCGTGAATCAACGACATCTCCCGACTCTCAGCCGGGCTTTTCGTAACTTGTTCTGTGGGGATCAACATTGATCAAAGTTGTCGTGGAGGACATGACAAAACATTATGGCAGATAGATTTTTTTTTTGATGTCCCTCTCTCTAGACTGAAAGTTAGTTCAAAAAAGCAAGAAAGTAGAAGGGTCACAACCAATGGCATCATCTGCAAAAATCTTCTCACCAGTGGAGTATCGGCGTGGCTCTGAAACGTCGATTCTCGCTGGCGCAGTCTTACGGGTGATCGTCGCCGGTGACGACGAGCTTGTTCGAGCTGGCTGAGCAACCGTATTCGAATTTTGAGTACTAGTCGGTGATGGCGTTACCACGTACACTTCCTTGCGCACAACAACGGGTGTTGTGCCGCTCGTCGTGGGGCATACTGCTTGATACTGTTTCGGAGGCGAGGCTGCGCGTAATCGCTCGACAATGCGCTCCGCTGGCGGAAGGATCGTCGAAGGAGACGCGGGTGCTCGCGACAATGCGGAAACTAGCGGCGTACTTGCCGTTTCCCTGTTAGGTGTCAGGCCACGACACAGATTCGGAGGCGCAGTTGAACGGAGCCGAATCTGATCTAAACGCATCTGCTCCTCATCACGTACATCCACATTTTCTGACGTGGCAACCTGCTGCTGATGTGTGGAATCGTACTCGTAGCAGTTCAAAAATTATTTACCCAGCTTGGTGCAGAAAGAGATCAAAGAGAAGGAATTGTCTCCCAATGAATCCAACATTCATAAGAATAAGAAATCATCTCAGTTTGATCATGTTCAATAAAATCAGCAACGGTGTATTGAAATAAAGGTAGAAAACCAGATGAGACTGCGATGACGCGTTCGAGGCCTTCTCGTCTGTAGCGGAGTTGATTTTCCTTTCCTCGCCATTGCCTGCTTCTAAACTTTCCTCTGTCGGTGTTGCCAGATTCATTGCTGGTTTTGCGGCGCCTAGTGAAGATCGAATGCTGCTTTTCTGTGAGAAAATCGTCCCTCGCGGAAGCAGAGGTTCGCTCGATGCCGATACTTGGCTGAATCCTGCCTGAGGCGATGCAGAGGCCCTACGGCTGGACGAGGACGCCGCAGCAGCGTGAGTTCTGTACTTGCGCAGCTCCGCTTCTAGGGCAGCGATGTGCTGCTTCAGCTGAACAATCTTCAATTTCAGTTCCGTGTTCTCCTTTCGGAGACTCGCCGTTTTTGCGAGCTCGCTCGCCTGCTCCTGCTCGTCCTCATCGCCGATATCACCTGCACTACTGAACGGACCATCCATTTTCACAGCCTTCGGATCCAAGATGACACCCTGGTTCAGCTTCTTGCGGCAGTACTGCAGATACTTCAGACGACGATTCTTAGAGGGTAATCGATAGGACGACCAGAGGTTACACAACACAAATAAGGAGGAGAAGGAGAATGACATATTTTCTAGATGGAATGTGCATTTATGCCCTAACTTTTAGCTCGCCCACTTTTGCGGCCTGATTTGCATAGTTCTGCTCCGTTCGTTCATGTTTTTTGGTGAGGTCGGCTAGCTCACGGTCAAACCTTTGCTCCAGCTTTTGCTTGAGGGGTACTCGGCTTTCCTTTACACGCTCCAACGTCTCCAGATCATGCGAAATTTTGTTCGCATGGGCATCTTCCTTCCGCACCTCCCGCGTTGTGTTCGTTATTTCTCGATTCTATGAAGAGAAAGGACGTAAGTGGTAGGATATGGAAAGACATGAGGGGACCTTCGTGAGATGCAATCTATCAGAATGGAAGTACTTAGGCGAGCGAGGAGAAGAAGAACAACCGCATTGGTTGCGCTTGCGGCAAACTTTATCATAAATCAAGCTCGCGTTGCGCGCGATGTAAATCCCGGTGCCTCTCGAGCTCCTGTGTTTTCAGCTCTTGAATCTCGCGCTGATGCTTTGCCTCTCCAAGACGACGCTCTCGTTCCAGTGTAAGGAGGTGAGAAACTAGCTCATCCGGCATCAGAGCTCTCATTCCTGGTGTGCCAGAGCCAGATCTTGGCGTCGCTGAGCGCGGCGTTGTCGCAGAGCGAGGCGAAGGCTGCACGCTTCGCGGCGTCCCAGCCGACCGTGGGGATGGCTGGACACTGCGTGGCGAGTGCGTGTAACTGGAGTGAGTGTGATCGACGGTGTGGGAGTGTGTGTGACTGTGAGTACGTGTAACTTACTAAACGACCGTCAGCATATTGTTATACATAGTTATTCTACTTCTATCTAGTTCGTTGTACAATGCACGTGGTGAAATCGAAGTAGTTGTACTTTGTTTGCCCTGACCCACGCGCACTGCGAGTATTAGTTCGGCCCAAGGAAGGTGTAGGAGCTTGCGTAGAGCAATTGGACCTCGTTGAGCTCATCTTTGCACCACGAGTCATTTTGGGCGGCGTGCGATTGTACCGCAAGTCTCCGGTACCGGAGACCTGCCCAGCAACTGCACGTAACATCTTCTCTAATTCTCTCTCTCTCTCGAACTTGTTGTCTCTTCCTCTAGTGCGCCAGAAACAGAATCTCGGAAAACTTCTAACTATAACTGTGGTATCAAATGGGCTTGGCCCTTTAATTATATTGACTCTTCCATCAAACCAAGGAGTAGTGTCTAGATGAGTGTAACAGCTATTCTCTCCCACGAATTCATCTTGATGCATCACATTTGTCTTGGTCCTCCTTTGAACAAGATGATTTTATCGTATTACCATGTCTCAGAGTCTACTCACACAATTAGAAAGACCGATGTCTCGTTGCGATCGTCACACGTGATGGAAATTGTCTAGCTCTACAAGTATTCATGAGCCAACTGCGCTGTCAGGAGAAACCTTTGATATATCAATCAAACACAGGAAGGCGATGTCCCTCTACTAGTTAGTTTCTCTGTAATGCCATGCTGATTGAGTCAGTCTTCGTTAGCGTCATTCGATGTCCGGTCACCAGACACACGAGCATGGTTTGGATCGATGAGTCTATCCGCGAACGGGCCAGGTCTTGCGGCGGATCCAGAACACTGAATACAAGATTGACCACCATTCGGATAACAATTTTTCCTTGAAGACATGCTGTCGGTATGGATATCTTTTTCCATGTCGTTGGGATAAAGCGCAAGGGTGAACAAGGATGATATAAGTCGGGTATGGGTAAAATATGAAGTTCTAATGTTCGTGATGTCTCATGGCGGGAACATAGGAAAAACTAGCAATATGAGTACTCATGGAAGCAAGGACTCGTTTGTATTCTAATATATTCTTCAGTTTGCGGCCGGATCATGATGAAGCTAGATGAAGTGGGGCAAGCGTTCATGTAAATGTTAAACGTCATCGTATAAATATCATGGGGAAAACAAGAATGACGCTTTATTTTTGCCAAATTTATTTGTTTTCTTCCATTAAGTACTTACTGATGTGCGATTGCGAACCGTGAACCTCTGCATACGCTTTTCTATTTGTGACTGTGCGTTTCTAGATGGGCGTGTAAGTGTTTGATAACGGTGCATAATGATTTTTCGGTATAGATATGATTTGTCTTCGCCGTTTGAGCTACAGCATCACTCTCATACTCATGCTAGTTTTACGCAAGAAGATCTCCCACGTTTTTCCGAATCGAAAATCAAGAGAAAGTCGATGGGTGCGACGTGGTATCTCTCGCACTGCCAGCGGAGCTGAGTGCCGACAAGCTGCACGACGGCTTCGCTTTGCTGCTGCTTTTGACCTTGTTGGAAGCCTGACTAAGCTTGACAATTTTGCTGGAGCTGGCGCTTTTGGTCTGTGCTGTGGAGACAGTCTTGGGGCTGTTGGCCGCCATTTTGCTTGTGCTGCTGCTGATAGCGTCGCGTCTGGAGATGGTGCTCTTCGTCTTTGGAGTGCTAACGATGGTGGAAACGCCTTTTTTGACGCTAGTAGAGGATGTGCCTGTACCGGCGGAGATAAGCGATAGCAGTGCTTTCTTTTTATCGGCGACTTGGTCGCCAGCACTCATCGCTGTCTTCTTTGCTTGTTTGCCGTCATCTTTTACGCTTGATTTCGTGACGCTGATTCTTTTCGTCTTAGTTTTGATGGCGCCCACAACTCCAGATACTTTACTTGCAGCTACTTGCTTCGAGCGAAGCGGAAGCACAGGAACGCCATTCTTCTTACTACTCGAGTCCAATCGTCGGGAATCTCCGGCAAGCGAATGATCGGCGTCCTCCATGGCCGCAGCCTCTTCTTCAACGACTGGCCGCAGCATCAAGGTGCTGACTCTGGTAACCAACGCCGCACTTGGTCCAAGATGCAGCGACGAGGACGGCCTTCGACTGGGAGACGGAGACGCTCCGAGTTTACTGCTTCGTCTCTTTTCCAAGATGCCACCACCTCCGGCATTTCTTGAGGACACTGCCGAAGAATCCGATTGGTTGGAGACTAGGGATGTTCCTGGGGTTGGCATGACACTCGAACTCAAGCCCATGAATTTGCTAGTAGATGATATATAATCAATAGAAGATCTGCGCCGCGACTCAGAGGCAGAAGGACCTGACTCGACATGTTGCGAGAGAGCCAGCTTCTTGCTTTGAAATACACCACACGACTCATTTACAACTAGTTCGTTTCTAGAAGTTTCGCGTTGTTGTTCTTGTTCTTGTTTGCGATTTTTCTTCTCTGCCTTCTTCTGCCTCTGGCGCTGCGCGGCATCCTCGAGGAACCACTCCTGGTCCTCGGGCGACATAGTCAACGCGTCCATGCCTCCATGGTCCGCGAGTGCGCGAATAAGAGTCGGAAGTGCATTTGTGCTCCGCAGAAGTGACCAAATCTTAGAATAGAATGTTTTGAGCACGCGGCACATTTAACGCACCTTTCCTGGCATGGCATGCCGATTGAGAATAATCAATCTGCAGCCAACATGAGTCTGAGTGAGTAATTACTCCTTCTAAGAAGTACAAGTACAACGAAAACTGTCAAGTCGTGTACGAAAAAACACATTTTGCCATCCGTTGTCTTGCTAGCGTAGGTATCTACTCATAAACCCTGCTGCTTCTGCTTCCCGCCAAAACTGTAGGCTGGGACCTCTCTCGAGGTCAACCCACGCATCTTCCCCGTCCTTGTCAGCCAAATCGACGAAGCCAGTGCGCCTGCCTGCTTCGTCTCTTGCTTTCGCCCCGTGCTTTCCAGCGGCCCTGATGAAACAGATGCAGGTTAGATGGACGAAATTACTATTGGGCAATCAATCTAAGTTGAAGCGTTTCTTCCATGACACAGGTACAAAGAAACACATCGCCCTCATCCAAGAAGGATCTAGTTCACCACAATGCGGATAGAAAAAAGGAGCATGCATTTCGAAAAAATGTTTGTCAGTTGACGTTGATCCATAACGGTTCTCCACTACCAAAACGCGCGGCAGCTGCGACGGGAGGCCTGCGTCTGTCAAACCTTAAGTCTCTGTCGTGCAGATCTTCCGATATTTCGACGATCTGAAATCGCGCCTTTCCTTCCTTGTTCTTGCTATACCTTACCAACCTATTTACCATTCGAGTCAGTCGCTTTTTATCCTCTTGAGACCAGTGCAATCCTCCTGAGATCAGTCCTGCGTCTTGCATATTTCCTTAGATTCCTTTCTTGGCAATTCATGAAGGAGTAGTTTCCACGACAAAGGACGATCCCCATATATAAGAGTAAGAGGATGAAAAAACTGCCGTAATAGCAACTCAGTGAACTGCTCAATATCCATTGCCCATGCTCCGTGCTTTTTGAAAAAACCGTGTAGTTCGCCCACTGGCACATAGCCTGAGGCGTCGTGATCGTTACCCTTTCGTTCCAGGTACGCAGCCAAGAGGGCATATCGAAGAAATAGCGCCAAAACTAACGAAAGTCTTGACTCCCATTGCCAGAGATTTTTATCATCTCTCGCGGCTTTCGTGACGTACGACATGGCACTCTTGCTAAAGACATTGCTATTCCCATGCTGATCATGTCGAGCATCTTTGTTTTGTTGGCTATGTGCTCCATCTACTTTGTCCAGGCCCTTACTGGAGTGCTGAGCTCTGCCACGCCCAGTAGTATGCTGTCCTTGCTTCGACTGGTTTACCAGTGCCAGTTTATCTAAAACGGTCGCGCTTCTAGTCGTGCTCTTCTGATTTTTTGACGTTGTCGATCCCTGTCCGCGACCCAATGAAGTAGTAGGGAAATCGATTTTTTTTACAGTCCAACTTCGTTGAGCACATACACGACCTCCACAGCGGAGCTGGGCGCGGCCTCTAAGATTTGCCCCTTCACATTCGCTTGTTTTTGGTGTGGTAGTGCTGATCGTCTCAGGGTCGCCGCTCGTTGGTTGTCGCTTTCGCGAGCGCTCCCGGTGCGCTCGTTGTGCGGTAGGAGTTGAAACGCCCAAAGCAGCGGCTCGCAGCGGCAGGCTATATCCTTGCGGATAATGAGTCTGCTGTTTTGCTAGATTTTTACCCGACATCTTCGGTTTGTTGGATAGCAATAGTTGGAGAAGCCTTAAGAAACTTGCTTTTGGTGTTTAGAAAGTGGAGGCCGCGCCTTAGAAAAGTAGGCCAGTAGCATAGTGTCACATTGTTAGTTTCACGCGATAGATAATTCCGCCAAGTACTCACGAACCAGAATGGTGAAAGAAAATGAAAAAGAATAGGTCAAGTAGTTTCAAATTCAATGTCGATGGTGTTCAAGTCTGAGCACAAGATAGAATAGAAATGTGTATCATGTCTCACATGACTAGGACGCATCTTCATCCAATCATCGTTATGCGGTTTTTAAAAACAAATAAACTCCAAAAATCAAGATGAGAATTCCCCTTTATATAACAATCGGCAACAAACGAGGTCCGGGGTCAAGGTTTTAATTAAGGGGTACCAAATAGAATCCCAGGGCTTGTAGGAAACGAAGGCCAGGGTCTGCAGAGTTTCTGGGGCGAGCACTAAGCCGCAGACAGTTCACGCACTAGGCTGCGGACAGTTCACGGACGCGCGCGGAAAAAAAGCCACGGCTTTGGACCGCTCCCAAGGTTTTGGCTCTCAGGGTAGACCAAACAGCGGAAAAAACCCGAAGCTTCCGCCCCAGGGTTTGCCTCCTCATTTTTCACCCCAAGGTTTCAACACTCAAGGTTTTGGGGTTTTCGCGCTCTCATTTTTAGCGTGTCAGGGTAGACCTCCCCCGGCGTCCTCAGGGTTTGCCCCTCTCGGGGTTTGCTCCTCTCAAGGTTTGCCCCTCTCAAGGTTTGCGCCTCTCAGGGCTTGCCCCTCTCAGGGTTTGCCCCTCTCACTCAAGGCTTGCCCCTCTCAAGGCTTGGAACACGAACAGCCAGAACGAACCCGCCGAGGGAGGGCGAGAAGAAACACGCCACAAGGCCTGAAGCCATGCAAGGCGAACGGCGTGGCTCCCCTGAGCAGGTCCCCAAGCCGGGGAACTTGAAGCCCCCCAGGGTAGAAGCGCTGCCGGCGTCCTTGTCCGCGGGCGGGCTGGCGTGGTTTCCTCGTTTGGGCCTTTCGAGACGTTGACGGGATAAAACGCGCACCGCGTGCGCGTTTTGTCCTTGTAATGGCTTCCAAAATGCAGGAAAAACTGAACGGCGCGGCAATTCGCTGCCGCGCCCGCGCCCTGCTCGCGAGAAGCGTCCCGCGGCTGCCACTTTGCGGCGGCTGTAGCACTTTGTCCTCTACCGCCCGCGCTTCTCTGCTCTTCTTCCAGTCCCTAGCAGTGTTGCTCTCCTTTCTCTGTCGTCTTCGCCTTTCCTCTTAGGATCTAAACACTCGGGTCACGACTAGTATTTCATAACTAACCGTCGATCGTAGTTGTAATGAACATTTTTCACATATAATATTCGCTTTGGTGTCCTTCGTGTGATATAGTCTGCAAGACGCTTGTCAAGCCGTCGAGATACTCTATTGTGTTAGGATATCAGTCCTGTTCTACTTCTATTGTTGTTGAATACGATCTTCACGATCATGCAGAGTATTGAAATGATATACTTGACCTTGATGAAGATGCAGAATTCGCTTATATGAAGGTCCTCGGTACTTCAGACAGGGCAATTATCATCATCAAGGCCAACCGATCAAGCACGGTAAGTGGGATCGGCCACAACAGCACGTTGTCAGTCTTTGTATTTTCCCCTCCACTTTCTTCATCACGCGCGTTGTCCTTGTATAATTATAGATACATGAGAAATTTTATTGAGCAGTCGAGAAATGCAGATAGATTGTTGGTGAACTTAACAACGCCCACGCCCCAGCACGGAAAACCGAAACTGAATCAACGGAACTGACAGAGTAGGGGTGGCGACTATGCGAGCGTCACCAGGGTGGCTGCAATGCTCCTGGAGATCAAGATCAAAATCAATGCAATGCTCCTGGAGAACAGAAGTAGGCGAAAGAACGTTCAATATGCTGATCTTGTCCTCTTGGGGTTTTCGTCTGTCATGAAACAGCTTTCAAAAAGTCCTAGCAGTGGCATCTGCATGCATTGCATGCCATGAATACATAGAAGTTGTAGAGTTATATTTTCTGGCGCGCGTTCGCGTAGATAGCAAACGTCATGAATAAAATCATGTAAGTAACTCATCTTCATAAAACAAATTCCATTAGGAGGAAAAAAAGATCGATGAATGTCGCCTATTTCCTTATTCCGTAGGCTTGAAAATTGCAGCTGGATGCCGCAGACACTCTGCCACACCTGGCAAGTGGAGACCACCTACAACAAGGAACAACAACTTTCGTTTTCTGCGCTCAGAGATTGCACCCGTGTCATGTACTACAATCTGGTCGACACCGGGATCCTCGTCACACCTGTTTTCGATGTTCCGAGTTGTGCCTGATGCCGCTGCTGGCCTGCACTTTGCCAAAACGTTGTAAGCCATAAACTGATTGCGGTAAGCAAGCATGACTTCGTAGATCAGCGGCGGCAACATGATTGCGGCAGACCAGGAAAACGCAGTGGCTGCATCGGAAGCAAATGCGCTACTGAGCAGATAATCACTCCAACCATTCGATGAAGATGATGCTGCTGGAACAGCGCTACTCGCGACGGTTGTGCTAGGAATTGGTTGTTCCTTGGAAGCACCAAAAAACGCATTAGAAGCCGCTGTGACGAGTTCCGAGAGAAAGTAGCCAAAGTGCTCACCGATAATCGCCACGAGCCAGCCGCCTGCCTGGAGCGCGAGTGTAGCCAGCCATATCACACCCGCCGCCAGAGTCCCACCAAGCAGCGCTAGTACGAATCCCGTTAATTGGAGCAAAACCATACCAAAAACGAGAAGGAGCAATGGCATTTGCAGCATGGTCTGCGGCAGCAGCAGTAGCAAGTCGACCTCGCGCGGAAAAAGGATGTATTCGAAAAACCAACGAGGCAAAGCAGTCCAGAAGGAAAGTGTACGTCTCAATGTCCACGGGACATAACGCGTCCAGTAGGTTGAACCTCGTGCATCGACAGGAGATTGATTCTGATTTTCTCCTCGTGACCGGATCACCTCGGCGGTGCCTACATTTATCTCGTTTCGATTCGCATTTCTCGTGAATAGAGGGATGTTTGCGGCAGAGCTGTCAACAACAGTTGGACCTCCTCTCTCCAATTCTCGAGTGTCTGCTGTTTGCGCTAATGTACGTCTTCTACCGCAGCGACTGCAGATGGCAGGCACGATGTTGCGTCGATTGAGGAAGTTGACACCTTGCGCCAGCATTTGCTTGTCATCAGTGTCGACGAGCATGCAGTCTAATCGTACTTCATCAGCGATGCGAGCGCAGTTGATGAATTCCGATCCCGCACGGACGCGCGACACTTCGCTGAACGTCTCATAAATTAGACCCAAGGGGAGCAAGAGCAGCGTCCATATCAGAGGCGGCAGGGCGGACAGCACTTCGGTCGTCCACGACGCTCCAGGCGCTGAGATGGAAAAGCCGCCCTGGGGCATTGCGAGACCCCACCACGAAGGCAATAGTGCGAGAACAGTCAACTCTTCCTGCGTCAGGATTGGCTCGTCGCCGGGAGACTGACCTTGTTCTGTATGGTGCCGACGCGCTACAGCCCCTCCTATGACGCTTGTCTGCGCTTCCGTCAACGCCTTCATTCTTGCTACTGCTTCAACGTGGTACTTGTCGAGAACCATTCGATCTGCAAAGCTAAGCTCAAGCGAAGAGTGAAGGATCGCGCTCGCGTCTGAGCCCATATCTACCCGTGGCAGACAGGCAGCGGCCGACTCACCTGGCGCATCTCCCTGTAGCTCTGCTGGTTCTTGTTGACCGATCGGATTCTTCGTTCCCATAGCGAGTTTAACAAGATTGGTCGGCGACAAAACGTAGAGCAGAACATTTGGTCGGCCTTCCCAAGGCTGAATCCGCGAGCTGAACAACCGGCGCTGCCAGCATTCTGCAAACTTGTTGTAATGTGGAAATAGTGCGTGCTGTGTCGTTATTCGCACTCCGTAGCCGTCCCGCAATGCAGTAGTTCTGGAACCAGAGGTAATAACAGGCTCATCTTTGTTTTTTGACACCGGTGGTTGTACTGCATCAGATGGAGGAGTAATATTTTGTTGTGATACGGAGTCGGCCGCTGTATTCCGGTTCTCACACGACGAGCTGCTCAGTGGATATAGCCGTGGAAGCTTTACGGCGATCGTGTCTGACATTGTCTGCATGAGAATCGCTCGCAGACCCGATAAGGTTTTCAGCCGTCTTCGGCGTTTCTGCGGTGCCCGCACAAGAATGACTCCTTCCGCACCCGCGCACTCCGCACTGTAGGCAACCTCTCGTGGTAGCATCGTGGCATTTTCGTCCAAGTACACGACAATCATGCATCCCGCGACGGGTGAGTCCTCCGGAGTCGCCGGCAGACCAACAGCATCTAGAGAAAGCGACGCTGATGATGTGGTAGTAGAAGTAACCTCTCGCTCGCGTCTGCCGCCTGCGTCATCTTGTTGTAAAAGTAAGGGACTTTCGTCAAGTGGTTCTTCGAGAAAAACATGAAAGCCCCGCGCCTCTTTTTGCACCTGACGCAAAAAATCTGAGTCTTCTGAGCTTTCCTGCCGCTTCGACGCCCAGTTTTGCAATACGTCACCAAGTCGCGGCGGCCAAAACATCACTGGCTTGTCGTGCAAAGTCATAAAACTTGCCTGAAGTGTCTCCACCGACGCGCGATGATTTCTGTATGCTAGGTTCCATTCCGCTTGGTACGCGTCGACGCTAACTCCTCCGACCTTGAAGTGTGACAAAAGGGGTACCCTCCTGTCCCGATCTGGAATTGATGACAACAGAGAGGGGATGTAGTCCAGTTGACTAGCCGCGTCGGCGTTCGGAAAAGTCTTTAGCCGTGGACCTTGGGGAGTAAGTAAAGAAGCCGAGGAGGCACTCGAGGCAGCTGCTGCAGAAGGAACTTTTGAATTCGATGCTCTGGAGTTCGGAACAACTGTGGCTGTGGCGAACGACTTGTCATGACTGTGCCCTAGACCCAGAAGCGCTCCGACATTGATGCCGCGCACTCCTGCTGCCACAGTGGAGTATTCAGTGCCAAAAAAATCCTTTTTGTCAGGAGGGGAAACGCAATCCGCGCCACAACAAACAGTAGCGAGCCAGCCAGGACAACAGGCACTTGCAGATGACGATGTTGCATTTCCTTTTCCGGTTGTCCCAGAGCGGCGAGCCACCGAGTCACGATCGTCTAGATTCATCGAGACAAAACGTGCCTGATCGAGCTCGATCGCATAGGCGTCAGGCTTGAGACGTTCGATACAATCCATCATATTGCTGCTACTCGCCGGAGACAAGTGATTCGTCCCGAAGACGATGACGTCCCAAGGCGTGTCTAGGATGCTAATTGGCTCAGACATCGTGACCGGCCACATTTCGAAAGGAAAGGTGTTGGTCCACGGTCGCGCACCGAAATCGGGGATCGTCATGCCCGCGTCTTGTTGAGAAGCTTGTGTGGTGTTTTGTTCGTGCTTTTTTTCGGGCGACACTGTTCTCATTTCAACACCTCCTGCAGCATGCCCGGCATCAGGCTGCCGGGTTGGAGATGGAGCTCCACTTTTTACAGGTACCGCAGCGTACGCATACGAGCTGCCCTCGGCTGCTGCGCGTCTCCTGTCCGACAAATCATCCATACCGACTGCACGAGCACAGAAAAGTTGGCAAAACCGCCACAAGAGTAGCAGTGGCCATGAAATTACCATGTCCCACAGAGGCGGCACAAGGCGCAAGCAAAGCGGTGGACGAAGCAGGGATCTCCGAAAGTCTATGTAAGCTCGAAAGTATGCGTCAGCGGCATTCCGCTTCTTTTCTTCCATTGCAGCTGCGCTCGTGCTAGAACTAGCTGTACTCGCCTCGTCGGAGCCTTCCATACTTGCAGGAGACGCCTCTGTTGCAAGCCTCCGCTCTAGGAACAGGCTTCTGAGTTTGCGCGATTTCTGAAAGTGAACGACTACACGCCACAGGAGTAAAAGAGTTAGCAAAGAAGGCAGGTAGAGGTCGTTGTCGGCCACAAGGCAAAAAGGTAGAATGATCATCGACCCGTCCTCAGCATGGTTTCTCGTTTCACGCGTCTGAGGACCTTCGTTTACTTGCATAGACCGATGAAGAGGAGCTTCTTCTCTTGAAGAGCTAGAAATTGAAATGTAGTCTGTATCTTCAAGTGTGTTCGCTGGCCCAAAAGTATCAGGAACTGAAACTAGGTTCACCAGCATGTTGAGCGTCGGCCATGAAACCAACTGCTCGTGTAGTCGTCGTCGATGTAGATCGAATACCGTGATTTTGTTATCTGGATAGTTCTGGTTTTGCTTTGACAAAGCAGAAGCACCCTTCGGTGTGGTTGCAGCTTTGGCTGCTGAGGATATTTGTTGATCTGCATTGCCGCGCTCCGCCAGTTGCAATTGAAGCCCTCCCTTTAACGGTTCCCAGTCGAAGAATTCTTGTGCCAGACGGTTCCCGGTCTCGAAAGCCCCTCCATAAGCAGGTGACTGTGGTGAGAGTCCTACATCGAGCACGAAATAGCCAAGAGTTGGGCCAAAAACAGGAATACCGCAAAAAAGCTGGTAAGCGGGTGCTCCAAAATTCTCCGGAAATACCAGCACTGCCAGCAAGCTGAACGCGCAACCCGTGAGGTCGATGATCCACGAGCGTCGTGATTTCACGTCGCGTGCGCAAGGGAGGCTACGTGCTGCTGGCATAGCATTTGCAGGAACACTTTTCACCTGTGTTCGTCCTACGTGTACCACGCGCCTCTCTTTCATCTTGCTCATGCTTCCGTCGCCGTCGGTCTTACCTCTAGCAGTGCTCTTTCCAGAAGCACCCCTGAAGTTCCCACCACCATTTTTCTCCACCACAGCATGACCTTCATCAGAGGACGCACTCACCGCCGTATCTGTCGATGCCTTCGATACAGAGGTTGCGCCCAGAACTGTGCTCATTTGTGGTCGAGAGATAAGGGGCTGTGCTGCAGCTGAGGACGTAATAGAAGAGGAACTAGACAGAGACATGCTCTTGTCATTGGATTCGGAATCGATTTGGTATCCTGGATCAAACGAATTGTTTATGATTATGAATGCCGCGCATCAACAATCTCCACGATTGAATTTCGCTGTCCCTCACTTCGTCTCGTTTTGCGTTTTTGTTACAATACAATACAATACAATTTATCTCGCATTTTTTTTTTTTTGTATCGTGGGTGCAGACTGCCACAAGGGCGTCATAGATGATACACACGATGGATCTCACGCAAAGATTGGAGTGGAGAAGATCAATTCTTGATCGGCGTCCTTTTAATGAACGCGAGATGCAACGACAAAGGGGCCTGAAGCCAATAGATCTGCTCCGCCAAGAACAACTCCTGCTTTCTACTTCCAGCAGATGCAGGATGGAACTTCCGCATATTATCCATGCGAGGCTTTACTATTTTCTATTTTCAACATTGGAAGGAATTCGAATTACTTTATTACCCTCATCAAAAGAGAATCACAAGAAGACATCATGTTTTCAATTTCAAAACGAAGGAAACATAAACATTAACCATGTAGAAGCATTGTTTCTGTTCTTCAAGTTCAAAGACCGATTCAGGCTGAAGGCCTCCGTATTCTTCGTTGACCTCTACATATGATTCTACTTGTGTAGCTCCATCATTCTTCGTTCTTCATACATGACGTAACAACTATCCAATCTCAATTCTGAAAAGTAGATAGAATACCATATTAGACTAGACATCCCTATACAAAAAGAAGGCCGCGATTTATGTGCTCTTTGTTCAATCACAATCGTACTAGACGTCTTGTCTCCTGATCAAAATTACGCAAGATGTATCTATACATTCAGACTTCGTCAGTGTGTCAGTACCATGGTCGTAATCAACTACTCGGTCATTCGAAAAACATGGATTAATCGTTGCTAAATTCCACGATTACCAATCATCAAGGAATAACACCAATTCATTATATCAAGTTTTACTTTCCAAACGTTCGAAACCTAGCTCTCAAAAGACCTAATGCTTTGACTTTTCTGTTTTCTCATTTGTTAGGGGTTGAAAGTTGGCGTCTCTAGCTCGCATTTCTATGGCTTTCCTACTTGAAGAAGCCATAGTGATGCGCATAGAGATGTCAACTCCCAAGCCTTAAATTTGGAACGGCATTAATGATGTTAGAAGTCAGTGTTCTAAGTCTATTCGATCGATGCTCAGAAGAATAACATTGAAGACGACTCGAATAAAATGACTTTGACTTTGTTACCTTATTGTCAATCTTGAAGTGGCCCGCCCCCACGGTACATTTGCGTTTGCAATCTACCTCGAAAAAAACAGCGATATATTTCATCGCGGGATTTCATCATTTTCCTTAGATTTTGTCTTGGAAAGACAATCAATGTAAAAAAGAAGAACAATACAGATACTGGTTATCGTTTCATTGGTGGAGCTTGGCAATGAATGATGGAATTTGCAGTTTAAGAAATTGTCTTGTCGTCCCCTGCGACTTTTTCATCCAATGCTCCCTCCGCGATGCCCGACCCACCCCCGCGTTGCGCTCGCGCTTGCCCACCAGCAAACGATGTTAAGCCAGCTCCCTTCTAGGTGTAGGAATCGAATGAATTATAAAAGGACTTAGATTAACGAATCAAAGGCAAACGAGCTGACTGTAACTTGCAAAAAATCTCAAGATGAATTAGTATTTGAGTGATAATAGGAGAGTAGCTAGTTCTAGCATGATTTAGCGACTATCAATATTAACGATTAAACATTCATGTTTCTTGTTTGACAAATTAAGAACTTTCTAGCAAGAAATTTCACTTGGGTAACGTCGAGCAGAAGTATGAGAGGCCAAATTAGCAGGCCAAGAAATTAGCCGCCACAGGAAACAAGCAGCATGGATACACCACCCTCTAGCTGCTGCAGGAACAATCAGGACAGGAGCCCCAGCTGCTAAGCGTTACGAATTTCTGTTCTTACCTTCAACATTTGGTAGCTGATAGAAACGAACCCCTGCGTCTCTGTCCCTGTGTCTGCTGCATAAAAAAGAATTGATCAACGCCGAAGTTGTAAAAAACCTTCTTCCGATGTCACGCGAAGAGCATCACGAAGCCTAAATACATCATAACGATTTCATCCTATTGCTCCACTCCTGCATTAGGGCGCAGCGAGGTCACCACAGTTAAGATTTCAACTTTTGATGCTATCAAGATCAAGTTCAGCACAAAAATGACTAAAAGATTTAATACCTTATTAGAACTGAAAGTGGTAAGTGGTTCAGGATGGTACTTATATATATATTAAAAACAATTAGCTCTAGACATGATCAACTGTGCAGTGCATCAACGAAATTTATCGATGATGAAGCATATCCCAAAATACGCATGGTACATGCCCATGAAAGGCAGAACAACGACATCCCCGAGGCTCCTTGTTCAAAACGATCGGATCTTCGATCAATATTTCCGCCCTGCCTACTGCGCGTGCGTCTACTTTTTACTAGATTCATCATTCTTGGAAGTCCTACGACTTTCTGTCTTCTTCTGAACTAATTCTTCTTGGTTCGAGAAGTGTACAGATGGTATACTGAAGGAGGTACTCGTTGTCCTCGTTCTCACCTTGATCCACTTCCTCGTTCTTCCACTGGAGTTGTAAAAAACGAGTTCAAAAAAACAGAAGATGATGAATCTTCTAGACGCTCGGCAATCGGGGTCGCGCATTGCGCTCCTCTTCGTCCGGGTCCTCGTGCAGGATGACCGAAACGAAACTGTTCCAAGCGCTGGGATTGTTACGCTGCAACTGCATGCTAAAGACTTCCCAGTCTTTACTAAGTTCGCTGGGGTGAGGCCTATCAATGCCGCGCTCCACCACCTCTTTCGCGAGATCCTCAATCGCCCCGTTCTCCCAATCCGTGCCACACAAACACCTCGATAGATCTACGAGGAGCTCCGGATGCAATTCGTGAACGAGACGGGTCAATGCTGTAGTAGTGCCAGACTCTAGTTCCATTCGTTGATGCCTGAAGAACAAGGTGACATTATTTTAGGAAAGAGTAAAATCATTGTAGCATGGAGAATCGATGGAAATAAGTACGTACCTACTTGTTGGTCTTAGACATGATGACTGAAAACTGGGACGAGGGTGTGAGGCTGAGCACTCCCCCGACTTCTGCACACACTTGTTCTTGTTCATCTCGAAAACAATAAAGAATAGAAAATTACCACACGTAGAGGCAGAACAGACGCGGAATTAGAAGAATCGTGTCCACCGAACCATCGAGATTTTTTTTCTGATCTTCTGACAGGATCTCATCTAGGAAGTGGCAAAAATTGCTCATCGGATTGTCCTGGACGTTGACCCACTCGCACACTCGTTGATACCTTTGATGATGGTGCGAATGGTTTGAGGTGCTGTTGTTGGGGAACTACATCAAGTAAGACAAAGAAGATCCCGATTTACTTAAGAATGAAGCAATGAAGACCAATTCTGCAAATCAAAAATGATTGTCATAAAATCTAGTACGTGTCGTGGAATTTTTCTAGGCGCTGCACTAGGCCGGGGTTGTGTTCCAACTTTGGATGTACTCGCAGAATCTTTGGCAAAAGTTCCTTCAAGTAGATGCAGATATCCTCGAATCGTTCCAGCAACTCTGCTGGTAAATACCAGAGTCGTTCATGGATCGATTTCTCGTAGCTTTTCAGAAGCACTGTGCGCATAATATCAAAGTTGTACTTACAGTTGAAGCAGTCTCGAGACTTTTTGTTGAGCTCTGCCATATGATCGAGTAGCTCCTGATTTACTTTCTCTCCGCTATCATCCAGTTGCTGAATCAACTCTGCTATTCTTTGCACGAGGGAACCTGTGGATCAATGATTCGACGATATTTGGGGAAAAGGGAAATTGCGGTTAAGAACCTCCCTAACAAAAATTCAGAGCTACTAGTACTACTACTTTTGGTGCTGGTATAATTAAATCATACATAATTATGATAGAAATGTAAGTATTCCTAAGAAAAAAGCAACCAAAGCAAAAACAAAAATCTATTACGGCTCTGTTTCTCCACTGCGATGAGTGCCTCAATGTAGTTCTTTTCGAAAATGACGTAGCGTCTGTCGAAGCTCCTTAACGCATAGATGAATCGTTGAACTGTTGTCGCTCGTGTCGTAGGGTGCACGTCGTCAACTGCTTGCAAAGAGTAATAGTTGATGGCCGATTGGTTTTTATCAGTGATAAATTAATCCAAGAAACAAAAGGGAGGGCTAGGAAAGATTAAAACAATGTCACACGTGTAACTAAATCCAAAGCAGACTACGAAAGATCGTCGAAGTTGAGGGGCAGATAAAGGGAAGTACTTTTCCGGTGCATTTCCGCATCGTCTATCGTAAAAACAAGGTCCATCAGGCGTTCTCCCCTAGCCGCTAGCTCGAAGCCCTCATCTACTAGGCCTTGCGGGAACTTTACCTGAAATTGAATGTGACATGCAGCAAGAAGTAGTAGTAGCTTTTTTCCACTTGACTTCTATCAAAACTACAGGACTGTGGAGCAACAGCACGACCACAGCATACAGTAGAAAAGTTGCATCCTCACCTCGTCGTTCTTGGTCTAGTATTTACATTCAATCACTGCACACTGTGACTACCTCTTCCCCATTGACCCACATGCCATCACGTATGCGCTTCACGCCACGACAAACATCATCCCGATAAGCGGAGGATTCTCTCTGAAAGAGCATTCGGTAATTCTCGATCGTGAAATTGTCACGATAGCCTCGCTGTGGAGTTCCTCCCTCAAAAAACTCGTAAGCTTCCTGCACCCGATCTAGAAATGTTTGCCAATTCTCGTCTGCGTGATTCAGGTACCTACAAGGGGAAATGTAGTAGCGACGAATGATTCTAAGCACCTCCCAGATGAAGACAAACATAAACCGATCAAAATTAACAGCGAGATCGAACAAGATGATGATATAATATTAAGAACCGCAGTACCCAGCATACTTGTTACGCGAGAAGTTTTAAAGGAAGCTCGATCTCGATGCCATCACACCTCATTCATAGTCAACATGTTCTTCGGCACAACAAGCAAAAAGCATCCCGTAAAATAAGTACGTCCTCCGCGCCATCACGAGGTTGTAGAATATGCTCTCCAAGCGAAGTCTAAATTCTTTCCCTTTCAGTTTTTCCAAGAGCTCTCTTGACGGGGGCCTGTCAAAAGATAAAGAGGGAAGTTGAATTTTAGTCAACTACATCATCTTTTTGTTTTTCTTTTTGACAAGTTGAACAAATTTTTCTGATTCTGCTTGAATGTTAATTTTCTGGTTATGATTATGAAAAGAGTTAAGATTGGGTACGCATTGTCATCCTCGTTTTCATCTGCTGGCGGCATAGGGAGCGTCGTTGGATGCGGTTGTGAATTCGTGGATGATGGCAATGAGGATACTGAGGGTGTCGAGTTCCCGTATCCTAGGGCTGACGTCATTGCTTGTCTCCACGTTCGCCCTGACCGTGACCGCGTCGATGACGAGCCCGTCATGTGCTGGTGCGGTGTTGGTACTCCTGAAGTAGGATTCGTCATTGTTCTTGTTGTGCTTTTCGAACTACTGGACCACCTCGTCTTCCCTGCTGGTATGAAGAATCCTAGTCGTTGAAGATATCTCGAATTCTAGTTTCGCGGTCTTCGTGCTGGTCGCTATCGCCACTTCCACAGGACGTTTACGACTCACTTGTCCCTATGATCAATCCGTATCCCGGAAGATACGGATTCCTGATAATTTGGGTTGAAGATCCTTCTCTTCTCGCCTGCAAGAGCAGTAGAGAAATTCTTGCTCTCTACGCGGAGACAGATTCCCACCCGCGGTCAGCCGAGAAGAAGGTATGCAGCACCATCTTTGTGTATCGAAAAGTAGCTCCTGTGGTTCCAAATTGGCTCTTAGTCTGCATGACGTTCTGCTTCTGCGTGAATGCGACCTACCTACTGGTCGCAAAGGCCTGTCTGAACTTTCATTCAGAAGCTTATTTTCTGTGCATGTGCTCTTGTTCGCCGTACATCAATCTGGTATTTCGCACCAAAAAAAACTTGAATCTCAGTGGTCTGGATAATTCGTTTACTGCGTTCTAGTTCATCTCCTTTGATGTTGATGTTGATATTGATAGATGATGTTACTTCATTTACAATGCAACGTTGAAGGTGTTTGTTTCGTTTTTTTTCACGATGTCTGTGCAAAATCGCGCTGCATCCGTTCGGCTGCAGGTGCTTCTTTGAGTACGTTTTCGGGTTGTGCGCCTGTGTTCAAGAATTCAGGTGTTTTGTCTGTGAAGATAGCGATGTGGGTCGTGTGCCACGAGTAGCCGTTTTCGTTAGATTTGAGTGCCCTCGTCCGAAAATGGTAGTACATCGATGTTTCACAAAAAGTGACGTCTTAGCATTTACTGAAGAAGGTCCACTCATTGACTTAATTCGATACTTGTTGATGTTTATGTCCGATGCAGTATTAATGCTGCAATCGACAACACGAATTAGTGCTTATAGCAAGAAAAAATCGAAACGCATTTACTGCTCGAAGTTACCTTCTACCTATTGATGTTGGTTGGGTTAAATAGAAGATCCATCGCGATGCGCTTGCGCTGAAAATTAATACCATTTTCGACTTTAAATTTGAACTCAGAGTTGCCGATTTGCGAAATCTGTCAGGCAGCTTGCGTTTTGTCTCTCATAACGCGAGATACCTAGATACCTGCCTCTCAGAAACCACAAGATGCTACGTGTTCGAGCCACCACAACGATGCTAACCGAACGGAAACAGGAGAACTGGCACCAATACACGACAGAGATTTCATCGAACCGACTTGGGTAGATGAAACACACTTAGCTGGACAGGAAGACCGAGTGAGAAAAACTCTACCGAAATCGAAAATCATTAATGCATGAAGATGACATCATCGACCGCGGACGAAAAGGGCTTGTGTAAAATTACTAAGTATCTACAGTGATGTAAGTGGTTTGCATAGAGAGTATTTGCATTACTTGCCCATATAATCATTTGCGACTCACAAGAGCCTGTAGTTATTTATATTGTCAAGTCATGATCACCGCAAGCTATTTACTGATACAGCAGTCCCTGGACAACGTCATCTACGTTGTCGTCAGGATCGCGAGGCGCTTCGTCTCTGCTCTTCACGTCCGATGACAACATGCTCGCGGCCTCATCTCTCCCGTGCGAAAATTCTACTTCATGATCTGCGGCGTGTGGCTCTGCTGTATTCTCGTCATTGTCTCTTTTGAAAGCCCCGCTTATCGTTGCCGCAACAGAGTCGTAGAGTGCAGAAGTGTGTTTCCATAGCGAGTGGCTCATGTTCCGCTTTTCTCCTTCACCTTCTTCATGTCTTCTGCTTCCCTCCACACCGTAAGCCTCAGAGGTCTCACCGACTACGATCTGCCTTGACACTTCCTCCTGCAGTAAGCGGATCCGACTCATCACAGAGCTTGCCTGAATCGCAGCTAATCTATTTTCGTCCTTCTCGGAGGGTGTCGTGCGAATGCGGTGCTGCTTCTCGCTCGGCAGATAGCATGAAAGAATGGAAATGTTCATTCTAGGTTGGTGGCGAAGAGCTTTGATGTTGCTCTTGCTTGGGCTTCAGCTAAGTTTCAGAGGCTTCTACACAAGAGCATCACAGTGCTCTAGCTCATCATAGTAATATTCAGCTTCATGATCATGACTGGTAGAAAAGAAAAAACCTATTTGATTACTGAAGATACTATCCACTCCTAATTGGAGAGAGTAAGTAGACTGACCAAAAATATGAGTCATAAGAAGTAATCGCGGTCGTGTACTGTCGGTTGGTCTGTTTGTCCTGGCGCCAATGTCGTGTGCAATATCACCTCATATTGATGAAAAGGCTTACTCTTTTTGAAAACGTTTAGAATCAGGTGCGTTCCTTTCTTTGTGGACTGGACCGACAACGCCTTAGTCGGCAACCCGAGCTCTACGTCGCACACTTTCTCCTGCGTCGGACGACGGAGCTCTGCCGTAATGCCGTCAGGCTCGCCGTACACGACCTGTAGTGAAGTACGAGTGCGAGAAGTACTCAGGTGGACGAAGCTTCTCGTACAAAAACCCATGAAATCATCGTCCCAGTCGTCTAAAGAGATCCTGAACTACAGCACAAGGGTTTCCAATGGCAATCATCTAACAGGTTACTACCATAAGATGCACTTTCCGTAAATGCGTCGTGCAGTACATCTTGCTTTTATCCTCGACCGCGTGCACGCAATGGCCTTCCCCCATAATCGGATTGACGGTAACAAGCTTGCTCATATCGACCTGGTTGATTAGATGCCAGGCTGACTACATGCTGAAAACGGAGATACTTGTTTCAGAGTTCGTTGCAGCTGACAAAAAAATCTATGGAGCTGATTTGATATCCACCTTTTCAAATGCATGCAACTCCTACGAAGTACATGCATGAATATCATCAAGCAGTGAGGACTCAAGCTTAACTTCAACTCGGATCCACGCCACGAGCCGTGTGAGCTCGCTGTGTTCGTTTTGAGGGTAAGTGGCATCTCTCGAACCCGGCCCATAAATCCCTTGATTGTGATCACGAAGTGATGGGCTCCATTGTCCAAACGTGGCATCACAGTCGGCATTCCATTCAGCAGCTTACATTAAAGAGACAATGAAATGGGACTCGCATATTATTGTTCGTGCTTCTAAATCATTCTCAGCTTAGTTGTGCTACATCTCCAGAGAATAAAAGCGACTGTGTTACATCTGTCGAGCAGAACGAAAAGGAAAATGGTGGCAGAATGAAGATCCTCAATTATCATACTAGCGATGAGTTCCATTGCGTAACCGTAAGGCGGGTAGGTAGGACGATATTTCTTTTGCATAAAGTGGATGGCCTTAATTGAATTTGCGTCCTTGCTCGTCGTGCATGTTGATTTCAACTGTAGAATTCCAAGCCGCAATCGTCTTAGAGTACTTTTTAATAGCGATAAGGCGACAGCGTTAACATCCTTGTTGAGAAAACGCAGGACGTGATGTTGCTTGAAAATCATAGAACCGTTGCTAGAGACCTACGGCTACGAGGCCTAGAACGCCTACCTAATAACTGGTGCTCATCTTCATACTGTGCCTTAATCAGCGTCGAGTGTGTCCTATATGCCCGGCAATCCCATCCCGTCGTCGGTAATGGGTGCGAGAAAGAACCCTCTTTGGCACGCTCGCAGTGACCTAAAGCAGGCGGAATTTGTAGGTCGAACTCGACCGTGTCCAGATTCATTTCCTGCGGCTTTAGGATTTTGATCATGTACGTGCGCGACATCTCGTCCCCGTGGGTCCACTCCTGGTCTTTGTAGCAGCAAGACGCTAAGACATGCTCCTGCGGGTTGCGCATAAATTGCCGGTAAGGGTTGCCCGGCCAGTACTGAACACCATCGTACCGAATGTAAGGTGTATCCTTGTCGCATTCGAGATACACATCGGCATATTCGTGCTCCTCCTGCAAGACATATACAAACTTGTTCGACAGGCGCTTGGTCTCAGATGCCTCCTCGATCTCCACGCCATAGGAGTTGTACACCTTCAGCGACGACATCCGGAGCTGTGAAAGTTGTGATTGTATTTGCTGTGACTGCCGTCGCGCAAAAACGCAGCTGCGAAGCGCTACGACGCTATTATCTATTCCTTAGTTGCTTGGCCTATGGAACTTACAAGCTTCACAAACAACAACAAAAGCAAAAAACTAAATCACAACTACCCTAATACCAGATCGGGCGACGGTCCCTGAAGGATCCTGAGGTAGTAATCATGCACATTCGTTGGGTTTTTTGGATCGCCTACAGACACCACAACTGTCTGGTCCGTTGGACCGTTGGTCACATTTAGGTACAGTGGAACCTGAATGGGCTCTAACGGACTGTACTTGTGCTCCAAGCCGTCTAGCTTTATTTGCGGAGGATACCGAGGAGGGAATTTGTGGAATTGCAGTTCGGGAAGGATATACGCTACGCGATCTCGCGCGCTGCGGATCAGGACATCATAGTCGAACCGCGTCCGCCTGAATCTCGGACGCAGGTCACCGCCGGTCACTGTGATTCCTTCCAGCTTGGTCCAGTATCCTGTAGTATAATTATTGGCGTTTACTCAATGAAATACTTCTGTCGAATAAAGTCCGTTGCCATGAGAAGCTGCAAGGCATATCAAGGTTGTAGCCGCACGACAGTGAATCCGCATCACCAATACGATTCTTCTAAGGTTGAGAACGAGAGGACATGAATCATTGGCACCATTTTCGCCCCATCTCGGCATCTCGCCTTCGTGGGAGCTGACACTATTTTTCTGAAGTTTCTCCTGTATTTTCGCTTCTGCTTTCATGACTGCGTAAGGGTCGGATTGATGCACGAGGTCTCCTGCGTGCTTTTTGAACAATTTCATATCCTCCTCTGTTTGAGCCCGCACTTGTACCAAACCATTGTAAAAGAGCAATAAATGCAGGCAAGATACTGCGGAAAGCCGACGACATGCTCCCCGTCCCGGCCACGGCCGCAGGGGTCCGTTGCCGTTGCTCGGTACCCGCTGTAGCATCTTCAGGTCCGGGATGGGGATGCGCGTGCCTGGCTCTTATTTAGATACGTTAATGTTTTATCATCATAAACTACATCTCTTGTGCATTCTGGATCTGTTGGTATTGGTACCGCTACCGAGTGCAGCAGGGAAGATCCTGTTACATGAAGGCTTGCTTCGATAAGAAAACTGAAAGGAAAAGGAAAAGCTACATCAACATTTTCGAGAATCTAGAAATCTTGGTACTCCTTGTTGCCAAATCTTTTTATTTTGGCTCGTCTATTTTCCTTCTACTGAAATGATTCATTGCAGGTGCAGTTGTGGGGAAGAATATTTCACTGAAAACTAGTCCTGATTCTCACTAGTAAAATGAGGCCGATACACTGCGCTCACTGTCTTCTCAATCCTCTGTATAAATATCTCTGGAAAAAACAACCTGGCGCTCAATTTGTCATCCTCACTACCGCGCTTGAAAGTTCTTGCTCTACTCCTCGCACGTATTCTCTCAGCGTGCTTGCTGTCTTTGCACACACACTGTCTGTCCATTTCGCCGCGTATTATTTGAAGGCGTGTTGCCTAAGCCTTCGATGGTGATTGCTGAAGCATTGTGAAAAGCCTATCCCCGTGAAAATCATGATATCCATCGTTACCTCCAACGCGTCACACGCGTCCAGAAGCAGAATCTTCACACTTTCTGGAACAATAATGGAGCCACATCAATCATGAAGATCCTCTATCAAGAATATGCATTTGCAAACGATGAATAAGACCAGCTATCCGTGCTATCGAATGCATGTCTATCATGCATGTTCGTGATCATATCAATCCACACCAGGCGGACCCCCATAAGGACCAAGGCAACGATGGAGGTCGAAGTCCTCCGTTTTGCAGCTTGATCATATAGTGTTAAAAGTCCGGCATGATTTCCTTTAATACAGTGAAGAACGAGGAGACACTGCTCATTCAGCGATAGTGGGTTCAACGTCGTCGAGGATAACAAGCGGTGTTCGTGATCTATTTTTCCTATTTAAATTTTGTGCATCGACGTCACAGTGACACGCACAACGGCACTACGAGGATATCGCTCTTCGGCGATGGTGAACCCAAAAGCCATGCTCGTGTGCGGAAGATAAACACCAGAGCAGCTCGTGCCGGCGTCACCACGTATATACTCCGTAATGATCCATGTCGCGTCTACTAAGCTACGCGGTGCAAATGCGTCAGCGGTTCTTGGATAGCTCCACGAAAGCTAAAGTCGACTGCGGCTGTGCCTGTTTGCGTGGAAACGAGAACCATGACCATCTTGATGATCTTCCTTGCAGCTGCTCATAGAATACTTATTCCAATTATTTCAGACCAGAGTTTTGATTTTGTTGATGTTGAAACAAGAATAATAGGTAATGCGTTTTGACGCTCCTCCCCGCAAGGGTTTCTTCTAGAAGAGGACTGTTGTACTAGTGCTAGTGATACTGTTGCGCTCGCTTCACGAGGAGAGGAGTCAAGCTATCTCTATTTTCCTCTATTGAAGTTGGCTGTTTTCCAAATCCATTAGACCCTCTCTTCACCATGCTATCGCGCACGGTCTTGTTCAGTGAGTCAATGAGAAATCCCGCGACTCCCCATACAACTGGTGTAAGCGTGGCTCCACTGACAGATAAAGCTTGGTTCATTATCCTACCGGAAAAGCCCCTACATATGTTATTCCCCAAGATCTCTGCAAGCCACCAGACAGATGCCACACAAGTCGACAACTACCCGGCGGTTCCCCCTCTAAACTATGTACTTATACACGACGACGCATGAAGTCCCTTCGTCTGAATTCATTCTATCCAGCAAGTAGCAACCTGTGAGCTCTAGCTGTTCTTGTTGTTACGTCGATCTAGTTCCTATCCTTTCGCGTAAAAACTACTGCAAACCAATGATATCCAGCTATGAGTGCTTTTCAATTTCAAAGAAATCATAGTAGTCGCGCATAGGAAAAAGTAATCAACCGGCAGCGGCACCGGGAGGAGGAGATGCTTAAAAAGATTACGATATGCATCCCCATGACAAGGTTGTACTCGGTCATGCTCAATCTACCAGTCAAGTGCCTAATCCCGGCTCACCACAGGAAAGCGCGCGAGCCCAGATATGGAGCATTTTGGCATGCTAAGCTAGGTCTTTCATCACGATGCTGTTGAGAGACAAATGAAATCTTTGACTGTGCTGTGCTGGTAGAACAATTGGAACCAAATAGGGTAATAGGAATCATAATACCGAACGCATCACAAAAATCACATGGATATTGCAACTACTCAAGTACGTGGCGTATCCACAAACAATATCGTGCTAACCACGCATTTCACTCTTACAAAACTGTTAGAGTAAGCGGCCGAATGAACCTCCGTCACTTGTGACCCTGACGAGTACGTCACTCATGGTGGATAATCATGATGTCACTATAGTAGTTACTAGCTTGTTAGTGTTACATTCTCTTTGTAAATATGAGGAGAGAAAGAGAGATTATGTATCAAGCAATAGTAAGCACAACAAGTACTTACACAATTGCTCAATCGGAATCGGACAAAGGCGAAAATGTCGTTGTCGATGCTGATAGGACGATTAGAGGAAAAGTGTTGAGCTTGTGCGATGATACAACAAAATGGTGAAAAGCGACTTTTTGAGTCGCCAAAGCCAATCGGATGGCTATGCAATTGCAACTTTAGAAGGCCATCTTCTCAGAGGCAACGTGGTTGGTAAACGGAACGGCCATATTTTTTGCTTTTGCATAGGAGAAAGACAAAGAGAACCTTCTCCGCTCAAATACAGGCGACGTTCAAACCAGTCACATGGTTGCGACGAGAACATACATATTTCATATTTAGTAAGTAGATATAGATAAATTCTCAAAATCTACATGAGGCTTCCTAATTCCTCATGTCGATCCGAAAAAATATCATCGAGAAAAAGCAAGTGAAGATGAAGTATTCTAGTACACATATTCATACTACTCTGGCATCCACCGGTAGCAGTTTGTGCATCGTCGCGGTAGTCTCGGGAAGTAAAATGACTACACTAACGATAACTCAAAGTGACAACGTCTTATCTAAAACGCTAATCGTTCCAGTAGAGTATGAGTATCATTTTGATACATCTTCATACTTAAGGCGACTTGTTGAATTATTCCAACACGCTAGTAGCTCATTGCAACACCTTTCAGGCTATTGATATGGAATCCTCACGAGTAGATAAAAATTAAAATGCTCAACATACTGGTACAAACAGTGACGAAAAAACTACAGTGATCAAGTATTAGAGCTGCGCAGAGTCAGTTGCTGCGCGCAAGTTGATCTACGTGTACACTAGGAGCTGATGGCCATCTCTTTGGTAAACGAGCTTCCGCGCGGGCTCTGGAAGGAGCATGAATCTCCTCTCCGCAGGCTTGTTTTTCCTTTTCAGTACTACTAGCAGTTTGTGCACGTCTGCACCGCTTGCTGCAAAAACAGAACTCTCTAACTCGTCAACCAAATTAGCTTCTCCACATGAGGCGGACACAAGCCCGCCTCTACCAGGCCTACTTGTTGAAGTAGGGGAACTACGACTACCTACTGAGTTTGAGAAACTAGTCGTGAGTGACTCACTACTACAACTAGAATCTGTTGTTGAATATACTTCAACATCAGAACAAGGAACAGAAAGATTGAACTTGAGAATCGGCCTTCCCTCCGCATCCTTTGCACCACCGCCGACTCGGTTTCGCAGGCTGACAATAACGACCGTCATATTATCGGTTCCGAGTGCATTCACCTGAACAAGACAGGACAAGTTTTATGAAACAACTTCTTCTGTCGGAAAGTCATAATCTCTTCTCCAGCCACAGATACAAAGGAGTGAGAAGCACTGGTGTAGTCTTCGAAGGAAGTTCTGTAGAAGTTGATCTCTTCTACGAAGTAGTAGTAGTCGTAGTTAAGTTTCTTCCCTTAGGTAGTAGTACACTGCAATCCGGGCTGCAGCATCGCTCGAGTAGAGCTTCAGCGCATTTCTTGAGCTTTTGTTCCGAATGTGGTCCGTCTTCGAGGAAGTTCTGCACAAATGCTAAGCACTCTTCGTTCGTCAGAACGTCCCAAATCCCGTCGCAGGCTAAAATCAGAAACTCATCGTCCTCCTGCAATTCCGTTGAGAGAATGTCTGGGTAACCTGATGGACCGATTGTTCGAAATGAAATTTCATTGACAGAGACAGATTGGCGGGAGATGAAATGAGGCCACTAATCATTAGTAGGGCGCAAAAATCACAGAAGCCATCATACAGCCTACAAAAAAACTCCATCAAACAAAGTCCATACATCTCAATGTTCATGATCTTCAAGTGCATATCCATGTTTATAATGCGCTACGCACTACGCTCGAATAGAATGAGTAATAGAAGACGCGAGGATTACTATTAATTTAGGATTATAAAGGTCAGAGAAAATGTCAAAGAGCCTCATTTCTGACCATATAACAACCAGGACGAGAACATCAACGAACGAAAGGAGAGGACAAAATGAAAGACTATATAAAGATAGATGTTCTGAACATGTTCCAACCTGATATGATTTGTCTTTCTGGTCCTGTGGACTCCATCGCTAACTTATACTTGAGGTCGCCAAGCGCACGAGACAAATTCAGGTTTCCGCTTACTCTGTGCTGTCCGGATATCAGGTCAACGGTGCCTCCTGCGTCGTATATCCTCTTGCGTTCGCGTGGACTGTTAGGCTTATGATCATGGGTTGCAACGCGAACCTGACCTTGCCTGGTTCCTATCAGGCCCCTAGAATCGCCGGCGTTGGCAAAATACACGGATGAACCTATGCAGTAGTCGTTTTTAAGTGCGAGGTATATAATGTGCCCGAGTAGAATCGTCCTTTGATTTTGTATTAAAGAATGATCGCTTCGTAGTAGTTTCCTCTACTAGTACAAAAAACACAATCTTGTACGGCATGAAGTCATAGACTAATGAACAATGCTGCACGAGAGAAAAGTTCTACCTTCATCTATACCTTGTATGGCGCATGTAATCGCTGTACACCCAACCTGCGAAAACATTGTCATTCCCCCTGCTGCTTTCAACATATCCTTGTCGAGAGCGACGTAGGTTTCCCTCAGCGCCTCTCCTGCGTCTGCGCTTTCCTTCTGCTTATTGAACACGCCGACGAACTCTTTGGCGACCTGTGATGTCGCTGTATTTTCAGGAGTGTTATCATCGTCTTCTGCATATCTTCGTTTCTGTGTGCACTTTATTTTTGCAACAATTATCGATCTTCGTATTTGGAAAAATTGGATGACGGTCGAAGCGAGTCATAGTATTATCAAGTACTCGTATTGAGACTTCTTTCCCGCCATGCCCGTCATACACACCGAAGAGCGCCACGGGCTCTGGACCATGCTTAGCGACAAATGAGGCGAGATGCGCATCCTCCATGGACCTTCGCCACCCCTGCATGGCACCGATGGCATAGGGCATGCCCATGCCAATGCCGGTTTCCATCTCCTTCTCCTTGCATGGTTTGTCGAGAAGGTTTCCCATCTTGATCTTGTTCTTTAGTCCTAGTTCTAATAGACTACTTGTTCCTCAAGCAACATCAAAGAGAGTGACAGGAGGAGGTCCTTGTACAACGCCGCATGAAACAATATTCTTTGCACATTTTCCTTTGTTCCCCTGCTAGTAGTGCAGACAGTTCATGAGATCAGTTCCCCTATTTGTTCTGGTCTTTTCTTCTAGTAGCGTGGTAGTCAGCATTGCCTACAACTTTCACTTTCCCTTTCATTTGCCATCACGTACTAGTACAAGTAAGGATGATAGCCACGCGAATCACATCAAGAAAGCAAGTTTTTTGACTAAGTACTTAACAAACATAATTGAAGTATGCTCGTGATAGGTACGTTGCAGATGGATCTGCAGGCGGACACTGCAGCTAAACCATACAGTTTCCGGTGCCGTGCCTCTCTGAAACCGATAAGGCAGGACAGAAGGTGCTGACTGGTCATTTCTCAGGTGTGTCGTAAAGCACTCGCGACTTTTATTCTTTCCGGGTAAGATAGAAATAACACTGCTGCAATGAACTTCATCATAGCAGATCGACTGAGTCATTATTTCTTAGCAAGGTGCAGTTCATACGAGCACTGCAGTGGTCTTCCGGTGTGTTACCCGCTCTAGTGTGGCGTGGTACAGTCAAACATCCAAGTAAAGCAGGTAGTCGTAGTTTCAGAGGAACTGACGCTACCTCCAAGTTCACCACAAAATGCGAGCAAAGACGATCGTCTTTACAAGACACCAGTACTCTCATAGCGAGTGAATGTGAGGTGCAATTCACTGGAGCCGTCATAATTAAAGCATCTTCAAGGCACCTTATCGATTTTGGGACGGTTTCGTTTTCTCAGTTGCACACCAAGCAAGCGCTCGAGCACCTCCGTTTCCGCTGGGGTTGGCGATGCTATTCCTTTCTCGACCAAGTTCATGTAACGATAGTCCAATCCACTGGCCCAACCAAGCTTCCATAACGGCACACGTTTTGAGTTTCGTGCGAAGCGCACTGCCATTCCCGTATGCGGCCATGCTTTACAATTGAAGCCCTTCGTAGCATGCGGCCAAAGCCAGATACGCCTGGGACATGGCGAGACGCGGAAAAGCCCTCCACTACCACTACTTGTCGAGCTCACCCATGCCGACGACGACGCAGAGAAAAACGAAGATGATGAAGCAAATATCATGCACCCGGAGAAGGACATTGTTTTTGACTTTTAGTGGGAGTTGTTGTTTGACAATTTTGATGATCAACTTGTGCGACGTAGAAGGCCTCCACTTCTCGAAAACAACAAACGCTTGGAACTCTATGATCCTCTCGTCCCGACCTCCGTCCACGTTGGACCACTCAGAAGTGAAACATCCAATCGACTGAAAACGCTAAAATAGAAAGATCCAACGCGATACTCATGTAACAGCTACACTACAACACCGCATCCTACACATGGAACACCGATATCTTTTCATGTACTTACATATCGTTTGAATGATTGTCAGTCTACTTGCTGGTGTGCATCAACATCGGTCATTCCTTCGTTTTCATAGATATTTGTCATACCAAGCATTAGGACTCTCAGTAATCATGATCAGTATTTTCTACTTCCTTGGGTGGTGGTGCTGGTATCAAATATTCATCTCACATCATGATGCTAACTTGTCTTAAGATAATCCACATGGACCCACGTCCACGAGAGAAGTCATTTCCACACCACATGGCACATTTTCTTGGAATGGTGCTCAAGGTAGTCAAATCTATTTCAATCACTCGCTCTAAAACAAATTATCCAACTCGGTTGAACTGTTACGAGTTACTTTATCTAGACATGCTGGAGCAAAAAGAAAATAGCTTCTGTCTAATACTAGTATCATCACCGGTCTAAGTTGTAATTAAAATTCAATTATACGTGACCCTGTTACGTTATTAGGTCCTGTTCAAGCAAAAATGGATGATCGATCTGGTTTGTCATCAACATAACAACACCAGAGAAGTCAGCAAATTGAATGATTTAGTTTTACTTTTACATCAAGTAAAACGTCTGAATATGTGCTACTCATTTAAACAAGTGTTGAACTCAGCATACTAGACACAACAGATTATCTACTAGATCTCCTATCTAAGTCTGAGGATGATATGGCTAGGAAATCCAAGATAGATTGGTAGTAACGGGTTCAAGTTTGGCCTCAATGCTGCTCCGAACTTTCCTGCAGACGTTCCGAAGCATCTCACTGCCTCGTATCTGACTTTCCAATCCGTTTTTCGCTTTCGGCATTTTTCTGGTGTGCTTCGAGCTACTCAGTCACTAGTAACCCTGATGAGTAGATTCCCTTCCTCACCTTTTGAACCCCTTTCTTTGACTTGTAAGGGGAATCCACTCAGAATATTAGCCCACGCCAAATAGTGTAATGATTGACTACGAGTACCACTAGCCTTAGGTTACTCTCATCGAAGGCGTTATTATGCGACCACTCGCAAAGCTGCTGACCATACTCAAACGATGCGTGGGTGTTGGCGATTGACTCGTTATCCGTGAGTCCATGTTCGCATTACCACTCGCACTCCAGTTTTAGAAGGATGCCGGTGTCCTTGCAATAAAGTTTGTACCTTCTATCAGAAATCGCAGCAATGAATACAACTATCACCTTAATATCTAATAATTTCGATATTGGAGCCTTAAAAATCGTTGCGCATCTGCGGTTCATCTTCATCGAATCGTTCCTGAACGCGCATCTGCGGAACCGAACGAAGGCGACCGCTAACCATGGGCTCTCCTCCTATACTCCGTACGGAAAGATTGTTGTGACTTGACATCTTTTTAGAATTTCCACAGTTTTCATAGTGTTTCAGAACAATTCTCGTCTTTTCCCCAACATAGCGTGATTTCTACATAGAGAACCTAGAGGGAGTGGATCCTCTCAGTTTCGACGACATGATATTCACGCCCGCGTCTACAAACATACCACATCACGGTTGTAGAGGATATTCCATTGGAGTTACAGAAAGAATCCAGACTACAAACATATTTATAATCATACATTTTCAATCGTCTTAATTCTACTGCGTATGGGCAAGGGTACTTGCAAGCACGCTAGTATTTGACGTAAACACTGTATCTCCATCAGGATTAGCAAAGAAGATCATGAGGATAGATTTAAATAACTTCTATACTAGGTAAAGGTATACGAAGTACCCCTCCTGGAAATGAAACCTAATAATAAGAAATACTTCACCCCGTCTTAAGTGTAGAGACACCCGAACGAACTGAGGACCCCTCAAGCTGCTGGGAATGATCCGAGCCATGAGACGATTCGGACCCACTACCGGTACCTTCAGAAGGCGCGTGACTGCCAGACAAGGAACTTGTTTCGTCCGCCACTCCTTAGAGGCATTTAGTTTTTGATTTCCTTGTATGTAATGTTGAGTTGTAACTATTGATCCCTTGTGGAAAGTGCACCGAGGCCCCTCTGCTGTTTTCTGCACGGTGAAAAACTGATGATGTTAAGATTGTGGAAAGTGAAAAACTCACGAAAGCCTTAACCTTTGGTTCGCAAGAGGTGGTCAAATAGTTCGCACCACCGGATAAGTTGTGCCAGCGTTACAGTGCGTGTTGGAGCGATAGCGAGAACACTGCCACCAACCATCTCGAACAGCCTCACGACAGCAGAGTAGCCAACTCCCGCGGCGTTCAGCACGGGCTGCAAACCGCAGCAAACTTCTTCTATGCTAACGCTCGGTGAGAACGCTTCAGCATTACTCGGCCTAGGGGCTGAACCTGAAGGTCGTAAGCTCTTAAGGTTGAATGTTTCACCACGACTAGAGATTTCACCACCCGCCTCAGCTTCCGCTCCCTCCTCGTCCTCCTCACTATTTTCAGTGTAGAAGTTGTAGCTATTTCCGGCACTTCCAGAGGCTTTACTTGTACTATTTTGCTCGTTGTAAAACAAATTCCTGGAGGTTTTAGACATTGACGGCTTGTTCAGCTGCTGCTGTCCTTCATTCATCCCATAGACATCCGGCAGCGGGACATTTGGTGCGAGGATCTCGTAAAAATAGATGCGGAGGTGGTCCACACCACGAGGAAGGAGGAGGCACTCGTGAAGGCCCAGAAAGATGCACAAGTCTGCCTCGCGCAACTGTATTCGCTGTCGCCGCCTCACTTTTACCTCATTCTCCGAGAGCCGATTCCCAAACATCCGAGCGAGCACGCCGCCTGATGAGCGCCGGTCACCACCAGCACCAGCGCCCGTCATTCTACCACCAAAGAGGCCGCTGCGCCGAGATTCAACACCTGTGAAGGTGAAAACGTGTCTTGAATCAATGTTGGCAATGGCGCTCCGAAGGGACAGACGATTATGAAAATCGAGTACATACTCGTTCACCTGAAAATTCACAGATCAATGAAAAAGACGGAAGTGGAAGTACTCATTTCAATCCTAATTAACATACATGAATAAGTAAGCCCTTCTTGGCGAAGATCCTTGTTATCGGATCTAAGCTGTATTTCCCAACATCATGAAGGACTTGTACCTCTGCCACCTGCTTCGTCTGCGTATGCGGCGTTACCTGCTACACCATCTGAGGCGCTTGTTCTTAGAGTTTGCTCAAAAAATTCGTCTCCAAGTCATGCATCTTTGTAACATTTTTGTCAGTGAAAAAGGTTTTGTTTCAAGTCCAAGATTGATGCCTGTGCCTCTCAAGATAATGAATTAGGGACGAAAGCAGAGCCATAAATTACCATCGTCCACATCATCCACCACAACGTGGCGCAGCAGTTCAACGACGTTTTCTAGCTTATCAGCGAGGCCGCGTGCCGCGTGTCCCGAATAGCCGTCAGCGCGAAAAAAGGAAATTACAGCCAAAAAATGGAGATAAGCACTACTTCTTCAAATATCCTATGTGAAAATGTTAATACAATATGATCTTCCATTGACGTTTGATCCCTGCTATAATAGTCCGATTGAAGATAAAGATTATATACTAGCTGGTTCTAATTACCAAGTGGTTGTTCTCTCCCTAAGTCCTCCCAGTGTTCTGGAGGCAACAGTTTCGTGTCCATGTCAGCGAAGCGAGCGAAGAGCTGCTTGATTTCATGGCGTCTCGCAGCAGGCACGAGGGCAACGAACTCACGTTTACTCTGAGCATACCACAGAGAATAATCATCATCGTCAAGCGAACGGACAAAGTGATACGTTGCTGCAATATTTAGAGGAAATGAAGATATCGTCGCCAGGGCGAGGACGGATGTCTGATGAGGCCAAAAAACCTACATGAATGAGAGGACACGTTCCTACCATTTTCACGATATAGAAAGTCGTTTGAATCAAATGTTCTAGAACTTTGACACAGCAATTCAGGCTCGACTATAGTAGACTGGCCTTAAGAGCTGCAGCTGTAAGGACAATGCCCCGAAGTCACGTAGCTCGATCGCTTCACAGTCACGAGCAACTTTTTCCTCCACTTCTTGGTTTTTCATCTGCCCAGTGCATGTTGCATTAGCGCCGTAAATACCAATCTGGAAGAAGGTGGATTTGGCGTTTCTTTGTAAACAAGGTCTAAGAAAAAAGACTCTGTTACGCTAGTTCAGACGTATTTCTCAAGACCAAGTGATTCTGCTTACGTGTTGATACTCCATTAAATATCTTCTACTTCCGTGACTTGATAGTGTTGTCTGTTGTAGATGTAGAACAGTCTCAAATATCAATTATAGGCATTTGCTCGAGTGGTTTCTGACGAACAATCAGCGTTGGTCTTTGTTTTATAGTCAAAGTCATAATTGTGATTGTCCAGTAGTACAGGACACGTGGCCACAGATACAGCAGGGTGAAGAAAAAGAGCAGAAAATTTACAAGAACGTGGGTCTCCCATGCACTCCAGAGATCCACTTTTTTGCCGCCTGACCCATAAATGTAGCTTGGAACGCGCTCGCCTGTCAGGCAGACGAAAAGCACTACTATGATTTGTAAATCTAGAAGTTACGGATATTCATCTTGAATAGCATCTTTGAAGTGCTCTTTCCTTAAAAAGAGGGTCACAGATGCCTCTTGAGATGAATTACGGTAAGCCTTAATAAATGCAAGGAAAAGTTCAAAGTGAAAGCCACACTGCGGGGACCATTGCGGAAGAAGAACCACAACGATTCCTGTCGGGAAGGCAAACTGCATCCAAAAATGTTTTCCATCAGCCACCCCTTTGAAACTCGAAAAAACGGACGACTACTGTACGCTGGTGCATGCGTTGTCTGCCAATACCTGGAGGACGGGATCCAACATCAAGATAAAGGTAGACGAATTTTCCAGATCGACATGGATCACAAAAACACAATAAGAAATTGTTGCAGCTCAGCATATCTTTTCTTACGTACCGTTCGTCATTCCAAAAACACCACAGAAAATTGTCTACGACTAAGTCTTCACGGTCATGAAAACTTAAAAAGTTTCAATTTGTTTCATCGATGTATTTAGATCTATGATATTTATACTCTTCATCCAGTTTGTCCATGTCAGGTCTGTCTTCTGGCAGCATTTGATCGAAGACTTGCTGTACATGTAGGGTTACAAGCACCATCATGAGCACAATCAGTAAATGCGTTGAGACATGAAGATAGTCCAATTCCCACCGACAACATATTTCGGCTATTGAGCAGATGACCATGACAGAGACAGGAATCTGTCCCACTTCGTATCAAGATAAACATATTTAAATAGATACTTATCATATTTAATATTAAAGTAAATACTTACTCAAAATTTCAAAACAATGCTTGTTGCCGTGCCAAAAGTGCTCTGAACCTTTGGGACTGCAAGTCCTGGTGCTCCATGTTGTAGATGGGAGTTAGATGCTGTTCCTGCCATAGACGAGCATAACAAAAACGGATACGCTACCCGACGCTTCAGACGAGCCAATTAGCTCTGAGGCATTTGAGCTAAAGACCAACAGGAAAAACGTACACGACATGGCCGCGAGAAATGGTACTTCAATCAGTTCCAGAACCAGTTCGACCATGTGCTGCTTCAATTAGAAAAGCAAGCATCGAAAAAAATGATGCTTCTCAAATGGCACCTAAGTCAGTTCCACAGGCAAGAATTGTGCTAAAAGGTAGGAGTGCGTAAAAACATCGATCTCGGGAGATCATTGCATAACTTAAGTATTCGTGAAACTGGAAGACGCCAAATTGAGCAAACTTGTTTTCTCTACCGCTGAAAGGTTGGAAGTATTCTCGTCGAGTCAGTTGGTAGTGGATGCAGTCACGACGCTCCTTCTCACCGGAGCCGAATATTAGAGACTCACACGTTAATTCATATTCTCATCTACTGTATGGTCATTATCTTGTCAACAGTATGCATTTGCTTATATCAACGGTAGACTTTCACTATCCCAACCTATCTAGATTCCCAGTAAGTCAATACAGCATGCGCATCATCAATAAACTCCATGCTTTTGCTGGTGGTACTTTCTTAAACGAAAAAAAGAAGAAAAACTATGTAAAAAACTAGAGCAAAATGGGTAAAGTTAGCAGATTCGTGCCGTTTACAGCGTGCAAACGCTGAAAAACAAAAAGCTGCGTACTTTTTCTAATATAACCGACATCCATGGCGGGGTAGCGGTGGCTTACTATTTGCCTACGTAGGTGGCCTACGATTTGCCTACAGAATTGCACTGCACACAGGATAGTAGAGACCCTTCTAGGGCTCTACCATCCTGTGTGAATTGCGAGTGCAATTCACTTGAAATCCACAAAGGGCCTCTACTATCCTGTGTGAAATGCAACTCTGTAAGCAAATCGTTGGCAAATCCTAGGAAAATCGTAGGCGGCTAGTGCGTCCGCACAGTGCGCCTACGATTTGTCTACAGAGTGGCCTACGGAGTGGCCTACCGAGTGGCCTACAGAGCGGCCCACCGAGTGGCCTGCAGACCATGGACCACTCGACTCCGCGAGCACATGTCCACGCCGGATAGTTGACCCAAGCCCACTCAGGATAGTTGACCGAAACCCACTCAGGATAGCTGACACACGCAAAGCATTTTGTCAAAAAAAAAGCTCAGAAGTTTGTCTTTTTTAGAAAATCCGCACAGGATAGTGACAAAGGATATTGAGAATCTACCCTTAATTATAAGGGACTCATTGGTCGGACAAAAATTCTATGGAAATGAACTATCAGTATCTATCATTACTCAGTCTTAAGAATATGTGCATGTGGCTAAGGCGGAAGATGTTTAGCAAGTGCGATTTGTTGGTCTGAAAAACCCGATTTCCATGTGCATCCACCAGTCGCTTCGGAATGTACGTTTCATGATGTTCTTCGACGTGCGGCACATGTTTAGGTTAGAGGATGGGCCATTGCACTCTTCAGATCTCGACTTCTTTCCTAAGTTTGGAAAACAAGTCAAGAATGTTAATAGAAAAATAAGGATGCAATGTACGAGTGCTTAATTGGGGTACTTCGAGCTCGCGGGAGCGACTGACTTTTTTCTAGCAAAAGTAGACCTTGAGGCCGCGGCATTTGGTTCATCTCCGCCGTTCTCGCCGTTTTCGTGTTGAAGAGAACTATTTCCAGCGTGTTGCGGATCTTCAGAGACCCCTCCATCAGCACCCTCTCCTGCTTGCATCTCACCCGGAGCGCCTTGGTCGTCTTCACTTTGATCTTCTGCTACGCTTGTTCTTTCCCCATGCCCCAACCGTGTTGAGATTCTCGCGTTGCCATCCTTCGTGACGTCATACATCTGGGACACATAAACGCCGTCATAGCGGCCCCAAATGTCGGCCTGCCTCGTGCCTACGTGCAAAAGCGCTGCGATGACAAAGATATATGCTACCATATACACGAAGATCAGCGTGTGGACGTGTGCAGATTAAAGCTTGCCATAATTCGATGGCGTGGGATGTAGCTGCCTACGGGACGTAGTTCGTTAAAGCACAATCCGAATTAATTCCTCCACCAAGTAAAGATTCAACGTCTTTTTCTATGGCCATCGAACTTCTCATATAAGCGCGTCCATAATCAAACATATGGGTAATCTCATGTCCGATATGTTGCCGGCGCTCCTCAAGCAAGCGCTCATGCACTGCCTCACCTGCCAGAGCTCTCCAATGCAGAAGCGAATCCACCACATTTTCTGCATCGTCCTCGGGCACCATTAGAAGAAAGAGTGAGTAGTCAGGGAGAAACGGTGCACGGTGAGCTTGAAGCAAAGACCATTTTTGAGTGTTGCAGAGGTTTCCCTCATTAGTTTTGCTCCACATCTCCCTCGAAAACTAGCGCGGTTGTGAGAACGCACTTCGGAAATTTGTGGTGTCTTTAGCCAAGAAGCGAAATAATGTGGCAAGTTAGTGGCCGCAAAGCCATACCCTTGCAGACGAATCGTCGCAACGTTATAATAAGATGTGGCAAATTAGTAGCAACGCCTTAACCTTGCGGAGGAGTCGTCACCAAAAAGAAAGTCGGAAAGATAATCAAAAGCGTGTTTGTTGATTAGTACCATCACGAAGAGGCTGACCACACCTAAAATGGTGACTTCGCGAAAGACTGACTCCAAGACTTCGACTGAGGATTTGTCATGCGAGAAGCTATGGCTCAAATAGTGCTGCGCGACTTCGAAGGCGAAAGAAAGAACAAGAATAACTGCAAGGCAAAGCAGCATCACAATAAAATTCTCTTCCATGTCGAGGATGTGGTGCTCATGATGCGCGCCACCGTGGCCGTGTTCATCCTCGTCTTCCTCATGTTCTGATGTCGCGTGGCCACTGCCTTCTCCATCCGCTGCCTGCTTTTTCTCGTCTTCATTTGCAAGCTCCACGAACGCATTTCTTTTTCTTCTACTCTGACGAGGCTTGGGCTCCGTCAACGCACGCTTCCATCTCTTCTCGTTGTATTCATTTTCCACGTCGCTGCGCTGCTTCGTCACAAATGTTGAGCTCCCTTCTACATCTTGCGCTCCACCTATCTCTTTCCTCTCTTGCTGACTAGTGCTCGCTCTTTGGTTTTCACTCGGGCTGAAAGGATGCGTGGGACCCAACTCTACACGACCGGCGTGATCAACTTCCACCTCCAAAAATTGACTTTGAAGAGGACGCGGCCGAGGTGTGTACGCATCATCTTCAACTCGAAGCTTAGAGCTAGTGCAGTCTAGTCTGGCAATCGATCTTTTCTGTAGGAGAGCACCTACTTACTCATCAATCTGTGTGCGCTTTTACGCATAACGCATCGATTTTTCAACACCAGACTACGATGATGCTGTATGAGTATGAGTTTGCAAGATGAACTAGAAGAACAAGATATTTAAGATAATCTGCCGCAACAGGTGGTGCACTTTCCTGTTCGTGCTCTGCGTGCTCCTCGCCAAGTTGCCTGCCAGCGAGAGCATCTCGGACACGTCTCACCTCTGGTCCAAACTGTGCTTGCTGCTGCTCGAGAAATTCTGACAAAACATTTTCCCACGACCGCTGGTTTTCGTTTACGAACCTGTTTGTGGTCTCTATCACAGGAGTCCCGGTAAATGTTGTATAGGACGGTCTCCTCTGCGATATCGATGCTGCTCTATCTCCCAAACGTGTAGTGTCAGAGTCCGTCTGATCTAGCGGTCCAGGTGGCTCGACAGTTCCGTCGGACACAAGACTGGCGCCACTCTGAGGAGAGTTGGAAGACGTCGCTGACCTTTTAGCGCAGGAAACGAAAAGCCCATCTTCAAAGGGGCAGCCCCAAACCGCCAGGGCAACAAGCTGCGTGCAGAGAGCCCACAGCGATCTGCGGGCAACGAAGAAGCAGCAGTAGAACGTAGTTTCTCGAGTCATGTTTTTTCACAATGTAACTTGAGAAGTGTCATAATTTCCTCCTCTCTAGCCATTGAGCAAACTGCCGCATCTTGCCTGTTTCCACATTCTGGCGACGTTCTCAATAATAAACTCGTACTTTGTAGCCCCCTCAACTATCTTACCTCATCAGCTCTCTGATCTTTCGTCACGTCATATGCGACGTGCACGAACAAGATGTCCGTCACTCAAAAAAGGGGAAATCAATGCGCATTATTAGCAGCGCAAATTTAGTAATCGTAATGAAGACATGAGGGGAGTAGCGGCACACGTCTCGGTACTCAAGTTGTATGCTCATTCGGCCAAGAGGTCATCCCTAAGAATTGTGGTAGTGATAGATAAGATTCCTATTGCTTACCAGCAGCAGAGGATAGAAGTGAACCTTCATAGTCAACACGATTCGGTTTTCTGTCGTCATGATTTCGACCCGTTACAACCTCGTTGGGACCGCCCTCGTCCCACTCAAAATTCTGTTTCTGCGGAGCGCGTTGACCTGAAAAGAAGAGCGCATCAGAACTGCGAGCGGGCCTACGTTAGACCGTCTACCGTCCGATTCTTTGACGTCAGGTTGAGGCTCTGCCTCGCCTTCGGCGGATACCGTTCTGTTACCCAAAGACCCGCCCATTGTGGCGTCAATATCCAACTCCGCGATTGTCTCCAGTGACGTCCTTCTTTCCGCTCCTGAGGTGTGCCTTCTGTTGTGTCTCATGTTGTTGTTGCTGCTTCGCGAGGTCCTCGCCACCTCGACGTCAGGATTATTAGCAAGTGAAACATATCAATAGGTTAAAACAATAAAGCCGATAACAATAAATATACATAGAAATTGTATGCGGTCCACACTCGCAGACGTCTGTGCCGTTCATTGTATCTTGAGTGAACTACTTACGCCGACCGCGAACGTCTTTTCATGTGCATAAAAATCTGAAAATCAACATGCAAATGAGCTTACTTCTACTTGTACTACTAGTATTTACTATATATTACTTTCACTTGGAAGAAAAACCTCGTTTTGTGAACATAACGATATCGCTCGTCGCAGAAAGCGAAACTGGTCGCGAGTAAGAGAAATGGCGCTCCACGTACTTCTCTTGACTTCTCGTCCAACGCCCGGCCTTTTTGTCCGGCGCCCCCGTCGACGTTCTTGTTCCTCTTGTCAGAGCGTTGTCCGCTTCATCAGCCTCGGAAGTTATCTCATCACTGGCAGGGGGAATGAAGGACAGTAGAAGTAACCAGACAGATCGAGATAAAGGATCCTCATAATCAGACGGATCCTGATGATGAACCGGTGCTCTTCATTCTCCTTGATTCACTCCTTACGTGATTGATGGGCATGTACACAGCGCCAGTCTCCACATCTCTCCTACTCCCAAGACACTTTACGACCGTATCAATGGCTGCGAAATAGGAGAGGTCAAGAGTAAACGACGAACGCTGTTGTACTGTAACTATCCATCACGAGCATCTAGGGTGAGGATTGCATGACTTAACATTCACCCATAAACAAAAGGAGCAGTGTGCTCATCTCCTTTGTCGTCCGCCTCATCGCCTCTCCGCCGATTGACGAGACGTCACTCAGACGCGATGTCCGGTGATGATGTTCGTGGCCACCAGCATGCTCATGATGGATGTTGTTGTGAACATATTGAAGCACCACCGTCAGAGACAAGATGAGTACCATCAAGAGTAGCTTCACCCAGGTCGTTCGGCGTAAAGAAAAGAAAGTAGAAGTGGACGCATCATTAGAGCAGGTATTTCTTAAACACATTTGGGAGCAATGCAATCAAAATCTAGGCTTCACGAACGCTACGCTTGTTTTTCCAAGTCATGGGTGCGTGCCAGCAGCCACATGGATTGAACCCAAAAAAAAGAAGAGTCAAAGGGAGTTAAAACTACCTATTAATATTAGTTTGTTACTCTGTGGGTATTGTTCGTATAAAATAAGAAATCAAAGTACTAGACGTGCACATACCCCTGCCCGCAGCAACAAGATGATGATCTTTTTTACCTTCATGTTCTTCACGTTCACCAGGTGCCGACTTGGCGTTTTTGTGCTCTCGGAGAAGCATCATCATGTGCTCATCCACGTAATTCTCGTAAACGACTCCGACATCTGGAAAAAGGCCGTCCAAAGAGTCCTTCGCGTAATTGAGGAATCGCGTTCGCACTTCGCTTGCACTAACGGGTCCTACTTCCGCACGAATTAGAAACTCGACTTGTGATATCACTTTTCCTCGTCAAGAAAGCCCACTTCAATCTAGGTATCTTGACTTCTTCAACATCACCTCGTCCAGCTTTTTTAACGCTGACGACGACGAGGTGGACCATCTACTTCCGAATGAGTCGCATCTTCAATAGGAATACTCCACAGCTGCACATTCATACATAAGACTGAAAATCAGAGTACTGCTATGTATTAGCAGCCTTAAAATACTTTTCAAAGCGCTCTGAAATGACTCCTCGACTGCAGCGACTTTCGTAGCTCGCACTTCGTGCGTGTCTCCCTCCCATTCGGCAATGCGCAGGTTTGTTGTGCCGCGCGCACGTTCCACGCCACTCGCGATCTCTGCGCAAGGGTCTGATTTGTTTTCATCTGCCGCTTGCTTCGTTTCATCCTGGATTTTTCTTGATAGTTGTGATACGTCTTTCAGAACAGGTGTAACATCAGGAGAAGTGGTCGAGGGAGGGGAGCTCGGCGTTCCGGCAGTTTCGTCATCTTGCTTACGCTTTTTCGCAACACGACAAGCCTCTAGTAGCGCTTGTCCGAGTGCTAGCGAAATCGTCTCGCCTGTATTTAGAATCTCACTCAGCGGTCCCGCCAGAACGGCACTGCTAGCGTCGGAGGTTGTAGCGTGAGCGTGACCAGCGCCATGCCCGTGCTCAGACGGTCTCCCATGCGACGCCTGCAGCAGGGACGCTCTACTGACCGAGAAATCGTCGTTGACTTGTGTAGACAGGTCTATCACTGGAGGCGGCGCTGACACCGTCTTGCGTATGCGTGCCAGCACTACGAGATGCCAAGCCAGTAGCACCAGAAAAGACACAAACCGCCACATTCCGATTCTGAAGTGGGTATCAAAAGGAATCTCGAAGATGCTGATGAACCGTGGTCCGGTGCAGGCGGTGCGGTGAGGACATGGACTTGTCACTTTTCGAAAATTTTACTTGTTTTCATCTTCATGGAAGCCGTGAACAAGCGTTACATCTAGGCACTGCACTTTTCGTTTTTTTCATTGAGCGTAACCACGTCTCTCTTTGCTTTCCTCCAGATCGACCGATTTTCTTTTTTCTTAAATGTCAAGAACAATCCACTAATTAATTATCGCAGCTTTCATAGTCTTCCCTCCTTTTTGCGATACCTAAGTTTTTCACTTCCACGACAAATTTGAATTTCTTGGGACAACATCGAGGCAGGGAACGCCGGTATCTATGCTAGCTATGAATGGAGAAAGGAATTATTTTTATTAAAGAGAAACACGTAGGTACGTCTGTTTGTGGTCCAAGAGGGTTTTATAAAGGACTACTTAATTCAGAAAGACGGCTTTCATTTTGTTTCATCAAAGGAAATTCACGCTCTCCCCTTGAGGTGATGTGACATGGCTGACGTTGCCAGTTCTTCTTTCACCACCCGCCTTGGTAGTTGACGACAGCGGGCCCAACACGAGTGATACAAAAGCGATAACCCCCTGCTGAGGTGCGAATCCCGCTTGTTTTACTGCGTCCGTCTTAGGCGTATGACCAGCGGCACCCCGATCTTCCGGTCCAGTTGATGTAGTCGACGCCCCGATTGCAGTTGCCCCCACACCAGCAGCAGTATTCTGCGTCTGCCCACCAGCGGACAGCCCCGCAGCTTCTGTGACAATACTACCCATCGTGAAGGGCTTGTGCAAAGTCTCGCTCTGAAATTCCTTCGCGCGCTCTTTCAACACGCAGTGTTGCATACCGTGTCGAAACTTCGTGTACTGCGCTAGGAAGATGGTTCCTCGATTCGGGAGTGACTCTATTTCACAATGAGGACCTTCCTGGTAGTTCTGTCTCCACGTGGCCACGGGTCCATGGGGATCTGTCACCTGCTGCCACGAGTCTCGGAACTTCTCACAGCGCTCTCTAAAGGATTCATAGTTGGCTACTGCCCGTATGTTGTCGCGTATCTTCTCCGCGGGCATCTTGTCGGCAGGGCACAACGCTCCCGGCGGGCGCTTCACCTGGTTCCACTCAGCCATAGCTGTGCTTACCTCACCGGCGGCCGCCTCCAAGTCGCCCTCCAGTGCCGCTTTGTGTCGTCGCCGCCATTGCTCGGACCAAAGGTCGCCTGCTTGTGATTGCATGCCCACCGCTGCCGTTTTTGGCGGCCGAAACAACTCGTTCCCTTGACCGGGAAGAAAAAAATGCGGCAAGACAATCAATCCACCGCCCGGCAGCTCCTGCGCACCTCCCTCAGTGTTCGTGTCATCCCCTTCCTCTCCGTGACCATTGCCTCCACCGTCTGACGACGCATCACCAGTAATGTTATTTTCCACCAGGGGTAAGAGCGCCTTCGCCCCTTCTGGATCCTCGACCAGTTGTTTACTGTGCGCCAACCGCTGATACGGCAGATGTCGCAGCTCGGTGGCAGTGCTTGCTCCCAGCGTCAACTTTGAATCTTCTGGAAGATTATTTAGCACGTTTCGCTCGGCTCCTGTTGCCGTTTTCAGAACGCACATGCAGGGTTTGAGGCCCCCTTTGGCCTTCTTGTTCTGGCACACGGATTCCTCAAAACCGTATTCGGAAAATCCGTGACACCACGAGCACGCGGCGTCTCCGCCCGCAAGCTGAGCCGTAGAACTCTCGTTCGGATAGCACATTTGGCTCGACCCAAACACCTTTCCTTGAAACGGGCAGCCTACCTCGTAGATCGGAGCAACGTCAGCCCCTGCCCCGCTGCCACCCACAATCGTTGCCTCGGCCCCAAGAAGCGCCCGCTTCAAAGCGGAATACACGTTTCCCTCAGCCTCACTCGCAGACGCAGAACCCTCGCCAACTCTAGGATCCAAGTCGCTCTGCATCCGGTCCCGCCACCAGGAAACTCGCGCGTCCGCGGCATCTGGGGTGTGCCCTACACCAAAAGCTCTGACATGCGAGACGCAGTGGTACCCAGCACCACACGGAGTGAACGGCATTGTTTCTGCGACTACTTCTTACTAACGTTCTGTAAATTGTCGGCGTTGGATATGGTTGGATTCGCCTATTTCTACGTATGTTATGAGCAGGATGGAGGTGTAAAGAACAATGCGCCAGAGAGAATCAAAATATGTTTTGAGAAAAATATTAGGACACATGCTGCAATCAGGGGATGGAAGGTACGTCTAGTCGTGGGGAGAAACCTCTGCTTGTGCTTACTACACCGATAGAGACCGATAATAGGCAAGAACCGATATCGGGCCGACTTAACCTTACTATCTTCACTCACTGGACGGGAATCAATCTGTGATTGTGATCAAGAACCGATATTATAATCTGACTGCGGTCTCGGTGCTTTTGAGCTCTAAAGGACGACACTAAATCACACTCGCTTCCTTCGATGCGAATCTGATCGCGGGAGCGACCTCGATGGGGCAGCTGCAACCGTGTCATAGCTGTCATGCCACACTATGCTAGCACACACAGCAACATGATGAACAACAACAAAGAAATGGGCCTTCAATCATTTTCATCCTGTGGTTGTGTTTGAATTTCAAATATTTCCAAAGAAGCATTTTCGATGTTTTGCAAGTAGGCTTGTGGCGACGTCATGGCTTGCGCGCGGCAGGAGCAGTCTTTGTAGTACTCCTGGCATGCAACATGTTAAACAAAGCATAGTAAATACAAGAAACCGGGGCGCCCCTTGGGCGGCCCCTCCTTGATAACAGCACAGCCACAGAGTAGAAACAAACATAAGAGAAAGCAAAAAACAAACGACGGAGGCACAGAGCACCCGCCCCTTGGCCTTGGCGGCTGCCGTCGAGATGATGGAGAGGAACAAAGACCGAAGCAGCCCACGGAACCCAGAACCCTTGCGCGCGGAATCAATTAAGCACGCCACGCCAATGAGCACGAGACAGGCCCGGCGGACATGCGCGCGCGGGGGCGGAGGTGTTGCCAATGCCGTAAGGTGCGCTCGACGTCGGTGAGCCCTCCCAAGCCCGCGCGCCTTGCTCGTGTCGTCTTCGCTCGTCCCGCCCAGCTTGCCCCGGCAGATTGGCTCGCCAGCTTTGGCCGCTCAGGCCTCTCCGGTCTGAGCTGCCCGCGTTCTCACCTAAGGCTAGCTGTTCTCCTTCTCGGGTTTGTTCTTTGGCTCAACGAGCGGGGGCTGCCCATCGCTCCCACCTCAGCCCCCAAAGTGCCCCACGACCTCCCCAAACGCAGCACGACCTCCCAAACACAGCGCGACCCCCTAAGCACAGCACGGCCCTAAGCTACAACGTTGCCACGCAAACGCAGCGCGCCCCCAAAGCAACCCACGAGGCACCAAACCAAATACACCACAGCCCTCCAAACTTACTAACACACCACGACCACCAAGGAGAAACACCATGACCCTCCAGGCAACCCACTACAACACCCGGAACACACTACGAGCACGAGCATGGGGGGGCACAGCCAGACCCCGCGCATAAATTACCACAGACAAAAGAATCAACCCCGAACAAGACAACACGCAGCCCCTGGGCCTGGGCTATGACTTGACCCGCCCGCCCCGTGGAAAGAAAAAGGCAAGAGCAACAAGGCCGTAAGAGGTACCACGGCCCTCCTTTGGCACCACGACCCTCCCGGGGCACCCCCTGACCCCAAAGGCAACGCATGCCAAACCATAAAAAAAACTGAGCACAGCCCCAAAAACACGGCATGACCCCAAAGCCAAAGCACAGCATAGACCCCCAAAGAGACACCGTAAGCACGAGCACGACCACCAAGACACACCAGCGCGACCGCCAAAGACACAACACGAACCCCCAAAACAACGAACACAACACCCCTGACACAGCACAGACCCCAAAGCACCGCAAGACCCCGAAAAGCACAGCACTACCACCCCGAGCACGCCAAGGCGACGACTAAGACACATCACGACCCTCGAGAACCACCACGAGACGACCCCCCGAACAGATGGCGTTGGCGACCGCCATAACCTACTAAGACCTCTCGCCCCTACATCTGAAGGCCCCGCATGACCACGCACCAAAGCGCAGCCACCTGGCCACGCACCAAAACACCGCGCGACCCCAGAAGCACAGTCAGCGCCAAACCTACCACGGCTCACCATGACCCCCCGCAACTCAGGACGACACCACTGAAAAAAAGCCAAGCCACAAAGAGAGAAGGATAAGCTTGGCCCCCATTTCAAAGCCACAACGTGACCCCCAAACAAAGAGCAACGCGCAGCCCCCGGGGCACCACGATCGCCCCCGAAACACACCACGCGCACCCCGACGCCGCACGGCCTTCTACACTCCCTGCAAAACACAACCCCGCCTTCTACACTCACCCCGCCGCCCCAGCTGCAGCACCCGCATGCCATCATGGCGCGTGCCTTCCAAAACATTGCGCGCCCCCCTGAGAACGAATTGGCCCCCCCCCTGCACAGGCAGCACCCACCACCCCCCGAGCACCACCCAAGCAAGACCCCAAGAACAAAGTAACCCACGAGACACAGACCACGACCCCCCAGCGCGTCACCATCGACCCCCCGATAAGCTTCACGGCATGACCTGCCGGAAGCATCTACTCACATGACCTCGAAAGAATGTGGCACACAAATGCCACGACTGCCCCAACGCCGCGCAGCTTCGAGAAAGAGCATGACCCCTAGGCAAGCACTGCCGCCAGCATGGACGCCAAGGCCCTCACTCGATGACCTCCAAAGCACACCGCGATCCTTGAAGACCACCGCAGCCAGATACTCCCAACCACACGCCGACACCTCCGCGCGCCTCCAAAGTTACTAAAAAAAGCGCAACCCAAGGCGAAACATCACGACCACCACCAAAGCCAGCGCGCCGGGCTTCCCCTGACGCTGACACACCACGACCCACCAAACACGCCGCGGCCACTTAGATACAGCGGGGCCCCTTAGTGGAAACGCGGCCCCCCGAAGACATTGCGCTGCGTCATCTAAAACATGACGCGGCCCCTTAAGATCCGCACGGCCCCGAGCATGCACCGCGGCCATGCATCCTCCCAAGCTCCCGCGACCTCCCTCCAGACACACACCGACCCCCCCGCACTCCGCGACCCCTCAGACCCGCAGGGAAAAGCGTGGCGCCTGCAGAATTAATAGTGAGAGGCCGCCTGCGGCACCATAATGCACTGACTGCCCCCGAGACAAAGCCCGGCCCTTCCAGCACAGCGCAGCCAAATGGACACCGTTGCCCCCGCCAAGCGTCAGGACCCCCCGACACACCGCGGACAGCATGCACCGAAGACACGACGCAACCCACCAGGCACCGCGGCACCCCCTAAAGCGCCGCAGCGCAACCCCCCAAGAGCTGCAAAGCCCAAGAAACAAAGCCCGACCCCCTGAGCAAACACAGCCCGAACCTTTGGGCACCATGTAGCCCCCCAAGCACAGCAAAACCCCCCGAGGGGACACCGCGCGACCCCCCAGCATGAGGCGACCCCAAGCACTCTATGACGCGCCAAACGTACACGCCACGACTGCTCACCCCCCGGCAGGCACATGCCACGACCGTGCCACGAGCAAAAAGGCGCAAAGTGACCCCTTAAACGCCGAGCGACCCCCGCAAACACACCACGAACGACCACCCCAGACACACCACGCCCCCCCCCCAACACAGATCGACGCCGCGACCTCTAAACGCGCGTCGGCTCCCCGACGCATGCCAAGACGCCAAAGAGACAGCGTGACCAATAAGAATAAGGCGCATAATGGCGCCCCAAGCGCCGAGCGACCCCCCGAAAAGGACACAGCCAGACCCCCCAGGCACCGCATGGCCACACCCCTCCCCCAACACCACCCAGCCAGACCTCTAACGCACCGTATGAGCAAGCCCCAAAGCTACAGCATGGCCCCAAAAAGACAAAGCAAAGACGCCACCGCCCCGGAAAGATGGTGAGCAGCGTGGCCCCCCGAAGAAAAGGGCACTGCGCGAACCCGAAAGCCCACGCCCAGCGCCTTGGGCGGTTTTTCTTTCACATGTCTCACATGGATGCAGCCGCCAGCCAGCGCCTTCAAAATAAGAGCAAGAGGACCCACCGCGCAGGGCTTAGTATCAAGAAGCTTGCGGAGGTTGGGAAGACGCTGCCCATCACCTGCCAGACTTTCTGGGGGTTTTCTTCTCAGAGAGATACCACGAGGCCAGCCTCTAAAGTTGGCACTTGACTTTTTGCGACTTCCTCCTCGCGCTGTCGGTTGCGACCGGGCGCAGGGGGCCCGAGGGGGTTGCCCGGGCGGAAGTTGGGCGCCGCGTTTCTATCTTGGCGAGATTGCCCACCCGCAGACTTCTTCAGCCGCACTCTCCTCGAGGGGTGTCCAGATCCGCGAGGAGCTAGCCGCGCGCCTACAGCTAGGGCCTCCCACCCGCGTGGCTGGCTCTTATTTTCGGCGCCTTTTGTTCGGCTTTGCGCCGCGAAAATCATCGATCAGGCACGCAGGTGGGAAGGTGCGAAGGCGTTGCCAACAGGTTGGCCCCCCTTCCCCTTAAGGTACCCCGCTCGCAGCCTCTGGGCGCACACTCCCAAAGAGGAGGATCTGCGCGAGCGCGGCGCCAATCCCCCTACTGTGGTGCTGGCTTTTCTGCAGTTTTCGCCGAGGCTTTCAAGCGTCGCCGCGTCTGATCTGGCGCGGAAGTTGAGACGGGGGGCTGCGCAGGGGTTGGACAGGGGTCAGCTCCCCTCATCCCCCCACCCCCCAAAGACCCCCCCTCCACCCGAAGAAAGACACCTCAAAAAACCCACCCGCGACTCTATTGACCATCTGGACAGACGCAGGGGCTGGACTGGGGTAGGCCCCCCTTTCCCCCCCTCTTGTTAGTCCCAGCGGCATCGCCCGCAGTCCGTCGGCCGCACGCAGCACAGCCCGCAGCGTAGAACGCCGAGGACGGAAAGCCATGAACGTCCTCTATCGAAACGCCACCCATTTCAATTCTTGGCACGGTATCAGCAAGGTTATAGCTTTCGACTTTTTTCGTTATTCGATGTTGCTGAGAATGTTTTCCGAGGGTAGTTTGCAGAGTGTGAGCCCCAAGCACCGGGGTGGAGCTCGGTCTTTGGGGTTTCCTCTTCTTTCAAGGTTGTCGCGTGTGTTTGATGAGTGCCCTCTTCCGACAGGTTGCGAAGTCGGTTGGTATTCCTCAGAGCCAAGCAGGCCGCGCACTGCCAAGCTATTGCATTTCAAGCCCACGCGTCTCGTCGAAGCGGGGGGACTCCATCGGGGGGAGGAGCGCTTGGGACTTGCGATAGGGTTTGGGAGAAGTGGCTTCAAGCTTGCGGCCTTGCGAAGAGGGTTGCGCAGGGGTTGGACAGGCACAGGGGTCGGGCAGGGGTTGGCCCCCCCTACCCCCCCTCGGGCCCCCCCTTCTCCCCCCGAAAATCCCTCCAAAAACCTTTCTCGACTCTTTTGGCCATTATTATATTTTTAATACCGAGCAACTTATAAGGTTTCACAGCTCGCACGGCATGGAGTGCATGGAGTGCATGGAGCAGCATGGAGATAAAGGGGGAGCTTCTTGCGCCCCTTAAAGCTCTGCGCTCCATGCCCTCCATGCTACTCCATGCGCCATGCGTGCTATAAACTACTCTGTTAATATAATATTATTTATTATCAAATGTTTCATTCAAACTATCATTAGTTTACGTAATTAATCAGATAAAACATGATCACTAGCTTTCAATCATCGCTATTGGAGGCAGGGAAATTTCAGAAGATTTTACTTGAGTAAATCATGTTGGATGACAAATACGGTATGCCGTCAAATAATCAGATGCATGAGCGGAGTTGTAGCTGAGTTATTGAAGGTAAGGGCGAAGGTAATTATATGAAGAAAAATCCATCGCGCATGCCGAAAGAGCTGCATAAGATCATTGATCAAGCGAGTGGGCAAGTGCTCGAGAATTAAGCACCGCTGATCTCCACTCCAATTGCTCTTCTTGTTCTAATAAATTTAGAAGGTAGAATGATTCACTCACTGGCAGGACGAGTGTTTTTACAAATACTAGTATGTAATAAGACTACGAGAAGAAAAAGTATTTACTGCATGAAGGGATAGACCTAACTTAGGGGAAGAGGAAAAACGCTCCGGCTGTTTTATTTACTGCTTTAAGCGTCGCTTGACCGAGAAGAGAAAGTATATATTGAAAAAGAACATCAGTGAAGATAGTCGACATCATTCAAGAACGGTCCTCGGACTCTGCGAGACTCGAAAAAAATAAAAGCCAGCGAGTCTCAGACAGTCGCCGACATGACGCACCAGCGCCAAAGACTCAGTATATTACTGCTGGGCAGAATGATAGCGGATAGGTCAACAACGTGAAACGGCTCAAGGATCTCAGTCAAGAGGCCCACCAAGATCGTGGACCAAATGGCTACAGGATCAGAATCACAACAGTAGGAAGATCAACAAGATCACACCAAGGGGATCACCATCAGGATGATCACCATAGGAGTGGAATACTATCGGGATCGAGAACATCCGCACCGAGATCCCTAGCGTAGCAAGTAGTTTGATACTCATAGACATGAACAGGCACGCGCTCACTTTGGAACTGCATGAGAACCATCAAACTGAACGGACTTGCTCCAACCTTCGCAGGTACAGCGAAGGGGGTACCGTTTCCAACTTGACTCCCCTGCGGGTCTAGTTTCCTAGGTTTTCAGTGTTCTAGCAATTACTTAGATGAATCTGCTTCCTTCCGTCTCCCAGACAATAGACGCCGCGACCTCGTGACGAATAATCCGCTTGTTCATGTCCCACCTTCGAAAAAAAAAGGTAGGCACGACAGGAAGAATACCTCTTGCATTCAACCTCCATGATTCAATACCAATTGCAATTTGTTTGTTCAGACAGACAGTGATGTTGCTTCACGTATCACGATACGCCGAGAAAAATATAAAATTTGGTGGTGGACATTAGTAAAACAACATCATCAAAGTCAATGCATAGTTCGTGCCAAATCCTCGAGTACCTTCCGGACTTTGGTTATGTAAGTCCCTTGGAGATTCAAAATATCTTCACTTTCATAGCTTAGTGCATCAGGTCACAGCTACACAATTTTGCGTGTATTTTGCATAACCTACCACACCTCTACTTTTACAAGGAGCAACGGAATAAATATAAAAATAAAGGCGTCGTGCAAATTAACGCTGGCGATCCGAAACATCGCATTTTTCATCGATCAATTCATTCATCAGTTTCAATCAAGAGTAAATTAGTTGTCCGTCGTGGTCCCTGATCTTACTGCAAGTTGGGCATCAGCAGGTCGAAGGTGTGACAAGACTCGCTCGACTCTCATCCCTCGTTGTATCGGTCCTTAGAAAAGGCAAGGGCGAAAAGGACTAAGTACATAGATGCCTAAGAAAGAAAGTAAAGAACGCATAACCAGATGCTTCAGCCCTTGGCGTCCCCCCACCCCCCAGGTCCTTGGTGGAGGACGCAGGGGAGGGTGGGTGCTCCCACTGACTCTAGTCCGCCGTTCCTAGCAAAAAAGCCCATTGGCTTTCATTCTTCGGTCGCAGCATCCATTGTTGAGAGATAGAATGAGGCCACTGATGATGAAATTTGCCGTCATTATCATCACGTCTCAATCCAACCATTCCTGTGAGTTGTCACAGAGAGGCGATCACGGTGGCCCATTCTTTCAGTAAGTATAGACTGCAACGTAGGCAAATTCTAAAGTTTTCCAGCTTCCACAAGTCTTGCTTCTAGTACACCAATTCCCGACATCAGAAAGACAGGGCTTCCATTCCTCGTGACAAAGACCACTGTATAGCACCAAGTGCATGGGAAATCCAAAGTTTTTCATGTACTTATTAGATTCATATGCTTCTGGATGCACATCGTCGTCGAAGTCGAAGATGTTCCAAAAATCTAGTATCTCTTATCTATCATAGTGTAGTCGAGCTAGCTCTAGCAGAGTACCAGGTATATATTCAGGTGGGACTGAGACAGGGCTAAGCCAGGAAACGTCAACAATTCGTCAGTATAATAATACTATCATACGCTTATTCAAAAAAATCATTGTATTTTTTTATATCGTTTCGATTAGCAGGTCAAATCATTGACGCGCTTGAGAGACCTAGATAAACGAACTGTGATCCTGAATGCATTTTTCTGTTTTACGAGCCATGATTCTCGATAGGCTAGTCGAAGTAGGTCCCTGGCGTTCAAGTCTTTTGCTGCAAAAAGGGTAGCGGTACCGGTAACGAGAAAACTCGATAACAAAAGCAGTCATCAAACGTAAGGAACGAGCCAGACTTGCGTCAGCAGGAGCCACATGAATAACAAGCTTTAGACCTCGATTTTCTCACGCCAACGCGGCTCGGACGTACTACTGCGCCATGTTTTTTCACCCCAGCTTTTCTCCTCTTGCTTCTTGTTTTTGATATTCATAGATCTAGCAGTATGTTCAATATTGTGGAGATCTCCGCTTCGTCGAACTCGAACTACCTCGAAAAGGTAGGTATTCATGCGTCGTAGAATGTTGTGAGAGGGTGAGGCTAGTCTAATGTGCCGATTATGGTTGCATTTGACTTTCCTTCCGCCGCCAGACCTTAGCAGCTTCTGCTCCTTTATGCTGCTTTGCCGATATGCTCGCCGAAGCTCTCGATTTCTCGTTCAAGAAATGGTCTATCTCTTTGCGTAATCGTGCTTCGTAGTCATCAAGATTTTCCTTTGACTTCAACAAGAGTCGGCGCGAACATTCTGCCTCCTTTCCCAAAAACTCTGCGTCAGATGAATCTTCCAGATCATCCGTGTTCGCCACATAAGCTCCCGTCTTTACGGGGCGCGCAACAGCCGACCCAACTTCTCGATCTGGTAAGCTCAGAGCTGCAGATTTTGGGTCGGCGTTGCTCCGTTCGGATATGCGCCCTCCATGATTAAATTCTTCTGAAGATATGCCGGAAACAGGATCGCCTGGCAGCGACACTACAAGATGGGGCCCACCTTGGTCAGGTCTATTATGTCGGGACCGTCTCCTACAAGGGTGCGCTGTATGCCCACGACGTGCTCCTGCCAAATTCTTACGGAGAAAAGCGTTCGGCTCAGGCCTCTGTCCTATCCTCCACATACGTGGATCAGTCACTCGAGCATCATAATAGTTGCCTTTTGGATCTCTCCCGTTTGTTGAAACCGCAAGGCGCGGAGCAGCGGGTTCACCTTCGGCAGCTGATGGAGGTGACGCGGATGCAGATGGTGTCCATTCTGCGGAATTGGAGGTAGTGTTTGCGGCCGACACTGATGAACTGGAATCACGGGTACGCACGCCAAAGGCATTTCTTGACGAAATCGATCCTGCCGGAGTTGAAGTAGAATTCGGTGGCCTTGTTGATAATCGATTGGAAAGGGTACTGCTTCCACCTGGACCTACTTCATCAGGGTCGAGTGAATCCTGCAGATCCTGGCGGAGACGCGACAGCGGGTCATGAGATTTAGCTTGCGACAGGTCCCTAGCTTGAGCTTTTTCTTTCGCATCACAATACTCTCTGATGATACGCTTGATGTTCGTCTCGTCTGAAGATGCTGCCGTTGTTGACGATCCACACGAGTTCCTACGAGATTCAGCCCGTTGACGTTCAGGATCACGGCAGTCTTTGAAGATCCTCACAGCCGCCACGGCGTGAAATCCGCTCGGAGACGTAGTGAGAGCAACCAACATGGAACCGAGGAAACCTCGGCAGACGCCAAACGCTGACATTTTGAGTTTCATCTTATTGATTCTAACCCTAGACTAACCGAAAACCCTACAAATAATATTTTTTTCTCCCCAGCCACAAAATCACACAGATAGCTACCTACCTACGAGTTGTAACCCAACGTCCAGGTAAGGAGGAAATTTACAAATTGAAGTGTCCTTATCTGTATCAAATCATTCCACAAGGAAAAAGTGAATATATAATTGCGGGGGTAGTGCCATTCATTACTACTTTTAGGTATTGGCTCAGAAAATCTGGCTGGTATCTACGATATGAATCGATTCTCAGCTTCCGCGGCTGAAATATATGACGCAATGAAGAAACAATAATCTTCAAAGATGGATATAATGGTATCTATATAATCTTGGAACGCGCCGACGTTAGTGCCTATATTTTTTATATTTATGTACCAGGGAGGGAGGCCCCCACTGTGGATGGCGCGGCGGTGGCGTCCGCGCGCCTATTTTTTCGCGGTGGTGACATGTAAGGACTCACGGGGGGGAAGGCCTCAAAAGGCGGAGGAGGCCCCTCGCGGCTCTCCGCGTGTACCCCACAGGGGTCCCGACTCTTGGCACCTATCAGAGAGACGCCCTCCGGGGGAAAAAGGCCGCCGAAGGCGACCACGGTCGCGAGGCCTGGCCCCTTTGGCCCTCCTGGGGGGCAGCAGGGGCCAAACTCCTCCAGTGAGGAGTCCGCACGCACCCGGAAGGTCTGAAGGGTACACGCAACACGGCACGGGGGTCAAGCCTTGCAACTTGCTGCCCTCCGAGTCCCTCCACCACCCAAGTAGCCTCCCCAGTGAGGAGCCCGCACCCAGGAGATCTGTAGGGTACACGCAGCACGGCAAAGGGGGCAAGCCTGGCCAGTTTTGCCGCCTTCGGAAGCCTTCCACCCCCGGCCGTCGGTGCTTGAACGGCCTCAGGAAAGGGGCCGGAGGTCGGCGGTTGGAGGCCTTCCCGCCCGGCAGTCCCTCGGGAAAAAGGAGCCGGGGCTGGAGGCTCCCCCCTCAAAAAGTTAGATCGGGGCGGCCTTCAGCCCTGAGCCCTGGAACATATATAAAAATATAGAACTATAAATCTAGTCCATCGTAAACTTAACTAGCAGAAGGCTACTATAGTCTCGTGCCAGTAGCTTTTGGTTATTGGAATATGGATTCTGATTGAAGCGAAGATATTTGACTTTTAACGGTGGACAATCTTTGCGAGCTCCTGCAATTAATTGGTTCATCAATGCATGCAACTGCATGAAAAAATCTGTGTTAGTTGAGTTAACTTCGTTCTGTTTGTGTTTGTTCTATAGGTCGTTTGGCTTACGCTTAGCAAGTACTTAATACTTCTCAATGGAAAAGAAAATATAATCCTCCTAGAAAGTTGTTACGCGGCAGAGGGAGAAAAAGCAAACTAGATATCACGAACTCTGCTCGATGTCAAAGAAAAACAGAAAATTACTTCTTCAAGAGTAAGATTTCATTTGAGGACAAGCATCAATCTTGTTCTGCACACACAAACGAGAAAAACCGTTTGGTCCTAAAAAGAGACAATCAAAGGAACGAATATCTCGAAATCACACGACCAGAAAAACAAACGATGGGAAATGGAAAGCGCAGATGCTAGTAAAGTTGATGGAACGCAAGAAGAACGACACGAAAGCCATCCAAATCCCAGAAAAAATGGAAATAGACTTGAAAATTGAAAAAGAGTATGATAAGAGATTCAGGATGGAAAAAAAGACAACATACAAGGAGAAAGGAGTACGAAGGAATTACTTACCAGTACTTAACCACGTGAAGATGACGCAAATAAAAAACATCACAGGTTCGTTGACCTTCGAAAGTAAAAGAGCGGATGAGTTCTGATGCAAGACGAGACAAGAAAAATTCATCGAGATCGAACAAAATTTCTAACTTTATAAAGCAAGCTCTCCTGAGAGAAGTGAGGCGTTAAAACGAGCCATCGTCTTGATGAAGTTGTGTTGTTGGTTCCTTTGAATAGGCCTTGATCGTCTTTTCATATATCAAATATGAAATTCATAGTCACAAAAATTTTTCGAGAGTCTTTATTATAAGGATCCGTTGTGAACCTGAACTCTTTCTTCTTGACCTGTATGATCTGGACTGGAATCTTTTCGACGAAATTGCGTCCAGCCAATCGAAATGCATTTTTCAGATCTGACGAAATGATCTTTCGACCTAGCTACCGAAGCCCGTTTTGAAGTTTATCTTTATCATCAACACACAGAAAAAGGACCCATGTGATCTATTCCAGAATGGCCACTGAAAGCGCGAGATACACCATATTAGGTATTATATGTGGTTAGGTGACAAAAAACCCTTACTCAATTACCGCTTGATAAGTATTGCTAAGGGACTCTATCTTCATACATCGCTCCTTTACAAACTACTTACTCATAAAATGAGGCAAGAGGACAGTAAATGCGAAAATCAGAAAAATCTCGGTTCAATCTTGCGACACTAGGCAAGTGGAAATGCAGGAACTGGTCCGCTCTTGAAGTGGCTGAAAGTGAGCGTGTGCCTGGACAAGCTTGTTGCTTCTCCCCTCTACGTACAAAAGTAAAAAGTAGGATAGCACTTTTCATCTTCTATCTTTCTTATCCTAACATCATTCATAACTTGAGGCCCCTAATCAAATGCATCAACCAAAGTAGAGAAGTTGTAGTTGCTGAAGTTCTTTGAAATCATAATTACTCGAAAACATACAGTGGTATAGCCCGGCCGCTTCACCAGATGCCCTCGTCTACCATGCATCGTAAATTCCTGTCTATTTCCTAGTCTCTGCGCGTCCTCCGACCCCGAGCAACGAGTAAGAACATTAATGAGCTAAATAAAATTCCAACAAAAACAATTTCCGCCCAAACCTCCAAACCAAAAAGACTTGAACCAAAAAACACCTGGACCCAAAGCACTTGAGCCAAAAACACCAGGACCAAAGGCACCAGAACCAAAGACACCAGAATCAAAGACACCAGAACCAAAAACACCTGAACCAAAAACACCTGAACCAAACGCCCGCGCCCTCCGTAGCAAATTTTTACGCTCTCTATTTTAATAAGCCAACGAACCAACAAACACTACAACAAAGGGGCACACTATTGCAGAAATGCGATTTACTTTAAATTCTAGGCGTTAAAATAAAAAGTTTTGGATTTCAAACTCGGTGGCTCAAGTTCAAAGTTTCAAATTCTAAATTTCGAACTCGAAGTTTCAAACTCGAGGCTTCAAATTCGTAATTTCAAGCTCGAAGCTCCAAGCTCAAAGTTTCAAATTCGTAACTTCAAACGCGAAGTTTCAAATTCAAAGTTTCTTTGTTTGTTTTGATGCGCTCCGGGCGACGCGTACGATCCCGCCGGATTTCTTTGTGCTCTGTGTGTGTTATGCTAAATTCAAAGTTTCAAATTCAAAGCTTCAAATTCAAAGTTTCAAATTCACAGTTTCAAACTCAAAGTTTCAAATTCAAAGTTTCAAATTCAAAGTTTCAAATTCAAAGTTTCAAATTCGATATTTCAAACTCAACATTTCAAATACGAAAATTTGGATTTTATCCCAATTCTAATTTATTCCGCGCAGCTTGATTGTTCGCTTTGGTCTTCTAAATGCCGCGGCGCCTCTGCTCCGACTCCTCTCCCGCGGATCAACTCCGCCAGGTGAGCATCATGATCAGGCTGAAGAGGAACGGAGGAGGCGCGCATTGAAGGAGGAAGCGCTCAAAGGAGGTAGAGGACTCTAGTGGACGAAGAGCTGTCTGGCCCTAAAGTCTAGTACTCAATACTGTTGAAAAGTATTGATATTTTAGAATGGATAAATATCTACACGAGCGCACGAGTTTCGTTTTTTTTCAAGCGGATTTGAAGATTGTTTGCGCTAATAGGCAACCACTGCTGATATTGAGTCATGAGGGAAAATCGATCGAAGTCTAAGATAGTCTATAGGTGAAACTGGAACTTTTGTTCGGTTTTTTCCATCCAAAAACGGCGAGCTACTGCAGCTGATTTCGCGCCACCTCAACAACAACTACCACGACCGGAAATCCTCACCGCAATTAGCTAGACACTCGTCTTAGTCGTGCCAGCCTTCGCCTTCGCGGACGCCTTCGAGGTCCTGGATATGCCAGACCGATGCGTGTCGCCCTCGTCCTCAGTGCGACGACTCGAATCTCCAGCATCTACTACGAAGCCACGCTTCTTTCCCTGGGCTTCATTTCGTTTCGGTGGTTAGAGGAGATCTTAATACCAATATATACCTAGCTAGGGGCTAAAAAAATTGACACGAGGATGAAGATTCGGAAGTAGCTCGCTGGAGACGGCTCGATCGTCTGCAGGCTCCTAAAAACGATCGAAGGCTGGAATATTCTCAAGGCATTCTCTACTAGGAGTAATTTTCTACTTCTTTCGAATTGCTTGATTCTCTCCAGCCTTTAGCTTTAGTAGTAGAAAAAGAAAAATTAACTAACTATCAGTAAGGGCCGTAATGGATGGCGTACTTGCGAAGCCAGATGACGATCTTGGAAATGCTGATTTCGTCTACTTCCTGCGTTTCGTCCTCAGCTGCTTCAACGATTTTAAACATCGTATGCACTCCGCGAATATCCATCTTCGCTGCCTCACATACCTCCGGCAAAGACTTTACTTAGACGAAAAAAGCTGCTGCTTTTTCATATTTATTGCTTATGGTCACGGTGGATATCGAAACGAATTGAAGGTCAAGGTGCTGTCTCCAACAAGAATATCATTCTGGATTAGCTCTGCACCGACACACAAGCATTAAGACTTTGCACTTGCGGATAAGTCGATGAAACCTCTGCACAAATTGTCTACTGTAAATGTAATCGTTTCCTGTCATAATCTAAGAACTCGGTTGTGGAGACTTGCCCGTCACCGTTTTTATCGAGCACACCAGACAGCCAGTCGGACAGCCTGTCTTCGTCGAAATCTCCTCCAGTGAGTTCCGCTTCCAGCATTGTGTAAACCTTGAACTCATCAACGTACATTGTGCCTTCCTCTTTAACATCGAGTTCCACTACCGCCTGCGCGCCCGCAGTACCACTCTGCTTTGATGCATAATATCGAGGCCGGAAAACGCCACTCTTCAACCACTGCCGGAGCACGGAACGAGTTAGGGGAAGTGCGATGCTTTCTGGGAAAGATGGCTAGCTCTCAGTCCCACCTTGCGCATCCATCCAGCCTACTTGTGCTAGCAGTATGGCCACAGTCAGTCTCCCAGTAGACCAGTATCGCGAGACCGCCGTCGATGGGATACTCATACTACTTGAAGATGATGCAGAAGAAAGAGTAGCTTTGCATGAGTGTTGAAATACTTCTTCGAAAAAGCAATCCAGTGGATATTCATTGTCATTACTCCTCTTTGTTGTATCAAGTAGGACCGTTGCATCGTAACTGAATCTGCGTTTCTGAGCGTCCTTGGTGTGCCAGTAATCCCGACAGCTCGTCTTGATCGAAGCTCCCACTTCCATCGCGATCCCACGTCTTGAAGGCGTCTTCAATAGCTGATTGCTGGTCTCGCGGCATCGTCAGATGAAATTGCTCCAGCTTCGTCTTCAACCATTTCTCGTATACTCCGTCTTTTACCTGAAATCATAGCCGAAGCGAAGATGCATCTGGTTCTCCGTCACAGGTTCATTTAGGTCGTAGCATCATGGCGAAGATTACGATATTACCGGAGTAAAACCAATCGGAGAATCTTCTCGTATCTACCCTAGTACGCACTAACCTTTATCAATATTGTTCATACCGGTTTCCGCGTCTTGAAGTAGTCGTCCATTGACATGACTTGGTGAACCAGCGCCGCGGCCTCGAGCTCGGATATCAGGATACTGTATTTCTTGAAATGCTCTGCCTCGACTTTACGCGCTACCTCTTCAATAATATGCTCGCGCTGCATCATTCGCAAAATGAAAAGGAACGAAATTTTTAGCCCCATACAGTTCTTGTGGGACCACACTAGAGTGATTTCAAACAACATCTTCATAAAAAAACAGAGGTGGTGCTGCGAAGAGCAAACAATCTCTATCTCAATCATTTATCGTTTCAAGTCTAAAGAGGGTGGGGCATCAAGTCAGCAGCTGCTTCAAAAAGGAATAATGCAATCAAAATGACAACAAATTATATATATCGGCATCGATCCGATAAGAAGTGGCCGTAGCTGTTGAGGTCACCAGCGTGTAGGTATAAAGAATAGACGGCCAGAGGACGCCGAAGGATAGGAGCAAGGGAAAGAAGTGGATAATTGCGTGAGTGACGGAAGAGGTGTGATGTCCAAAGCTGACGACAACAGCGACATAGATTGCTTGCAGAAACAGCGCGATTTGCAATACAAAACTCAGCGAAGCCGGCCCGCGTCGCCACGCGTAGAAGAGGGCCTCCTGCTTGTTCGGCGCCAGCGTGCCGTACAGATACTTGCGCCAGGCGCCATACCCGCGTGTGTACTTCGCTGTTTGGTAGGCCGGTGTGTTAAAGTAGGCGCCCTTGATAGTGCCACTTGTTGATCAAGAATGAAGCAACCGCTTTGTTCAGGGACCTGATCTAGTTTGATGTGGTTACCTCTGCCTATGTATGGCTCGCTTCTACTAATCCTAATCGGACGTTATATTCATATCGAAAACTTGTTGTCTTAAGCTTTCCCCTTCCGATGAGCAGCTCTTTTCCAAGATACTCGGTCATGGCATCCGACGGTCCTGGGGAGTAGTCGCTGGGAAGCAAGTGATAGTATATCCCGCGCAGACGCATCATAATCGCTAGAAGAACAAGCGTAATACCACAAGCTAGAGCTTGCAGAAAGAATTGCTGTCCCTCTGCATCCATGCGAAAGACAGGCTTCGCTGCAAGCAGGAGGATGAAGAGCGTAGCAAATGAGACGGAAGGGATCTCGACTAATTCAACGACAAACTCTGCCATTGCAATTGCTAAATATCCCACAAAGTCAAAAATGGCAGGCTGAGCGTCAGGATTCTGCATCTTGTCGTCGTACGGATGGAAGAACTCCCGCTGAATCAAGCGGAACTCGATCGCGTCCTGCATTTGTATTCAACATATTTTATGTACTATATGTAATCATGATATTGATAATAAATGAGGCAAAGACATCTGCAGCTATCAATCTTTGCAACGCAAATATTCAAAGCTTCTTCTTGTTGTAATAAGTGTGTTACTGTAAACTATTCGTTTCTCTTCTACTCAGCTAAAGCGCAAACCTAACGCGTATTATATGAAGTACATTACCCGCACTAGCAAAGGGCCGCCCAGAAGTTTTTGTTTGAGAGATAGCGTGGAAACTTGTTCGGCCTTCAGATCGCGACAAAGGGCGAACTTTTCTCTTGTCAGACCGCTCAAAATAAGCAGACTAGCTACCAGGCCAATGAACGCAACCATAATGAAGAAAATCATCATGTGCACTTGCTCAAACAGCTCAAACAGTTCCGTCGCGATGGGGTCCGTCTCCTCCATGTGCAGCTCGCGTCGCGGTGCTGCTCCTCGTCTTTTTTCCCCTTGCAGCAGCAGTCGCCTATCGCCTTCTACAACATTCTCCGTCACCCCGCCGGCCTCATGGTTCAACACCATCACATGGTGCTCGTGCACATGGGACAAGACATGACGCCTCGACGCGTGCTCGCTTGCGTGTTTGTCCCCGTGTACCCGCTCGAAAACGGCTTCGGCGACCGCTTTCAGCGCGCCACTCTTCACCAGGCACATCAAAGACAGACCGACAAAGCCTAGAATGGTCAACTCCTTGAAAGTCGCGTCGATCATCTTCAACATTTGCGTCTGCCCAGTGTGCTGATGAAATAGTTGTTCGCAGAGATCACTGCTACATCATCCTCATTCTATTTCTATTCTGTGCATCCTAAATAGGTTTCGTTGCTAAAAAAAGAAACTTGAACTTAAACAAACTTGTTCTTGTAACAAATATCCAAAGTGGAAACCCGAGAGACAAAACTACTTTCATCTACTTACATTCTCTGTCACTGGTGTCAGATGATCGTCTCGCAAGCAGGAAGGAAAAACATATTCATCAAATTTATAGATACACAAGTTAATGAAACCCAAGTACCTTGTAGTGGTGAATCAGGACGTGCTGAAACTCCTCGAAGGCGATGGACATGATAATGATCAAACCAAAAAGGCAAATGACAGTCCACACGCGAGCCTCTCCGTGCAAGGCTTCTTCTTCGGACGCCTCTTCATGGAGATGCCGCCTCTTCCCTGGACTCTCTTGTTGTTCTGCTCGTACCTTAATATTCGGAGCTCCGTTATCATTTTCATCATCTCCCGCCAGAACTTCTATTTGTTCCTCTTGCTCCTCAGAAATCCTGCTCGTGGATCCGCTTGCACTTTTGCTTTTGGGTCGTAACCACGAGTCTGCTTCTTCTATTAACGCCGCGTTTTCAACTACATCTTCCTTGATGTTCTCTTCGTGCACCTGCTTTCCGAAAATATTGACGCTTCGCCTAGTACTCTGAACATTTTCGGGAAAGTCGAAGAATACTCGCCATATGCCTCCCGGATCACCAGCAGCGCGAAGGCGATCGTGATAATGTGTCAGTGTCCCGCATGCCAGCAGGAACACCAACAAAAAAGAGTTCAATAGCGCACTTATCGACCGCATCTTTCATCCATCAGTCATGTTATACACAGTCATTTCCCGTCCCCCAATCCAAGCCCGCCGTCCTACACATTGGAAAAACTATTATTACTGAGGATACTCTTTACTCACGACAGATTTATTGACACTTTTTATCAGGGTGATACCCAGAGCAAAGTCTTTCGAACGCAGTAGTTTCGCCATTTTTTGTTCAAGCACGACGCCATTCGCATTCGCTCCTCCTCTATATATAAATTATAATCGGCAACAAACGGGGCTACACGGCAGGGCTTTAAGGCACGCAAAGGGGAATCGCAGGAGGGACAGAAACGGAAGCCACGGTCTGCAGATTTTAAGGCGGGAGGCTTAGAACCTCAAGGCTCACCAACAGGCGCGAAGTCCCAAGGCTTTGAGGCTTCTCCAGAGTTTTGGGTTACAGAGTTGACGAAAAATCGCACAAGTCTCAGGGAGGGTTTCCCTCTCAGGGTTGGCGACGCGCTTTCTCTCCTCAAGCAAGGTTTTGCGCCTCAAGGTTTTGGGCGCCTGTCGATTTAAAGCTCTCACGAGGCACGACGCGCCCCCTCAAGGTTGCACACCTATGCCAAGAATTGCCCCTCTGAAGGTTTTTAGGGTCAAGGTTTGCCCCTCTCTCTCAGGGTTTTAAGGGGGGCACCTACGCCTGCTGGTCCTCTCACACGGATGCCGTTCGGATGCCTTGCAGACCAACAAGACCGAGACCACTCAAGAGGCGCCAGCGCAGCAGAAAGATACGCGCGCGGCGGTGGGCCGGCCTCCCCCCGAGGGAAGCGACCGCAAAACGCTCGACAGCAGGCAAAGACGTTAGCGGCCTAAATCGCGCACGCGGTGCGCGTTTTGTCCCTGGAATGTAAAAGCATGGGCTCAACGAATGCCTGCGGGAGCAAACAGAGGCGCGCGAATAACGCCAGATGCGCCGCCGGTAAAGCTCCACACCGTCCGCATGGCGTTCACGCGCAGCCCGTCGCCTATCGGGGCGGCACGGCTTCACTGATCCTCTCGTGCCCGATGCTTTGCCTCGTCAGGGTTTGCCCCCTCCGAGTTGCCCAAACAACTTGGAGGGCGCCATGAACAGCTCGGAGAGCGACACAGGCGACAAGGGTGGCAAGTATGAAGGCTCTGCCTGCCTCAGGGTTTCCCAGGGTTTGCGAGTCAGGGGCAAGCCCTGGCTTTCTCAGGGTGTCCAGGGTTTGCAAATCAGTGGGCGGAGGCTCCGGCTTCAGGCCAGAAGGCCGGCGGGCCAACGTTTTCCCGACTGTACCCACGTCCGACGTTACGTACTGAGAGCCACCCTCGGCACAGGCCGGCCGCTAGCGCCTGGAATCGCGCACGCGGTGCCCGATTTCGGCCGCAAACAGCTTCAAACCGTTGCGCCGTAGCTCCAGAGGCTCCCGCATTCGCAACCCCAATCCGGTGCAACGGGGGGGGGCGGCCGCCCCGCGCACCAACGGAGCACGGCCAGAAGCTCGCCCGCTTTGGTCGCCTTCAGCAAAAAAGGCCCGCGCACCTGTTTCCGGGGCCAACCCATTCCGCGACGAGACCGTCACTAGCAGTCTCGCCCCCTCTCTCGTCCAAACACTTCTCATTCACCTCTAAGCCCTCGGGTCACGACTAGTTTTCAATTTCAGTCCGCGCCAACCCAGCATGGCACATCTAGCTACCTCAGAGTTTGCCTCTTCACGCGCTCTCTCCTTCTCGTTGTCCTCGGGTGTCACTGGCTTTTCTTCCTCTCACGCTTGAATCAATTATGAAATGCACGTGCTGTAGATTCTCTTCTCTCTCTGGTTGATTCTATACCTGTCTTCGAGATGCATCTGCTTCGTACAAATATATTGTGAGGCCACTTGGCGTTGCCCTAGCTCTCCCACGACATAAGTACCTAGATGCGAAAATCGTGGCTCGAGCTGCCATATTTTCATTTTCAAATTGCTCGATCTATTTCTTGCTACGATCAGGAATCGAATGGCGTAAAATGAATTATGCATAGAAGCCACGACTGAGTGTGCGACTTGTGGAATGGATTAACTATGTTGTTCGGGTGGTGCGTGCTCAGAAGCGAAATAAGTCAGTGAGCAGCATCAGAAGAGGTCAAAGGGGTTGCCACTGGATGCCTCGGGTGTTTTTGCTGCGGCAGGAGGAGCAGACGCAACAGTTGATGAGGCTAAAAAGGGGTTCTTATTCGCGTTTTGTGAAAGTGCAGGGGACAAGTTTGCGAGTTCGTGGAATGGATTTCCAGACTCTCCTGAGGCAGCCGCTCCAGTCCCCGTTGATGCGGATTGTCCACCGCCACCAGTTAGCTGTCCCTGACTTCCCGGAGTGGTTCCTTGACTGCCAGCATGTAAACCAGCTGGCCCACTACTTTTGCTGCCGGACGGAGAGATAAAAGGATTTCTCTTCATCTGCTTCACTAGCTGTTCTTGCTGCATTCGTATGTGCTGCATGAGCGCCTGCATTTGCACCTGCATCCTATCTGATATTTCGCGGCATTCATCGACGGAAAGTTTCCGCACAAACTCCTGCGTCAACGCCGGCACCGTAATAGTCTCTAGCGAATCTGTTTTGGAAGTTGATGAGATCTTACGTCTGTTTGTTGTAATTTCCACTCCGTGAAAAATAGCTATATCATCTCAGTACCATCGCCCTTGCAACGATCAGAAATATCATTCAAAGATCCTTCCCTAGCACTGAAACACAAAAAATGAAATATTAAGCCAGTGAATATGAAGGTATACGTGATATCCCGCTGCCCGAGTGCTGCGGCAGGTCTGAGTAAGGATTTCGCATGCGCTGGTCCGGAAAATTACCGACTTGAGGGATTCCCCCCAACTGTTGCTGCTGTGGGATTACAGGTGCTGCCGGGAAGCCGCCTACTTGTCCTTGTGTACCGTCGATCAGCATGCCATTTCCGGCAAGTGGTAAACTTCCTTGCAGGTTGGCTGCACCGCTGAAACTCGCGGATCCTCCAGGGACGAACTGTGATGAAGGAGATGGAACACCAGGAGAGAGTCCCAGTTGATTTTGCGGCTGCCCGACCCCAAAATTTTGCTGTTGTTGACCAGTCCCCGGAAGTTGTTGAGGCTGCTCAAAATTCTGTTGCTGTTGCTGTGCGGGAAACTGCGATACACCTGCAAAAGTCTGTTGTTGTCCAGAAAAGTGACCTGGTGCGCCCCCAAACTGCTGCTTCCCCGGCAGTTGCGGCTGTTGCTGATGGCCGAATGGCTGTGCCTGTTGCTGGTTAAACTGAGCTGCAGTGCTTCCAGGTTGCTGATGCTGTGGGAACTGCATGTTTCCACCTGTACTATTGTTCAAGTTCATCTGGTTCGCAAATTGGGGTGCCCCAGTTTGTTGCTGCGCAGAAGCAAACTGGTTCGCACCATGATATTGCTGCTGGCCAAACTGTCCGGAAGCAGCAAAAGGCTGATTCAGAGCAGACGAATAGGAGTTCATCATCACGCGAGAGCTTGCGCTTGCTCCTCCCATTCGCGCCATCGGCATACCAGGAACACAAGTAGAAGAGCTGACTGCGTTGCCAGCAACTCCTACACCACCAGGACCAGACGAAGACCCTAAGCTAAGAAGCTCGTCCATGGATACACCGCCTCCACCGACCGATGCTTGTCCTCCTGCTCCAGGTGCAGGAGGTCTATTATTACTCTGCTGTCCCTGGTTGGCTCCTGGCATACTGTCGAATCCGGTTGCCCAACCCGCGTTTCCAGGCCCGTAGGATGAAGCCCCTCCACCGAATTCAAAGCCGCTCTTGGCAGCCGAAGAAGGAAAGTTTGGATTGAAATTATCGTTGTCGCCGAACCCGAAATTGTCGGCTGGAAAAGCTGTTTTCTCTCTGGACGGCGTCCGATTGCGTGGAGACTTCTTGCTCTTTTTCTCCGGTGAAGACCGTCCCCCAGACGATGCGGACGGCGCCTGTCGCGACTCTGCAGCAAAATCATCCGCGAAAAAATCAACAGGCGCACCAGAACCAGTGTCCCCGCCTCGCGGCGCATTCTTACTCCTATTGTTGGAGTACCCCGCTCCTCTAGGTGCCCATCTGTGTTCAACATCGGTTCAAGAAGGAAAAACTGTGAATCTTCGTAATCGTATCTTCGACCCCATAAAGAGAGTCTAGCCCAGCAAAACTACTAACACAGAGAAGTTAGCATCAGCGTGATTATTTAGTTATTGTCAATGAAAAGAAAGAGATCATGAAGGAACCGGCAGTGAAAATGATTCAAAGTGGCATCCGAACAAATAGAAAATCGAGTCTACCTTTTGTCCACATACTTCAGCCGGATAAACTCGCGTAATTTTCCGCTATCTCCTGAGTCGGGTTCCTGGTAATCTCGAGGATTCCACTCAGCCCCGTAATAGGCAGAAGCACGCTGTGAAGTTTTAGGAGAAAAACGTCCGTGAACAAATTTATTCACGATGATATGATTGGTTGACCGCCTAAACGAAACAAAAGCGCCTTCTAGCTACTTAACTAGTCTAGGTAACATTCGATCGTCCAGAAAGCCCAACGCGCTTGAAATTCCAAAAAAGTCACAAGAATCGAAAACATCAAACAGATAGAGATATAGAGAGGACGTAGTTCCTAGACAGCCGAAAACTCGTAAATACTTTATTCCCGCCTCCATTTACGATGTCGTCTACTTCCTCTGGAGTCCATTTTGAGACTGAGATTCCTTTCACTTTGTGGTTCAGTTCTCGATGAATACCGCTACAATTGGTGCAAACAAAGAAACGATAATCGTCTAGGTAGCAGACGTAGGTCGGACCCATCTGTGGACAGTCCGCACATTTTTTGCTCCCGTTCTCTGCTGACCGCTGAAAGGCGCGAATGCGGTCCAGCAAAGACTGCTCGCTGTTCTTCTTCACATTCACCTTGATCATCTTGGGCTTTGTTCTACTTAAGAGTAGTTGCTCTCAGGAACCGGAAAACGCTACGTATGTCGATGTCACTTCGACAACAAACGTAGCCACAGTCTTCAACTCAATGAGGAACAAGTTGCACCTACAGAATTTTCAAACCCTTGCCCACCTTGTTGATCGGTATCTGTGGGTCTTTGCGCACGTCGCCCTCTTATCAACGTCGGCACAAGCGCAGTGCATATCCATCCATCAATCGCAGTGCTGCACTGAATATATCGTCGACGACAAGAAAAACGCACTTTTCATTCTTTTTTATCTTGTTTTTACGTCTTTTAAAGTACTATGCGATAATTGCATGCAAAAAAAAGAACACTGCTTTAGAAGTCATACTCTAACACATCCTACTCCCCATCAGGCAACGATAAACTTGCAGCTTCCAATGTGCACTCTATCAGGATTGAAAAGAACCAAGAACCTGCTTTATGGTTGATGTTGTAAGAACTATTAGTGTCGTTTTGGTTTTGTTCAGTGTGTGTTGGGATAATCTATTAAAGGGTCCTTTTTCGTTTACCTCAAACACTTAATTTGTGCATAACGACGTTCCATCAATATGATAGATTGGATTATGCATTCGTTGCATCACAATCAAAAATGTCATCTTGATGCCAAGATTGAGATTCTAATTGTACCATTTGAAACGACCTGTGCATGATTTCTAATAATTTCTTTCTGACGCAGCTCCCACCTCAGTGTGCTGGTATTTCTCGCTTCACACGCGGCGGCGTCACGCTTCCAGTTGTAAATGGGTCAACAGAAGGATCCGTATCATGTCGATTCGGATCTCGTTTTCGGAATACTAACGAATATTGCTCTATTTTTGTACGAGAACTTGTGCCTACTAAGAGTTGTAATTCGCAAGCAGGTGCTGCTCTACAATAAATTCACTTCACCAGCTTCACTCAGCAAAACGTTGCAAGTTCTGCCATCACTAGCCTGGTCGGGGGATTTCACAATAATGATGAGACGACTAGACTGTAGGTCGTTCAGAGTAATTACCCCTACACTAGAGCTTCTAATTAAAAACGAGGCGAAGTTGGTAATGCGTGGGAAGGGATTGGCGTGAGGACCCACCTGTCATCTTTTAGTTGGTACCGATGAAGTTGGGGGATTTCACAATTTATGCGGATGTTGTGCTGGAAACCAATATTGTGGTAATAATTACATGCCAATTCTTGGAATGTGTCATTTTAGCGTGCAAACTTGAAACGTCAGAATGTGGTCCTGTCTAGATGTAATACGTCCGTAGGACTCACCTACCTAACAACTAACACTAAGCATTTCCATTTCCTGCACGGACAAAAAGTAAAAAAAAATATCGTACTTATGCGGCCACTCCTTCGGTTGACAGACGGACCACAAACGGTTCCCTGCTATGCATGCACAATACCAAAACTACCGACAAATGCCTTGTTGTCAATACTTTTACTTTCTACTCACTTTCGCAGATAAAATGATGTGAGTTGCAAGACGATGAGGTGAAGTCTTTGCACATGATCAACAACTTGTTTCAGATGATTCTATTGCAAATCGCGTCGCGAAGAGGATGCTCCGCGTTATAAAAGAAATCTGCTTCTACCTCTTGCTGTAACTACATAATGGCAGCTGTCAAAGAAAATGTTTGAAATTGAATTATAAGATCTACATCTACTCCGCTTCTGAACTAAGTGGGCCAGTGATTTCCGTCGAGGAGAATGGTGGCTTACCCATCCGATGCCGAATGCAAGGAGTACGGTCCACTTCCTGCGCAATCAGCGATATTAGTTGTTCCTCATGATGATGTGATCATCGTGCCTGAAATTGTTCCACCAAGTCAGCAAACGAGCGCACACGGCGCTCAGAGAGGATGTGTATTCTTCTACTTACCCTTCAATTTCAGCGGGAACGGCCTAAGCTGGTGACAATAGCATCCACAAAACAACGAAGGCGGCTCCCACCCCGCCTAGGCCGACAAACACGGAAGAGCTCTCACTTATAGTCATCGCAGCTATAGCCTCCTCTTGTTTTGCGTCACCAGCAGTGAAGCTTCCCACCACAACAGCAACAGTTGTTGAAGTAGTGCTAGTTGTCTCCGTTTCAGTGCTGGTGGTCGTCTCTGTGCTCGCGGTTGCTTCTGGTTTTGTCGTCGTTTTCGTAGTGCTCGTTAATTTTCTAGTTTGTGTCTTCGTCGTTGACGTACTCGTCGTTGTGGTGGTTGCTTTACAGCAGTTGGACCGATCTACTCGCGCGTTCGAGCACGCTTTTCCGGAACAGTCCTTCTGGCCCAGCGCGGACTTCCATTCATTGTAGCTCGATCCTGAACAGAAGGCGCTGTTCCACACTTTTCCCGCATCGCAGTCCATAGCAGGCGATAGGCAGAAAGCTGACAGCTTAATTGTCGCCTTCTTAGATGCGTAGCATTTGCACCGGTGGTGACCACTCCCCCAGACTTCGAGCCCGTGACCTCCACTCCCTGGAACCGTGCCGCACTAGAATTAGACTTAACCAATTCAGGAAAAGGCCATTGTTATATATGTACCAGGGAGGGAGGCCCCCCCCTGTGGATGGATCTGGGGTGGACCACGCCAGAGGGGTCCAGCCTTGCCACCTTATTGGCCAGGTCTGTCGAGGGGCGGCCGGGCGGGAAGGCCTCAAAGCGCCCACTTCTGACCCCTTCCCGCTTCTTGCATGTACCCTACAGACCTGGCAAAGGTGGCAAAGGCTGGGCCCTCTTGTCGTGTTGCGTGTACCCGACAGAGAGAGCTGGCAGACGAGGCAAGGCGGGACCCACCCCCTTGGCGTGCTGCATGTACCCGACAGACCTGGCAAAGGTGGCAAGGCTGGACCCCTCTGGCGTGTTGCATGTGCCCAACCCTANGTGGCAAAGGCTGGGCCCTCTTGTCGTGTTGCGTGTACCCGACAGAGCTGGCAGACGAGGCAAGGCGGGAACCCACCCCCTTGGCGTGCTGCATGTACCCGACAGACCTGGCAAAGGTGGCAAGGCTGGACCCCTCTGGCGTGTTGCATGTGCCCAACCCTACGCCAAGGGGGTGGGTCCCGCCTTGCCTCCTCTGCCAGCTCTGTCGGGTACACGCAACACGACAAGAGGGCCCAGCCTTTGCCAGGTCTGTAGGGTACACGCAAGAAGCGGGAAGGGGTCAGAAGTGGGCGCTTTGAGGCCTTCCCGCCCGGCAGCCCCTCGAAAAGAGTGGCCGGGGCGGGGAGGCCCCCCGTAAGAGTCAGCGAACGCCCCCCGCGGATCGTCACGCGTCACGCCTCTAGCGTGACGCGTATGAACCTCGGGGGGATTGGGTGTTTTTTCGCCATGCGTGCTCTAGCGTGACGCGTAGGAATCTCGGGGGGATTGGGTGCTTTTTGACGATGTGCGCTCTAGCATGACGCGTGGGAATCTCATCGGGGTCGGATGTCTTTCCCGCGTGCGTTCTTTAGTGTGACGCATGGGAATCCAATGCGGACCGGGCGCCCCTTTGCCAGTGTGTGAGCGTGACGCTGGCCGAAGTTCTCCCTTGAGGGTCCTCAGCCTCATGATCGGAAAGACTTCGGCTGAGTGTCCTCTATTCAGATTGAGGGCTCTCCTTTGAAGGTCCTCATGATCGGAAGGGCTTCATCTGCGAGCCCTCTCAGAGAAGAGCGAGGGCCCTCCCTTGAGGGTCCTCATGATCGGAAAGGCTTCAGCTGAGTGTCCTCTATTCAGTTTCAGACTGAGGGCTCTCCCTTGAAGGTCCTCATGATCGGAAGGACTTCATTTGCGAGCCCTCTCAGAGTGAGGACTCTCCCTTGAGGGTCCTCATGATCGGAAAGACTTCAGCTGAGTGTCCTCGATTCAGATTGAGGGCTCTCCCTTGAAGGTCCTCACGATCGGAAGAGCTTCATCGGCGAGCCCTCTCAGAGGGAGGGCGCTCCCTTGAAGGTCCCCTCTCATGCTCGGAAGAGCTTCATCTGAGGGCCCTCTCAGAGTGAGGGTTCTCCCTTGAAGGTCCTCGCTCATGATCGGAAGAGCTTCATCGGGGGGCCCTCTCAGATTCGACTGACGGTGGGCTCTCCCTTGGGCGTCATCTGAGTGTCTTCTATTCAGAGTGAGGTTTGGTTCTCCCTTGAAGGTCCTCTCTCATGATCGGAAGTGCTTCATTTGAGGACCCTTTCAGAGTGAGGGTTCTCCCTTGAGGGTCCTCATGATCGGAAAGACTTCAGCTGGGTGCTCTCTATTCAGATTGAGGGCTCTCCCTTGAAGGTCCTCATGATCGGAAGGACTTCAGCTGAGTGCCCTCTATTCAGATTGAGGGCTCTCCCTTGAAGGTCCTCATGATCGGAAGGACTTCAATTCAGATTGAGGGCTCTCCCTTGAAGGTCCTCACGATCGGAAGGACTTCGGCTGAGTGTCCTCTATTCAGATTGAGGGCTCTCCCTTGAAGGTCCTCACGATCGGAAGGACTTCATCGGCGAGCCCTCTCAGAGTGAGGGTTCTCCCTTGGGGGTCCTCTTTCATGATCGGAAAGACTTCAGCTGAGGGCCCGAAGGTCCTCATGATCTGAAGGTGGGGCCTTCATCTGCAGGCCCTTTCTTGAGCGTCACGCGAAGAGCGTGACGCCTTGTCTCTAGTAAGTCTGTAGGGTACATGCAACAAAAGCGTCACGCTTTTCGCGTGACGCGTCACGCTTTTCGCGTGACGCTCGAACCAAGATGGGGCAAGCTCTCAGTAGTATACCAGAGGGGGGAAGGCGTGGCGTCTTATGTAGGACCGCGGGGGGCGTTCGCTGACCCTTACGGAGGCCCCCCCCTCAAAGAGGGGGGGGGCCTCCCGCCCTGAGCCCTGGAACATATATAAGTAATACAGAGTAGGCCATAGGTCGTAGCAAATTTCAACATTTAGAGCTATTATCCGTCGAGGCTGAGAGATTCGTAGAGTGGTCCCCTTCAATATCGCTGAAAATATAATCACCATGATATTATAGCTACTGTCCTTAATAGAAGGATTGTCGCGGTCAATGGCGCAGCCGGCATTCAACACGTGCGTCCCCCGAGCGCAATTTAGGCGATGACTCTTCGTGTTTTTTTTTCTCCGTGCTCTCTTTATGGTATACGTATCGCCACAAATCGTTGTTCTCGCTGATGCAAAAAACTCTGCCCAAAGCCTTATAATCATTGCCAGGTGGATTTCCGTGCTGACAAACCCACTTCGTTGGATCAGTCGGATCGAGGAAGGAACCACCAAGGGGAGGGACCGAATGATAGTCCTCCGGAGGCTTGAACACGCAGGCTCCAGCAATCGAGCGCATGCCTGAGGGACATGGCACCTTTACTTCCGGATACGCGTTGGTTAGCGGGTCCATATCCTGCCACGCCATTTGAGCTGGGTCTCCCTTCGTCTGAAGCTGGCAGCGCAACAGGATAGCGTCCCAGAACGTGAGATCTACGTCGTTCTGCGTGGAATCACCGTCACAGGAAGCCAAAGACCAAAATAATTCATCACCACCGGGCTCCCGGAGCCGGATCCACAATTGATCGATTTTACTGTTTGTCGCTGTGCAAAAGACTCCAACGACGAAGCCCATGCGCACTCCAGCACTCGTTCGTGATCCGTGTGGATCCAAATACTAGCGTCCAGTTTGTCAGTGTAGATGCGCTCCGTCGCTGTTTCTGGATGATACCTCGAGTTATGCACGTCCATGTTAATGATGTGCGCTGTGAACGGTGCATTTCCCCAGTCGAAGGCGTTGAAAACGCTTGCGCTATCCCGACTTGGCCCTCTTTGTACCCGTTGCCTCGCCTGGATAAGTTGGCCCAACTCACCGCCACCACCACCACTAGCATGGCCTCGTAATCTTGCCATAGATGAATTTGTCCACACCTCGCTTGTTTGCTCTGTGCCACCTCTTCCACCCTCTCCGCGCTTAGATGACTCCTTCGTCGCTCCACTAGAAATAGAATCAGCTTTCTTGATTGCAATTTCACCTTCTGGCGCAACATTGTCAGTCGTACCGCTTCCGTGTTTTGCACTAAAAGTCAGCCCACCTGTGCGACCACCGTCCAAAAAACGCTCTTCATCTAAGCTTCTGGTCGATTTTTTGAGACTATCACGACCTCTGTGATCACCCTCTCCTAGCTTTTGCGAACTATCATCAGTCGTCGTCTCGGTCTCCGCCTGGTCCCTGTGATAACAAGAGACTGATTCGTCTCGAATTTTCGTACTAGATCTCGAATCTGTTTCTGCTTCCAATTTTCTAGGAACCTCTGCTCCTGTACCTGCTTCCAAAACCTCTGTAATATCTTTTTCTTTTTCCACATGCACATCCTGCCCTCTACTACTAGACTCTGATTCCCGTAGAGTAGACGCAGCTGCTTCTCGCTCGGACGTAGACACGTCGTGCGTTACAACTTACGATCGCAAGAGTCTTTCATGTTCGACGCACCACACCAATCTCAATTTATCCAGTAGCGGGAGAAGTGTCCACCTGCCGAGGCCCGTCATGCTCCACAGTAAAAATCGTAAAGGCTGGCCTTGTAGCTCGAGCCAGCTTGTGTGATGCGTAGGACTTATGCAAGAGCGTAGCCTTCCCCAGTGGGTTCATTGGCTCCTAGCAGTGTCTTGTCTCCGCCCTCACTGTCCTCTGCAGCTAAGGTCTGCCTCGGTTTATCTGCAGCAGTCCCTACTTTACGAGGCGTGGTCCAAATGAAGCCGAGGCCCTCAACACAAGGAAAATAGGGTGCGCATACGTCGAACTGCGGTGGACAAACACTGGCACAACGTCGAAAAAGCACTAATGCTTGCCTGCTCCTGCATCCGCTACTGCTCCTATCATTAAGGCCACGCATATAACCGTCATGACACGCTAACCCTAGTCCTAGATATCGCAGAGCACAATGCTCGTGCGTCCGTGCTCCAAGAATAGAAGGCGACAGCTCCAACCAACGAACGAGCGGCGGTGGTTTCGGATTAGTTCATTTTTTCAGACGATAAATCTTCTTCCCTACAGCAAGTGGCCGCGCGCCCTAAGTCAGTCGTGTGGTGTGGTAATGAGTGTAGTGCTTCTCTCTTGTGTTTCGGAAGAAGTGTTGATACTAGAAGGATCGCTCCTAAAAAGCGAACCTCTACTTCGGGTGTTGTCGTAGTGTTATTCCTGATAGCATACGAACACGTGGACAAGCGTAGTGTTATTCCTGATAGCATACGAACACGTGGACAACCTGTGGACAGTAATACGATCGGCACGACTGACATCAGTGTCCACCTCCGAACAGTTCGGAGGAGAACCCTTATCAAGAATGGGCGTCTTGACGGTCGGAAGCAAATGCAAAAGAAGCTCCAGCGTATTGAATGATTAAGCAGGGAACAGTCTTCATCGAACTCGACTTCTAATTGTTTGCGTAGCCATTCATCCTTAGTAGTTGGTCTTCATGCAGCAGCAATCTAAACACATCACTACTCATCATGCCAATTAAAAATTGCATGAACAAGTAGAGTGCTGGACTCTACTATAATGCATGAGAAATCAAGAGATCAATCTTCAACGACAAGGAGGGACATCGAACTACTCAGATGAAGCTGAAGGACATACTTCTACGAGGGATCTACTAACACTAATCAATATGCGAAAGCAACTACGACCATCATGTTTATACGGACCCCTCAACTTCATCTTGCAACATTGATCTTTGCAAATACGTCAAAAGATTCCATCAGTCGTGCAAAAACAATGCACCACGACACCGAATGCGGGAGGAATACCACATGTCTTCGTCCTCTACACTCTCCATGATACGCGTAGCGATAAGCGAAGTGGCGCTTCGACTCATCCCACTCCGCCTGCTTTGAGCTGCTACAATAGTGGTTTTTTCCTTCAGCTACTTCTCCCAACATTGAAGAAGTTCTAATTGCAGCACGCTGTTGTATCTATAGATGCTGATCTTAATCTATGATTGTGTCCTCTTTGTGATGATGAATGATCTTGAATGCGTCGTTGAAGAAGAGAAGAAGTCATGGAGGTTATGAAGAGGCAACCGCCGTCTGCTAGGTACGTGTTAGTACGTGGCAGAACCTGAAGATGAATATCCACTTTATTCTGGTCTCAATCTGACGACGCGATCGTCGTCCAAGGGGCCGTAGACCTCCACTCCGGTGTCTAGAATTTTGATACGGTAAGGCTTTCCGTTGTCCCATTCTTTAGTAATCTCGCCGTCTTTCCAACCGTCCTTGACCTTTGCTTGCACCTTGTCGCCTACTTTGAACCGAAGCGGCGCGCAGATGCAATCTCTAAAGCCCTTCTCAAGCTCTTCCCTTTTCAGGTTCTTCCCAATGAAAACGAACTTGCTCTCACCTGTGAAAAGAAAGGGATCGAGGAATTGTAGGAGATAGAGATTGAACATGAAATGTTTGGAAGATTATCAACGCGCTAGCAGATTGATCATTTCCGTTCACCTAACGATAACGGGTGACTATCTTTAGTAGAAAATGGTACGTTTGTTTCGCTCCTCTGCCCATTCCCCCTGGAAATCGCCATCGAAAAGCATGTGCACTCCCTGAAAGACAAACTTCTGATCGAAACCCTTCACTGAAAGGATTCCCTTATACCTATAAAGCTCCTCCCCCTTCGTCTGTACCAACTCTCCTATCCAATCTGATCATGTTGTTATGCTTATGTGGAAAAATCGGTGATGTAAGAATTAGGATGTAGGAATGAAGAAAAACTAGGTAATCAGTGATATTGATGCCCATTCGTCTTGTTCGCGATCATGTCAGTCTGGTGACGGTTGTTGATTCCGTGCAGGTATAGAGAAAATTTTCACGGATGCGTGTTAGTAGAAATCACGCCTTTACCATACTCAGAACAAGATAAGATAGTCTCACTATCTTTCACATTGAACATCGCTGCTTTCCTAGAACGCTCCTCCCGCGTGAGAGTCACTGCAACAACGTGAGTTGCCTTGCAGCTCCATCACCAGAAGCATCTGACTTGTCACCAGTTCCTGCACAGTCTACTTACACCAGGCGAATGCCATGATCTCGTTATGTAGTGCATTGAAGTCAAGATAGTCAAGGAGAGATCGCAGATCCTCCATCCGCCCACCCGCGCAGCGGATGGACGCACCCGTTGGACACCTCGGGCCAGGTCGGTGCTGCCCCTCCTTCGCAGCACCGCGTCAGCACCCACCTCGTGAATGTGCTGTCCGGTCACATAATGCAACACCTGCAAAGCATCACATCATGCAAACTATACCAAGATCCAACCGAAGGAAGGATGATACTGTGTCATTGTGCTAACGCTAGACACCTAACCCACATGAGGCTAGTGCTCGAAGAGCACCCAAGGCCTGGCCAGTCAGCAGACAGACAAGTCCGTAAGGCTCCCTGTACTGCCACCCCAGTTTCTTCCTTCCATCACGCACCAGAGCAAGCGTCCTTGCTATACTCGCTGCGACAGCAAGGTCCTGTCTTCTGACATTCCAACAGATTCGCACCCGCAAGGCGCGGCTGCTACATCCAACTGCAGACCACGTCTGGCGTAGGATCGGATATCCTCCGCAACGCTCTCAAAGACTTCCATGACCAATGCGCAGACATAAGTCAATCCTAATGGTGTCGCTAGGCGAAGCCTATCTAGACATAACCATAACGGCGAGCGAAACCCGCTTACTTCCAAGCAGTTTCCGTCTATGGTCCCATCTTCAACGGTGTCACGCGGTCTATCAACAACCCATTGTGGGTCTAGATCCATGGCAGCCATTTCCCTCGGAAATGGCACAAAGTGAGACTATCTTATGCTCTAAAGTGAGTCCGGTAACTACGAATATTCCCATAGACGCCCCCAGGACGACGTCTCATGTGAATCCGGCTCACAACATATAATCTCGAGTCACTGCATGCCGGGGTAAAGGGGGATCAATCCTTTACGCCACCAGCCATCCAGCGTTCCCTGACTCGCAAACCACTGTGCCCCAGCCTGACTAGGTTGATAGACTTTGTTGTTGCTGAGCTAGAACAGGCCAAGAGACAGTCGGCCTCTTCCCGAATCGATCGGACTCACTTCACCCACATATAACCAGCCCGCAGAGTTTGGTCATAGCAGTAAAGTCCTTCGTTAAATAATGCTAGCAAGTGTTTATCTTGATGTGCGTAAGCCCACCCAGACAAGAACAGAAGAAGTACGGCTTTGGTCCGAAGATTCCAAGGCTCCAGAACGGAACTTCCATCGTTCCTAGATCTCATCCTTCTGATCATTGTCCTCCGTCATGAAGTCTTCTCTTGTTTTACCCAACATATCCGCCGTCGACGGAATATAGTCAAGCTGTCCCAAAAACTGGGAAACGTGAGAAGCCGGAACTGCTCGCGTTACCAGATGCGTAGGAAGTTTTCCTCCCGCCGCACCGGTCGCGTCCTGATTATGCAGATCGGTAAGAATAATATAGCGCGCACTGACCTTTTTTACTTTGAACAAAGCTGGATAGTTCTTTGGATCGAAAGACTCCTTCCTTGCTTTATTATTCTTCACTACCGCCAAGTCTCCTACAACCAAGGGAGTCCACAGATGCTGCCCCTGCAGTGTAGTCTGTGCAATCGATCGAATGTTACTCCTCTCGTTTCTAAAACGTTCAGTTTCTTCAGTTATATTCTGACGAAATTTGTTCGCCTCTTGCAAGTACAGGTCAGTCCCAGCGTTCCCGCCGAACGCAGTCCGGAGAGTTTCCGAAAACGCGTGTCGTGGTTTACAGCCAAAGACCACCTCATATGCAGATCTTCCATTCAACACCTCGTATGGTGTTGTTCGCGCAATCCAATTTAAGTAAGGAACAAGCTCAATCCACTTTGAATTCTCCGCAAATTTCATGAGCAACTTCCTTAATGGTTTGTGCAACACTTCAACCAACCAATTCGCCTGCGGGGAATAAGGCATTACTGGAGCATGGTGCACCCCGTACACCTGGAGCCATTTGCCTAAACTCTTGTCGCCTTGTTCGCCGAATCCTCGATCTGATCGAACAATCACTGGGTAACCAGTTAAACAAAATACATTCGCCACCAGCGCTTCCGCAGCCTCTCGCGTGAACTTCGACTTCACCGGGATAAACCAGCTGAACAGCGTGGCGTGATCCCTTACCGAGAGCAAATACCTATAGCCCCGGTCCACTTTGAACGGGCCCACATGATCAACGTTCAAGATTCGAAAGAAACCCAAATACGTCTCGTGGCCTAGTGGGGCCTTATTGCGTGTGTTTGTTGCCTCAGCAATGGTGCACGAAATGCACGACTTGCAATGATTTTGGACATCTCTCCACATTGTCGGCCAAAACACGCTCCGATCAAGTAAATGATTATAAGTCAGGGTCGGCCCGCCATGACCGGTTCCCAACAAAGAGTTATGCGCGAGGATTAAATAATATTTTCTCCAGGGAACCGTTTTCCCTCCCACCGCAGCTGGTTGCTTCCCCCCTAAAGGTATACAAACAACAGGATGGTCTCGAAAACGAGTCA